GTATATATGAGATTACAGTGAGGTGAGTGAGTCTGTACCTCGTGCATGAGCTGGACTCTTTGTCTCTCCTGCTGTTCTCTCAGACGCTCACGTCGCTCTCGCTCCTGGAAACCTTCACTGAACGGATTGTTGTCGTCAAACTTCACCTGCAGCACAGAAATCAGAAGAAAAGTTTTAAAACACACATGAACACAAAGAGCAGCTTTAAAAGGACCTGCACACTCACATGAGGAGTGGGGGCGTCTGTGGAGCCGTTGGAGCTCGTGTTGAACGCTGGTCTCTGGGCTGGAGGCTGGGGGCCCATCTGTGGAGGGATGTGAGGGGGCATCCTTTGGGCCATCACCCCAGGGCCCATGCCCTGCGCCGGGGCCCATCCCGGAGCTCCGGGCCCCAAACCAGGGACGCGAGGAGGATGTTGCATCAGCCCGGGTCCGACCGGAGCCCCAGGAGGAACCAAGGGCCCGACTGGAGCTCCAGTAGGGACCAGGGCCCCGGGGGGAGCTCCAGGAGGGACCAGGGCCCCGGGGGGAGCTCCAGGAGGGACCAGGGCCCCGGGGAGAGCTCCAGGAGGGACCAGGGCCCCGGGGAGAGCTCCAGGAGGGACCAGGGCCCCGGGGGGAGCTCCAGGAGGGACCAGGGCCCCGGGGGGAGCTCCAGGAGGGACCAGGGCCCCGGGGGGAGCGGGCGGCATCAGGGGGGCTCCCGGGGGAGGCTGCAGCGCCCGTGGCTGGAGCTTGGATCTGTAATCCTCGATGAGCTCAGAGTGATCCTTCTGCTGCTTTCGAATCTGGACAAACACAAACACATGAATGAATCACAGAAGTTTCCTTCAGTCTCAGGTTTTTATACAGATTAAACTCTTCCTGACCTGCTCCAGCTGCTTCTGCACCGCCCCCTGCTGTTCGGTCACGTATCGCAGTTGGGCGGCGTCCTCCTCGGCAAACGGGCGCCCCGCCTTCTTCGCCGTTCTCTGTTTGGCCGACAGAGCCTTCTTGGTTTTACGGTGTGCGGCGATCTGATCCTCCAGGAGGCGCTGTTGCATCTGGAGCAGCCTCTGCGTCTCTCCCAACCACTCCTCGTACTGACGCCGCTGCCCCTCGTCTACAGGAGAACAACAACAAAACACCTGAAGTCAGAGCAGATTTAAATGAAGACAGAACATGAGACAGCTCTGCCGTCTCCAGTGAGAGTTTCAGAGGTCGAGGTCCTGGTCCTGGTCCTGGTCCTGGCAGACGTGGCTGGAGGACTGACAGCACTGATAGAAGTGGAAGGAGCACTAATAACAGGATTTTACTTCTCCACATTTGGCTCAAACACACTTCCTTCCACTACAACTTTGGTTTTATTGACAATTTTAATCTGTTCTGGTCCCGTTCCTCCTTTTATCAACGTGATGGTCTCCACATAAACCAACTCTCATCATCTCTACTGTACAGACTCATAATGTATCACTGTCTACACACCCTAGATGAACCCTAGATCCATGTGTAAATCGCACAGACAGCGGTGTTTTCTGCTCTCAGGCTGCGCGGATCCATCTTGTTGCCTAACCACAGACCGTTTATATAATAAGAAAGAATCCGTTCAAGATATTCATCGCGTCGTTTTATTCGCGGCAGGGTTCAAAGCGTGAGAAAAAAGTAGCGGCTTATAGTCCAGAATTTACGGTAATATTATTGTAGTGGAAGTAACATAACGAAATACTCACTGACAAAACCTGGTCCGAAGTTTGGGGGAGTTGGCCGCACCATGGGAGGGTTCAACACTCCGTCCTGGAATCACAAAACGTTTTAGTGACTTTTATTTTTGAGCGAAACTAAACTCTAAATGAACCGTTTTTGTTTCTAACCTGTGTGTGATACATTTGCAGTGTTTGTGTTAATAATCTGTCAGAAACTGTGTGTGTGTTTCACGTACTGCATGACATGATGGAACAGATTAGATGAACATATCAAAGTTTGTACGAACTTGGTGCACTTCAAAAAACAAGAAAAAAAAATCTAATCTTACAGAAATACCTAGAAGACTAGAACCACTGTCCAAACCGCGACTATTAACTAAAAACATGCTTTTCTTTAACTTTTTTTTACTTTTTATCTTGTTATGAGCATAAACAGTACCTTTCATGCCTCTTTATCATTAAAATTATGTCGTCCGAATAGAAACAATGGAAATCCTTACATTTTAAAAAATTCTCATTACTGTTCATTTTGGTACAATCATAAACAATAAACTTTTGTCTTCTTCATTACTATTATTAGTTTTTACGCCATAAACGAAAACAAAAATCCTTAAATTTTCTCATTACTGTCTATTTTGTACAATCATAAACGATAAACTTTGTGCCTACGATAACATTATTATTTGTATGTACGACAATAAACGAAAATATGTTTCTGCACTTGTATATGTGTGATATATGTGTATAAATATTTATATTGAGTTTATGTACTGGATATCTATGATGTGTATATGTATGTATGTGTGTACATGTGTGTGTACATGTGTGTGTACGTGTGTGTGTACGTGTGTGTACTGTGTGTGTAATGTGTGTGTACATGTGTGTGTACATGTGTGTGTACATGTATGTGTGTGTACGTGTGTGTGTGTGTACGTGTGTGTACGTGTGTGTACACGTGTGTGTGTACATGTGTGTGTACATGTGTGTGTACATGTGTGTGTACGTGTGTGTGTACATGTGTGTACATGTGTGTGTACGTGTGTGTGTACATGTGTGTGTACATGTGTGTGTACGTGTGTGTGTACGTGTGTGTGTACGTGTGTGTGTACATGTGTGTGTGTGTACATGTGTGTGTACGTGTGTGTGTACATGTGTGTACATGTGTGTGTACGTGTGTGTGTACATGTGTGTGTGTGTACATGTGTGTGTACGTGTGTGTACACGTGTGTGTGTACATGTGTGTGTACATGTGTGTGTAATGTGTGTGTACATGTGTGTGTGTGTACGTGTGTGTACATGTGTGTGTACGTGTGTGTGTGTGTGTGTACATGTGTGTGTACATGTGTGTGTACGTGTGTGTGTGTGTGTGTGTACGTGTGTGTGTACATGTGTGTGTACATGTGTGTGTACATGTGTGTGTACGTGTGTGTGTACGTGTGTGTGTACGTGTGTGTGTGTGTGTGTGTACATGTGTGTGTACGTGTGTGTGTACGTGTGTGTACGTGTGTGTACATGTGTGTGTACGTGTGTGTACATGTGTGTGTACGTGTGTACATGTGTGTGTACATGTGTGTGTACATGTGTGTGTACATGTGTGTACGTGTGTGTGTGTACGTGTGTGTGTGTGTGTGTACATGTGTGTACATGTGTGTACGTGTGTGTACGTGTGTGTGTACGTGTGTGTGTACGTGTGTGTACATGTGTGTACATGTGTGTGTACGTGTGTGTGTACATGTGTGTGTACGTGTGTGTACGTGTGTGTGTACGTGTGTGTGTACGTGTGTGTACGTGTGTGTGTACGTGTGTGTGTGTGTGTGTACGTGTGTGTACGTGTGTGTGTACGTGTGTGTGTACGTGTGTGTGTGTGTGTACGTGTGTGTGTACGTGTGTGTGTACGTGTGTGTACGTGTGTGTGTACGTGTGTGTGTACGTGTGTGTGTACGTGTGTGTGTACGTGTGTGTGTACGTGTGTGTGTACGTGTGTGTGTACTAGGGATGGGCATTCGATTAAATTTTCTTAATCAATCGTCAGGAGAATTAGCAATCGATTATCGATTAATCATGAACGTTTTTATATTAAAATGATCATCATTATTATTACTATCTGCACTAATCTGCATCAATAAATTCAACTTTACGACATATAAACATAACGACTCTAGATCCACATCAGCTGTTTGACATTATAATGTGTTTAATTCAGTTTTGTTCAAATCTCACACAAACAAAACTTAAAACCACATGGCTCATTTGCATAAACTAAGCCAAGAAAAAAAAAAGCTCTTGTGTCGCTGATGCAACATGACTCAGGTGAATACAGGTTAGTGTGACCAGATTTGTGTTTGTCAAAACCAGGACAGCGTACGGGGGGAGGGGGGCGGGGCCTCGTCATCCACATTGAGCGACTCTCACCTGACAACGTTTTTTCATGTTTTCTGTGTCCTGGTGCTTTGAGGTCCCTGACACACTGGACACCGACACATATGTGCTGCTTTATACACTGTGCACATGGACTCACACTTGTCCCAACGCAACGGAAAGTCTGGAATTTCTTGTACAAATCCTGGTTAAATCCACATTTGTGCTTCAGTTCCTTACAGACTGACCCACTGTTTGTGTCTCGCTCCTTCTGATGCAGAGACACATGTACACACCTGTTTGGTCACGACACACAAACATACATTCAGTTTGTCCATTAAAATGAACGGAATCCATGAAATTCTTAATGATCAATTATCGATTAATCGACTAATCATGCCCATCCCTAGTGTGTACATGTATATGTATGTATATGTGATATGTTTTTGTATATATGTGTGTATATTTCTGCATAATGACAGGTAAACACTCCAAAGGTGTTAAAAAATATATATATATTATTTAATTGATTATGGAAAACAATTGCGGTAGGGCTCCAATAAGTTTTTTAACCTTCATCCTCCTCCTTTTGTTTTTGCCCTGGCGTTTACCTGTGAGGCTGGCAGAGGAGCAGGTGGCGCCCCCTCCTGAGCGGCGCCGGGAGCCGCGGGCTGCTGCTGGAGTCGCACCATGGAGTTCAGCCCCAGAGGACCCTGGGACATGAACTTATTGATCCCCTTCAGAGCCAAGATTTTGGCCTTCATGATCGGGTCCGAGATGGAGTCGAAGTCTGAGGAGCCAAACACAACGTTTTCAATAAAAAAAAACAATGACAAGATTCAGACTTGGACTGTCTTAGACCTGGTTTAGTCCTGAGTTTGACCTGGTTTAGTCCTGAGTTAGACCTGGTTTAGTCCAGATTAGTCCAAAATGTTTCTTCGAGTCTTGTGTAGTTTTAACAGGTCATGTGTTTTACTAAATTGGCTTTTTACTTTTTTTTTTAAAACCGTGTAATCATGTTGTTTCCCCATCAAACAAAAATACCCGTGGCTTGTTTCTTAAATGTGTTAGAGCTTGGCTTCACTGCATGAGGTCATCAGGTGGTTTCAAAAGAGCTCCTCTGCGTTTTTAAAGTCCACTCCTTCGACGCTTTCACCTCAAATTCACTGCACAGTTCACCTCAGTGTTTTTAGCCTCATTTTGCCTGTTCCTCAAAACTACTGCATCCAAATCCTGGTTGTATCTCACTCCGTTTACATGCACGTCAGGAAAACCGGGAAACTCGTCAAACTGTCGAATCGAATCTCCCAGCGACACATCAGGAGGACGACTCAGCGCGGAGAGGCGTTCAACTGCTCGAGGTGAGAAACGGCAAAGCAAATGTTCGACGTGTGTGTGGACACTTTTTATATTTGGACGTACACTCAGTCGTTTAAGAGGAACAGTGATGACAAACCGCTCCACCTCTGCCGAGCACGTTTTGTTAGTTTCCGCTACATTAAAGTGAAAGTGAAACCAAACAGAGCTCCAGTGTGTTTAGGCCATTTATACGACGAAAAACTTGAACGTAAATGAGATACTGCCAAAAGTGTGGTTATAGGCTGTTTTTCTTTTTATTCTTGCAAAAGTTTTAGTGCTTATGCAAAGTTACTACAAGCACCTGAACGCCTCGTGGGCCTGTTCACACCTGCTGGGTTCTTTGACCTTTGACCTGCTGCAGATTGGGACAAGTTGGCCGGCAGATTTTGGGGCAAAGACGGTTTGAGTTTGGTTGTTCAGCAAACGTGGAGTTCCGGTTCCCTGGGCATGTAAACGGAGTGTCTGACACTGACACTGGCACTGTCCTGGTTGTATCCGTTTCTGGCTCGGTTCTGGTTGTTTCTGGTTCTGTCTCGGTCCTGGTTGTCTTAACAGAATGTTGCCCTTCCCAAAAAATGTAAAAGTGGGCAAGGTACAAACCTGAGGCCCTCTGACTGAATATATTAAAAGTCTTTTATTTCATGGAGGGACACCAACGCGTTTCGACCAGCGAGATGGTCTTTGTCGAGGCAGAACAGCAGAACGGGACACACAGGTGCCATAAAATAATCAATCACGTGACCACATCACATGACTACAGGAAAAAGAAACAAAAAACAAACAAGGTTGGCCAACCATGAGGAAAAAAATTGGTTTCGGGTTTGTACTTCTGTTAAGACGACCAGTTCAACCCTCGTAGACCTGCACTGCTCTTTTTGACTTTTTTATGACCCAGTGAAGCGCTCTGCCTCTTTTCTTCATCTGTCCTGGTCGTTTCTGTTTCTGTTTCTGGCTCTGTCCTGGTTGTTTCTGGCTCTGTTTCGGTTTCTGGTTCTGGTTCTGGCTCCGGTCTCTTTCATGGTCTTACCCATGTTGGTAAACGGCTGCTCGGTGCCGGCCTTCTCCCTGATCAGCGCCTGCATCTGCTTCTGCTGCTGCTGCTCTTGCCTCTCCTGGTCCAGAAGGTCCTGGAGGAGGAGGGGCTGTTCCTCCAGGAGCAGAGGTCGGGTTTTGGAGGGGTCCTGGGGGTCCCCCTGGCCCTTGGACTGGGCCTGGGTCTGGACCGGGCCCTGGTTTTGAGACTGGATTTGAGGGTTCAGAACCACACGAGGATGGAGACTCTGAGGAGGAGCCAGAGAGGAAGGCCCCAGCGCCCTCTGCTGGAAAACACGCTGAGGAGCTGAGAGGCAGAAAAAATATAAGTGGGATTTAACGGGCCCATATTACGCTTCTGATCTGTTCTAACGTGGTTTCCTCGTCACACACACCTGGACCTGGAACGGCGTTTTGTTTCATTCACATGTTTAACTCACTACAGCCTTTTACACTTTTGTCTGGACAAAACAGAAACTCTGACGTCCTTTTTCTCAGTTTCACACTCTGGAGAGTTAAAGCTCTTTTGCCTTTTTGCAGGGCAGAACACTCAACTGGAGAAAATTACACAACCACAAAGGCTCAGTTAAAAAAATTTATACAATCTGGAATTATTCTTGGCTTTTTTCCAGACCACAGAAGCAAGTGAAACTGAATTAATTTAATTTATCATTTATTATCTAGTTACTGCTTACTTATTTATATCATTTATTTGTATACATTTTTCTACCAGTTTTTTTTTTTTGTCATTATTTTTCAGTTTACAAGTTGAGGCTGAGGTTCTAAGGAGAAAAACTTTACAATGATGAAAACCTGTTGTGTCACGTTGTTACAGCATATCTTTGTAAATAAATAAACCTTGAATTAAAAACAAAAAACGACCACTTTGTGAAATCACAGAGGAGAAAACAGCATTTTGAGCTGTAGACAGACTAATATTAAAGTGTGAATGAAACAAACTCAGCTGCAGCTCTGTTTGTGAGGAGGAAACGACATTAAAACTCTGCTTAAAGCCACAAGAGTCAGTTTGGCGTTAGAACCTTTAACGCTGGAACCTGACCAGTTTCTGTTGTAAAGTTTGTGCTCTAATCGAACGAGAATCGAGCGCAGAGGAAAGACTGAAGGTCAGAGAAGCGTGAAAGACCACCATCGCACAACAGCTGTGCATGTGACCGAGACGTGCACTACAGCTCATGCACGTGAAGACTGGGGGAGTGCACGAGGGTTTGTGAGAGGAAGAAACAAGTTTGAAAACGTGAGAAATTGTGGAAATTAAGTTGATGTGGCCATTTGAAGAAGGTCGTCACAAACGTTCACAGTGTGAAACTACAGTCAGAAGAGTGAAAAAGAAAAATGAAAGTTCACAAATCTAGAGTTGGTCTAGTTCAGCCAAAGTTTAGTCAAATTTAGTCCAGAAAAAAGAAGTCGGGTTTTGATCCAGGCTGAGCCCAGGTCTGGGCGTTGTGTGGGTGGGGTGAAGTCAAAAGGTGACGTCATAGTGAGTTACCTGTTGCCATGGAAGCAGGCGGAGCTTGACTCTGAGCAGGTGGAGCCTCGGTCTGAAAGAGACAGTTTGGATTTGAGAAAAAGCACGGCTCAATACTGCTGCAAGGTGAAAGGGAGTATTCAACTGTTCTGCTGCGCCAAAAGAAACTACAAACCCCGACAGATAAAACTACAAACCCCGACAAAGAAACTACAAACCCAGACAGATAAAACTACAAACCCCGACAAAGAAACTACAAACCCAGACAGATGAAACTACAAACCCCGACAAAGAAACTACAAACCCAGACAGATAAAAACAAACCCAGACAGATGAAACTACAAAACCCCGACAAAGAAACAAACCCAGAAAACTACAAACCCACGAAACTACAAACCAGACAGATAAAACTACAAACCCAGACAGATAAACTACAAACCCGACAGATAAAACTACAAACCCAGACAGATAAAACTACAAACCCAGACAGATAAAACTACAAACCCAGACAGATAAAACTACAAACCCAGACAGATAAAACTACAAACCCAGACAGATAAAACTACAAACCCCGACAAAGAAACTACAAACCCAGACAGATGAAACTACAAACCCAGACAAAGAAACTACAAACCCAGACAGATGAAACTACAAACCCAGACAGATAAAACTACAAACCCAGACAGATAAAACTACAAATAAGTCATGACTGACAGCTCTTACATTAGGGAGTAAAGTGTTGCTGAATCAGTGTTGAAACCACAGACTGTATAAAGACGTGGACTACAGGAGTGTGACGTGTGTCACAGCGTTCAGCTTCAGTCAAGTGAAGCTTATTAAAGGTTGTATGGAGGATTTTGTTTTTGTTTTTTTTTGTTTCAAGTTGTCAATGATAGCATTATAGAGGTGCAGTAGCCTTGTAATTATGATGACCAAAAAAAAGAGAATAAAAATTCATCAACTCTGGACGTGGTGGGGCTAAACATTTGCCAATAGATAACGACATTGCCTCGTTATCTGTTAGCTGACAGGCTGTCAATCAATCTCTCCCTACGTTTCTAGTGTAACTGACTTGCCTGCGCCGCCGGTACGTGGTTTACGTACGCCTGTCACGCAGTCCACAGACGCAAGACGCACAGACGCTGTTTACTCCACCAACACAACAGTTCTTAGCGGCTTTTTTTTGACCTATATCTTCCTCGCAGTTCGCACAAAGTTTGTTGCAATGGCGACAAGAATCCAGGAGCAGTTAGCCGCAAAAGAAAGTCCGTTTTTGAGGTCGCTGAAAGAAGAAGACAAGGGGAAAAGCAGCGAAGCCAAACTAAGGTGATTCTTGTAGATTCATTCCAGCGATGGCGCGACTGAAGCAGACGCAGGGTCTAAAGACTGACGCATTGGTCGCCAAATTACTCCTGGACAGGAAACTTCTGCTTATTATGAAAACGTACTTTATTTCCAAGAGCTAGTCAAACGTTTTTCAGGACACGAAAGCGATATCCTATGTCTGAAAACGTAATTTTCAAGGCAAAGAAAGAGTCCGCTTGCTGCTGCGTGTTGTAGCTAGTTCATTCGCACTGAATCTCCGCGCAACCTTCTCTGCTCCCCTTTCCTACTCCTGTCCCCGCTGCCCGTTCCGCTCTTCCCCCTTCTCCTCACTTCTCCGGGCACGGAATCTCCGCGCACCGCTCCCCTCTCCTCTCTCCTCTCTCCCTGCTCCTCACTTCTCGTCCGCGAACGAAATGTCCGCACACCCGCTCCCCCCGCTCCTCACTTCTCCGCCTTGTCTAACCAACACTGTAGTTAGTTGTTTACAAGTCATGTGCAGCTCACCGGCTGTAAACAAACCTGTTTCTGGCGTAAAGAGGAGGCGGAAGAAGGCGTTTCTACGTAGGGAGCTGTAGGGGAGGGGGGGTGGTTTCACGCATGCGCAACATTTGAAAAAGGACAAACAGTCGCTGGATTTCTCGTTCCTTGGAAAATCCTCTATACAACCTTTAAGGCGAGCCGTTACAGTGGTGAATTTGGGGCAGTGTTCCATATTTGGAATTTCGACTGACAGTATCAAAGCGACCAAAGAGCCAATCAGGAGAAGCGAGGCTGTTGAAGGTAACAGCCCAACTCTCTGCTAAACCTGCACTGCGGACGCTTTGTCAATCACACCTGTTGCTATCATCAGCAGGAGAGACTTCAGGGAAAGACTGACTGAAGTCTGTTATTTAATGTTTGTATCTTTATTTTGTGACAAAACAGCAAAATAAAACCCAGGATACTGTACGGGGGATTATTAAGAACATTTTAAGACCAAAACGAGGAGCCTGACAGCTGCAGTTACAGACAGAGCGAACACGGTTTATCAACAGAAAATGAACTGGAGCCAAAGTGCGACCATGTTCACTTCCTGTTTGGAGTGCAGCAGTGAGTGGGTTAGATATGTCCTTTTATATACGGTCTATGGGTGAAAACAGTCATGAAGGAGAGATGTGAAAAGCCAGAATTCTCTGGCCTCGTTTTGATGATTTAGAAACTTTTCTGATTGATTAAAAATCACAGATGAACCTAATTAATCAGATTTATTCAGATCTACATGTCACTGTGTTCTCCACATTTACAGAACTCACCTTGAGTCCGACTGTGGTCACTGCTGGAGCTCCAGGTGCGGGGAGTCTCACAGGGACCATGTGCCCAGTGTGAGACGCCTGATTCTGCAGCGCGCTCCCAGACTCCCTCCCTTCAGGCTTCACTTCCTGTTTGATCTGATTGGAGGCGGCCGATTGGCCGGAGTGCTCCCCGGACTTCCTGTCTCGCTCCTGGTCCACGGGGTCCAGGTCGAGGTCGGCGTTGTCGAGGTTCATCTCCGGGTCGGCGTAAGCGATCAGGTCAAACTGGCCAGTCACCAGGAAGTCGTCCAAGTGCAGGTCGTTAGCGGCAAGATCCAAGTCCTCTTTACCTGAACAAACAAAAGAGAAAAAAACAAAAACAAAAGACAGAGTTTAAGACAAGAGAGAAGAGAGGAGAGAGAGGAGAAAGGTGTGAGAATAGTCTGTGGTAATAAAGAGAGCTGCTCTTAGGTGTGTGACAATAAAGAACTGATTCCTGAGCAGGTTTCTCTTGGTGTAAACCGTGTGACCTGCAGCATTAGGATTCATTCACTCGACAGGAGGCGGGGACTTTTTTTATTGAACCAATCGCTGCTGTTTGGTCGTGTCGTTTGTAATGCTCCAAATCCTGTAGGAAGAAGAACAATAACGTCTTTCCCCGAGATCAAATTCATCAAACATTCTCTTTGTTCTGGATTTAAATCCTCAGGGATCTGGGAAATGTCTGTCTTCATCTACATCTCGAAACCTCACTGTTTACTGTTGTGCTCTTCCACAAAAGGGACACAGGCAGACGACACGACCACGACGTCATGACTTCACAGCTCACAGCTGATTGGCCAGTGTACGTCTACAACTTCCGGGGTTTTTTGCGAATCGTCTAGTGTTTTCTGATTTCTGATCTAGTCTCTGGAGAGAAATGAAATTGAGCAGAGGCACTAGGGGGCGCCAGACTGGATACATTACACTGGCAAATTACACAATGGGCTCTAATGTGAATAAATACGTGAACAAATATAATTACAATGTCATTATATGTTAGAGAAAGAAACACTTCGAAAATGTTAAAGTACGGCTACTACAGCGGGTTTTGTGTAGAAGATATAGAGGATATAAGACTGAATCTAAAGTACTTTCTGCAAATATTACGACCAGAAAGTGCCAGAAGAAGAGCTGGGTGTGACGGAGCTTTGTCAATCTGACTCAGTTTCACTTCTGCTGCTCTAAATCCACACGCACACACACAGACAACAGGCTTTGGCACTTTTTGCATTTTAAACTCAGTTAAACGTGTCGCTGTGGAGGTCTCAGGTCAAATACCGTCTTCTGGGTCTAAGTTGAGGTTGAGGTCCACCAGGTCCTTCACTTCCACATCCTCCAGGTCTTTCACGGCCGAGTCTTCTCCCTCCAGGTGCTCCTCCATCGACTCGCCGCCCGCCAGCTCCACGTTAGCCGCCATCCCGATGGGCTGCTGCTGCTGCTGACGAGGGGGCGGGGCTTCCTGCTCGGGGACGGGGAACGGCAGGCGGAGGCGGTGCTCGGGCGCCCGGTGCCGGAGCTCGATGTACGGCTGACCCATGATGCTGTGGGACGGGTGGGGCTGGACCGGGACCGAGCGCGGGAGGAAGGGCGGCTGAGGCACTCCTGCGGACGACAGGTACAGGTGTGTGAGGTACAGGTGTGTGTGGTGTGAGGTACAGGTGTGTGTGTGTGTGAGGTACAGGTGTGTGTGTGTGTGTGTGTGAGGTACAGGTGTGTGTGTGTGTGAGGTACAGTGTGTGTGAGGTGTGTGTGTGTGAGGTACAGTGTGTGTGTGTGTGTGGTACAGGTGTGGTGTGTGTGTGGTGAGGTACAGGTGTGTGTGTGTGAGGTACAGTGTGTGTGTGTGTGTACAGGTGTGTGTGTGTGAGGTACAGGTGTGTGTGTGTGTGAGGTGTGTGTGTGTGTGTGTGGTACAGTGTGTGTGTGTGTGTGTGTGGTACAGGTGTGTGTGTGTGAGGTGTGTGAGGTGTGTGTGTGTGAGGTACAGGTGTGTGTGTGTGAGGTGTGTGTGTGTGAGGTACAGGTGTGTGTGTGTGTGTGTGAGGTACAGGTGTGTGTGTGTGTGAGGTACAGTGTGTGTGTGTGTGTACAGTGTGTGAGGTACAGGTGTGTGTGTGTGAGGTACAGGTGTGTGTGTGTGTGAGGTACAGGTGTGTGTGTGTGTGAGGTACAGGTGTGTGAGGTACAGGTGTGTGTGGTACAGGTACACACTGATACTCGTCTATGTACTACACACTCGTGCACCTGGTACAGATACAACCTCCTACTCTAACGCTGAAGACTGTGTGATCTGTAGACCTGAAGTCCACCTGGCACTGGGGGCATTAGGGGCATTAGGGGCATTAGGGGCAGACCTGGCATCATGTGCGGGTGCGGGGGTCTGATCCCGGTGAAGTCTGTGGGTCTGCGGATGGGCACAGGGCCCTCTGGGGCACCAGGCACCGGGCCCTGGGCCGGGCGCATGAAGGAGTCCTGAAGCCCTGGAGCTCCTGGAGGAACCGCGAACCTGCCACAGAGGAGAGGGCACAGGGTTAACAACAGTCTCCGTGGTAACCAGAGACAGGTCTCCGTGGTAACGCGTCTCACCTGAGGGGTCCTCTGATGAGCATCTGTCGGGGGAAGGCCCCTGCCTCTCCGGGCGGGAAACCCCGCAGCTGCTGTTCGGGGTGGAGCCTGAGAGTGGGCGGAGCCACAGGCCTCATCTGCCCAGGATACGGCGGCGGGGGCCGTCCGAACGGGTCGGGCTCCTCCTGTGGCCAATGACGGACCGAGGGGGCGGGGCTAGGCGCAGAGGGGGCGTGTCCGGGAGCCGTCTGAGTTTGAGGTAAATGAGCCGGGGCGGGAGGGGCCTGCGTGGGCGCGAGGGGCGGTGTCGGCGTTGGCGCGGCGCTCTGCCCCGGGGCGGCCGCGGCGGGTCCCGGCCCCGCCTCCTGCAGGCCTTTCTCCTGTCGCAGAGCGCTCTTCTGCTGCTGCTGTCGGAGGATGAGCTGCCGCAGACGCTGACGCTGTGGAGCACAGGACGAGCACAGGACGGTCAGAGCAAAGACCCACACACACACACACTCTGCATGCAGCGGGCGAACAGCAGAGGGCGCCGCTCAAAACAACACATTAACATTCAGCGCTCAGCAGCGCCCTCTGCTGGTCAGGACCGAGTCATAGAACTGGAGTTACATGCGTAACCTTCTGTTTGATTTAGTTTAAACTTAACCACAAAAATGTGACATGATGAAGCTCCGTGCTCCTCACGAGCACAAACACATGCTGTGAAGTGTGTCAGGGCACACACGGGCAGTCCGGGTCACACAGGGGTCAGTCTAAGTCTGGGGTCAGTGTGGGGTCACACAGGGGTCAGTCCGGGGTCACAAAGGGCTCGGTCACTGCAGGGTCACATAGAGGTCAGTCTGGGATCAGTCCGGGGTCACAGAGGGGTCAGTCTGGGGTCACAGAGGGGTCAGTCCGGGGTCACACAGAGGTGGGTCTGGGATCAGTCCGGGGTCACAGAGGGGTCAGTCTGGGGTCACAGAGGGGTCAGTCCGGGGTCACAGAGGGGTCAGTCCGGGGTCACAGAGGGGTCAGTCTGGGGTCACACAGAGGTGGGTCTGGGGTCAGTCCGGGCGGACACACTGGTGACTGGTTCAGGCGCGTGCACAAGCCTCATGCATAGAGATTGTCTGCTCTGTACCATCTCTGTCACCTGTCTCAGTTTGTCCTCCGAGTCTCCGATCTGAGGCATCATGCTCATCGGCCCGTCGGCTCCCAGTGCTGACAGCTCGTTGGACGAGAGCAGCTTGTCGTTCTGGGGGCCCGCGGACCCGTGACTCTGCTCGAAGGGGTCGTGGCCCGGAGTGTGACCCTCCTCTGATATCCCAGCATGCTTTGGGGTGTGCTGCTGAGGCTGGGGTCGACCCGGAGAACGCTGGAAAAACAACAACCGTTAGAATCAGACGGAAAGTGAAACAGAGCACGAAACAATCACAATTAAGAACATGTTTAAACTGGGACTAAACCAGGACTACAGCGGGACTACAGCGGGACTAGAGCGGGACTACAGCAGGACTAGAGCGGGACTACACCGGGACTACACCAGGAATAGAGCAGGACTACACCGGGACTAGAGCAGGACTCAGATGTTTACCTGGTGATGTGGGGGGAATCCAGCTGCATCTGCGCTCAGTCCTGGGGCTCTGGGAGAGGATCCGGACGCGGCGGGTCCCTGCCCAGAGAAAGAGTCTGTGCCCTGGGTGTAGGCTTCGGGAGAGGGCCTGGGGGTGCCCACGGGGGAGCGGGGGAAGCGCGGGGTGCCGGGCGTCTGCGGGTTGGAGTAAGGGTCCGGAGAGGGTCTGGAGGTCAGGGGGGACTGGTGGCTGAGAGCTTCCCCGGCCTGCTGGGTGTAGTCGGGTCTGGGGGTGCCGGGGGCCTGGGAGTAAGGGCTGCGGTGAGGCGAGCCCAGACCGGACAGAGGGCTGGAGGGGAAGTCCTGGTTCAGAGGGAAGCCCAGGTCTGTGGGACGAGACGGGTCCCGCCGCGCCGCAGAGAAGTCCGGCTGGTGAGGGGGCATCTGCTGGTGAGGGGGCATCTGCTGGTGAGGGGGCATCTGCTGGTGCGGGGGCATGGGCTGGTGCGGGGGCATGGGGCTGGTGCGGGGGCATGGGCTGGTGCGGGGGCATGGGCTGGTGCGGGGGCATGGGCGCCTTGAACACGGGCCGATGGTACGACAGACGAGAGTGGTCCACCCCAGAAGGACTGAGCATCCCAGGACGAGGCTGCTGCAGAGCTGAGGAAGAGGAGGAGGAGGAGGAGGAAGAGGTTAGAGCCAGAGCCACGTGTACAGAGACTAAAACAACAATGTCACATAACAATAAAATGATGTCAGTTTAATCACTGACAACATTTAAAACACGTCTCTGAAGATTCTCGGAGCAGCACTGAGCCAGAACTATGGGCAGTATCAGTGTATTCTGGTGTAACAATGTGAGTGTGCGTGGGAGTGTGTATGTGTGTATGTGTGTGTGTGTGTGTGTGTGTGTGTGTGTGTGTGGGTGTGAGTGTGTATGTGTGTATGTGGTGTGTGTGTGTGTGTGTGTGTGTGTATGTGTGTGAGTGTGTATGTGTGTGGGTGCGTGTGTGTGTGTGAGTGTGAGTGCGTGTGCGTGTGTGAGTGTGTGTGTGTGTGTGTGAGTGTGTGTGTGTGTGTGTGTGTGTGTGAGTGTGTGTGTGTGTATGTGTGTGAGAGTGTATGTGTGTGGGTGCGTGTGTGTGAGTGTGTATGTGTGTGGGTGCGTGTGTGTGAGTGTGAGTGCGTGTGTGTGTGTGTGTGTGAGTGTGTGTGTGTGTGTGTGTGAGTGTGTGTGTGTGTGAGTGTGAGTGCGTGTGTGTGTGTGTGTGAGTGCGAGTGTGTGTGCACGTGTGAGTAGTTTTGGGTTGATTTGGCCTAATTTATGTCCCTGGAGCCACAATAATTATTTCCTCACCACAGAGACTCATAAACAAGTGACTGAAGAGGCTCAGTTATGTGTGTGAACTAAAGTCTGTAAATAGTTTGGAGTATTTTTGTTCCTCCCACTGCTGCTCCTAAACCTTCAGTGTTCTACTGCAGCTCCTGTGATGTCATGAAGTGGTGAACAGTGTGAAACACGACCTAAATCTTTATCGAAGTCTTTTATCTGGTGTTTTACTGCGGGGGAACCGGGTGTTCTGACGTTCCGTGTGGGGGTCTTACTTTGTTGCGGGGCCATGCTCCTGAACATCTCAGCTGCTTTGGCGTCCGGAGAGGGCGCGGGCGACCCCAGTGCATCGTGGGCCGGGGAGGCGCTCAGAGAGTTCCTCCGCGCCTGTAGGGGAGGCTGCGGAGCGCTGGGCGGCCGCGGCGTGCCCACCATTTTGCCGTAGGGGTCCCACGGCGACGAGGGTCGCGAGGAGGGCGGGGAGAACATCTGCGGAGAGGAGGGAGAGAAGCCGGAGAGAGGCGGGGCCTGAGGGCGCAGGAACACGTCATCCGCCAATCCCGACGCGCCGCCGCTCCCCCCCAGCTGCTGATTGGACGCCATGGGGCTGCGGCTGCCGGTATCCGGGGAAACGCCGCCGCACAGCCTCTGATTGGTCAGGATCTGCTGCTGTCGCTGCTGCAGGAGCTGCTCGTTCTTCACCTGCTCCAGTTTCTGAGTGGCCTCCATCTTGGCCAGCTGTTTACTCTTCTGACGCATTTGCTGCAACGCACAGAGCGCAGTGAGACGCCGACGCCATTGCACTGCACAAACTAAAGGACCGTACACAATACTGATGCCCCCCACCCTCCTCAGCCTGTGTGTCAGATGCCCTCCCACCCTGCTACAGCGTGAGCATCAATTATAAGAAACATCAGTGTGAACTGTGTCATGTGACCAGGCCCAATCTGATTATGGATTATAGATTTGAAGAGCGTTTGTGAGTAAAGTCGCCCGTGTAAACACACACTCACACAGACGTGTGCGTGTACAAAGGAGTCTGTGTTTACTGTCCGACACTTGAACAGTTAAAGTGCTGATAAAAGTGGGCAGAGTGGAGGTGGTCCATTAGTTTGCGCTGAGTTGAGTTGGTATGGCGTCGTTACATGGCGTGGTAATGCTCTCTGTCCCTGATTCTGAGGATGGAGCATGCAGTGACCAGAAGGGGGCGCAACACGGAGACACCACTGAGGCTTTACATCCACAAGAATCTAAAAAACCTTTAAATGTCTATTGGATGTAAAAAGCGTGGTCCCTGTGGTGGTGCAGTTCTAGCAGGGGCAGGGGTGACTCACTCTCTCTCCTGTTTCACTTTAAATATCATCATGACTTATTGATTTCACTTAGAATAAAAACAGTGTTCAAAGACAGACTGAGCAGCAGACACCAGCTCTGGGCCACGGTTTGGGTCTGAGAGTTCTGAGTCCAACTATCTGAGATCCTCTGAGGGTCAAATGATCAGATTGTGGAGCTACATTTGACCCGTTCTTCACCCGGCTGGAGGATTGGCCTAAAGCTGAACCGCAGACACAGGCAGAACATGCAAACTGTCGGGAGATCAGATGTGAGGAGACTGGTTTGAGCAGTAAATGTGATCACGTCTGCACTCTAAGAAACACTGGGCTGAATGAGAAGCAGTTTTAAACGTCCCGTATCACACTCTGCTCCGCTCGCTTCTAACGTCGTTTCCTCGTCACACTCCTGTGTTTTATTCACACAAACCTGCACATTTAACACCAGTTCTTCTCTCAAACTGAAAACACTCTGTTCAACCCTGTGATGTCACTGAGTGGTGATTAGGGGAGTGCAAAAATATTGAAATATTGATAAATATCATATTGTTTAATGTGATGATACAGTATCGATATCGTGGGCTGTTGTATCAATATATCACCAAGAAGATTTTTTTGGGTTTATTTTACTAAATGATTTAGTTTCAGCTCCAGTTTTGTTGTTGTTGTTTGAGGATTTAAATGTTTGTGTTTCAGATGAACTTTGCACAAGAAGTGATTTAACAAAGACTTTTAGTGTCTCAGACATGATTTAGTCTTTGTTTTTTATTGAACGGTATCGAATCAACTTGTATCAAACCAAAAGTGCACTGTATCGAGGTGTGTATTGTATGACGGCCTAAGTATCGTATCGTGGCCAATGTATCGAATCATAGCCTACGTATTGAGGTATGTATCGTAGCCTAAGTATCGTGGCCTATGTATTGAGATATGTATCGTATTGTGATCTATGTATCGAGGTATGTATCGTATCGTTGCCTAAGTATCGTATCGCGCCCTAAGTATTGTATCGCGGCTTGTGTATCGAGGCATGTATCGTATCGTATGTATCGTAGCCTATGTATCGTATATGTATCGAGGTGTGTATCTTATCGTGGCTCGTGTATCGAGCAGCTCCTAGTGGTGATACAGGAAGTGCTCCACTGTGTTTTTAAACTCCACACACCTTCACTAGACAACTGAACACTACAACTTCGTGACATCACGAGGTGGAACAGAGCGTTTTGAGTTTTGGAGACGTAAACAGACTCAGAATAAAGAGTCAAACAAACACAAGTCCAGCTGTGTGCGTGTGAGGAGGAACATTAGAACACGAGTCAGTTTTGTGTGATATGGGACGTTTAAACCTCGGATCACAACATTAGTAATAAAAACATGTTAATAAGTGGATAGTTTTTATGCACGTTGAGTTTTCACAGTGTAAATAATCGTTTGGGAAACAGGTTAATTTGAGTGATGTGTGAAGCAGCCCTCCTCTCGTCAGTGTTTGGTGTTTGGTGTTGACATTTTGCAGCTGGTGTCGTCGTCGTCTCTCCCTGGGGGTGTGACGTTAAACTCAAACCACGGCTGTTACGCAAATTAGACTTTAATGTGAGCTTCGTTTTAACACGGTCTGAGCGGAAAGAGCCGGAACTACAACAGATGAGCTCGTGTCATCAATCAAACTCTTAAACGGGACCATGAACGAACGCTCGCTCTGATCACAGCAAAATGAAAATGTGCTCTTTAAATTAGAGTGACCAGAATTTCTAAATAAAAAACTGGGACCTCCCCGGACTTTTGGGGGTTGGTGATAAAAAACAAATAATAAAAAGTTAAACGAGTGCGTAATTAAGGAGACCATTCATGACAAACATGTGAGTCAGTAGAGTCACATTTTCTTTGTGTTTTGGTCGTTTTTAAGCAACTTGTTTGTATTTTACTGAAACAAAAGACAGTTTAAGTCTCTCTTTACTGTTCTCAGGGATCAGATTGGACAAAAACAGGGACATCTCGGAAATTTCTCATAAAAAACTGGGACCAATCAGTGGTTTTGTATAAATCTGCAGGAACGGGGTCCCCACTCTTTTTCACTGACAAAATTTCAAAACTTTTCCATGAGTTTTTCATGAGCTAAAGTGAATTTTCCATGACTTTACTGCACTTACATGTGTAAAATTGATCAGACTTTTAGAGCTAAATCTGAAATGTGAACTCACCTTATGGTTTGGGATTAAAGTTTTTGAACATTCAAAATCCTGTCAGTGCATTTATTGTCGTTTCTTTTAAAAGGCCCATCTCATGCAAAATCAAATTTTCAGATCTTTCTACCTTCTAAGAGTGATGTGTGGGCCTTGTATTTGTCGTCGAAGTGGTTTTTATTGATTTTTTTTTTTTTTTAAACAAATTGCAGCGTATTTCTTCCAACCTCCCACGTGACAACGAACTAAAGCTGCTACAACGGTGACGCGGCAGATACACCTATGACATGTTTGACGTAACAGAAAACGCTTCGCATTCGCCCCCCTCCCCCGCTCCATTGCCTCCACCCCGTTTATGAATACTTCACCGATCACACGGTGCTTGAGCTTCGTGCTCTATCAGGGAGCACGTCTGTCTCCCCCTCCCTCCCTGAGACGGCGGAGGAAGGGCGGCTCACTCGTCGCCTACGTCACGTTTGGAAGGCGGAGCCTGTGCTTTCTCAGGACGGGCGGGGGGAGGAGCAATAGTCGGACTTTCATAGTTCCTGGTCTGTGACTGTCTCCAAGAAATCAGTAAAATTTCAGAACTATTGTGTAATGGATGTTCCAAAACCCAAACTGTGCTTGTTTATGTGCAGAAGATATAAGGTGAAGAGAGTTATTTTACATCAGATGGGCCCTTAAAGGAAAACTGTTCTGCAGAGACCACTCATGACCAACATGAGTCAGTAAAGTCAAAGTTTTCTTTGTGTTTTGGTCGTTTTTAAGCAGATTTTCTATATTTTACTGAAACTAAAGCCAGTTTAAGTCTCTCTTTACTGTTGTCAGGAATCAAATTGGGCAAAAATAGAGACACTGGGACATTTCTTGTATAAAACTGGGACAAATCAGTGGTTTTGGATAAATCTGCAGGTACAGGAGACACAGGCTCAGGGTTTTCCGTGACTTTTTCATGATTTTACGGCACCTACATGTGTAGAACTGATCAGACTTTTAGGGCCAAATCTGAAATGTGAACTCTTTCCACTCACCTTATGGTTTGGGATTATAGTTTTTGAACATTCTAAATCCTGACAGTGCATTTACTGTCGTCTCTTCTAAATAAAAGACGCAAAGACGTTCAGAAATAATCAGAACAGACTCATGAGAACTTAGAACGCTGGAGTTGAGTGAAAGAGATCCTCAAATACTTTTCCAAAACTTTCTCTGAATTTACAAAAGTGCCATGACATTTTCAATTTCCATGACAATTCCAGGATTTCCATGACCGTGGGAACCCTGGGACTGTCCCGGGTCAACAGGAACATCTGGTCACTCTACTTTAAATCCATTTTCTATACGTCTCGATTTCCAGACCGTCTTCAAACGTTTTTTTGTTTTGTTTTTTTTTTTGGTCTGTGTTTGGTAAAGCGTGCAGCGCTGTGTCACCGTGGAAACCGCCAACAGAGACACACGTAGGACACCCCCGGCGCGACGTCACTGCAAAGCATCAACACATCTAAAGCTCGTGTTTTTTGGGTTTTTTTTGTTTTGTTTTTTTTAAATGGAGCACTGATCCGAGCTGGAGTTTGGGCTGAGTGCTGCGGCGGTGGCGTGTGTGAGCTGTGGTGCGGTTTAGAGTCCGGATTGGCGGCAGTGGTGGGCGTGGCCTGTGGTGGGCGTGGCCTATGGGAGGGAGGGGGGGAGCTCAGGGCGTTGGACACAGAAGTCTGCCTGTAGAGTGAGGTCTTACCAGAGGCTCTTGGCCCGCTCCTGCTACAGATGCCTGGAAGGGACAATCTTTATGTGATGGTGATTTTAGCCCGGAGCCCCATCTCTCATTTACCTCTCCCTTTTCAATGACAGTTAGAGACATTAGTGAAACCTCATGCACATCGTTAATATTCAAATGATTATGTCAATATGCAAATGAGCCCCGCCCCCACACACCTGGGAAACGCATGCAGCTCACTACGATGGAACTAACCAGGGGAAACCGACTACAGACCGGGACTAGACCGGGACTAAACAGGACTAAAACAGACTACAGACCGGGACTAGACCGGGACTAAAACAGGACTACAGACCGGGACTAGACCAGGACTAAAACAGGACTAAACCAGGACTAAAACAGGACTAAACCAGGACTAAAACAGGACTAAACCAGGAGTAAACCAGGAGTAAACCGACTACAGACCAGGACTAAACCGACTACAGACCAGGACTAAACCAGGACTAAATCAACTACAGACCGGGACTAGACCGGGACTAAACCAACTACAGACCGGGACTAGACCGGGACTAAACCAACTACAGACCGGGACTAGACCGGGACTAAACCAGGACTAAACCGACTACAGACCGGGACTAAACCAGGACTAAACCGACTACAGACCGGGACTAGACCGGGACTGAACCAGGACTAAACCAGGACTAAACCAGGACTGAACCAAGACTAAACCAGAACTAAACCGACTATAGACCAGGACTAAACCAGGACTAAACCAACTACAGACCGAGACTAAAACAGGACTAAACCGGGACTAAACCAGGACTAAACCAGGACTGAACCAGGACTGAACCAGGACTGAACCAGGACTAAACCAAGACTAAACCAAGACTAAACCAGAACTAAACCGACTACAGACCAGGATTAAACCAGGACTAAACCAAGACTGAACCGAGACTGAACCGACTAGAGACCGGGACTAAAACAGGACTAAACCGGGACTAAATCAGGACTAAACAGACTACAGACCAGGACTGAACCAGGACTAAAACAGGGCTAATCCAGGACTAAACCAGGGCTCAACTGGGACTAAACCAGGACTACACCAAGAATAAACCAAGAATAAACCAGGACTAAACCAGGACTAAACTGGAACTAAATTGGGACTAAACCAGAACTAAACTGGGACTGAACCAGGAAGAACCCAGATCTTTATCGTTGGACAAAACAAGGACTACATCAGGACTAAACCTGGTCTGCATCACAGGACAAAGCAAAGACTAAACCAAGACTAAACCAGGACTAACCCAGAACTAACCCAGGCCTAAACCAGGACTACATCAGGTCTACATCAGGACCATATCAGAGCCAGACGTGGGCCTAAACCAGAGTGAGTTTCGGTTTCCCCTGCGTCTCTACACAGATGATGTGGATGGCGTCAGAATGGCCGCCTCACCTGCCGCATCTTCCACTCCTGCTCCTGCTCCGTCTCCTTGGGCCTTAGCGGGTCCTTGAACATGGCGTCCGTCTCCATGGAAACGGGGTCGTAGTTCATCTGCGGCGGCGGGGCGAGGCGTTTCAGCGGGTCGGGAGGCAGCTGCACTTTATTGATTCTCTGAGCGGCGCGGTTGTCTCGCGCTTTTTGCTGGAAAATTAAACGGAATTTAAAGAGGAGGGTTTGAACAACGCCCGGGAGAGATCACTAGATTACTCAAACATGCACGGGTGGCGTCTACAGAGAACCTGGTCTGAAATACTTGGTTATATTAGAACTCAGCAGTGGGACAAACGAGTGTAAGTGCATGAGCATGAGCAGGACTTTTGGACTGACCACAAACGGAGCGCGGTCCTGGGAGCTCGCCTTCCTCCACAGTTTGGCGATCTGTTTCATCCTCGACGGCCAGTCTGGGAAAAAACAAAACATACATAAAAATTTATGAAGAAATGGGCTCAACTTAAGTCTAAAGCAGAGCTGAAGCAGGACTAAAACAGGACACTACTAGGATTGTCGGCTTGTTCGCAGTGACTCAGTTGTTCAGTTGTGTCTAGAAGCGGCACGTTGCACTTACTTTTTCGGTTCGTTCCTCCGTTCTGTTCCTCGTCGGCGTGGAGTGATGAGTGTGTCTGTGGGTGTGTTTCGCTGTGCGGTCGCTGTCTGCTCCGTTTGTGTGTTTGTGTGTTCTGTGGGTGGTGCGGTTTTGTAGTTTACTGAAGTCGTACTCGGACACCCGAGTGGATTCGTGTATAAGGCGCTCGCTCTGGATTGTGTTGTTTTTTGATGGGGTTGGAGGCTTAAGAGCGCGACTAATACTCCAGAAAATACGGGAATTTAAACTCACCTGGATACTGTTCTTTGTGTAGTTAAACTCACCTGGATACTGTTCTTTGTGTAGTTAAACTCACCTGGATACTGTTCTTTGTGTAGTTAAACTCACCTGGATACTGTTCTTTGAGTTGGGGGAACTTGATGTTGCAGTAGAGCACAGGTGCGACTGTGGCCTGTTCTCCCAGAGGCTCCTCCTTCTCCCACTTCAGCATCCCCCTCTGCGCCGTCGACAGCACGTCCTGGTCGTCCGCGGGAGACTGCGCCTGATTGGACGGCGTGAGGGAGTGGGCGGGGCCGGGGAGGGGCGCGGCGGAGCCCGAGTGAGGGGGCGGGGCCACCCTGAAGCGGGGCGTGGCCTGCGGGCCCAGAGGCATCATGGGAGACGCGGGGAAGTGAGAGGAGGTGCCCATCAGACCGTTGACCAGCGGGAGGCGCGGGAACTGTCCACCTGAACACATTACATCAGCGTTAAAGCTGCACTGTGGAGCTTTTCTACTTGGGCCCATGGAGATGTTAAACTTATCTCCATGGAAACAAGCAGGTGACACCCACAGGTCACGTTATGGGTCAGTGATGGTTTACAAGTTTGTAATGTGTTTGTAATATTTAATAAATGTGTGTTTGTATGTGTGTGTGTACAGGTGTGTGCGTGTACAGGTGTGTGCGTGTGTGTGCGTATGTGCATGTACAGGTGTGTTGTGCGTGTACAGGTGTGTTATGTGCGTGTACAGGTGTGTGCGCGTGTACAGTGTGTGTGCGCGTACAGAGGTGTGTGCGTGTACAGGTGTGTGTGTGCGTGTGTGTGCGTATGTGCATGTACAGGTGTGTTGTGCGTGTACAGGTGTGTTATGTGCGTGTACAGGTGTGTGTGCGTACAGGTGTGTTGTGCGTGTACAGGTGTGTTGTGTGCGTGTACAGGTGTGTGTGCGTACAGGTGTGTGTGTGTGTACAGGTGTGTGTGCGTACAGTGTGTGTGTGCGTGTACAGGTGTGTGTGCGTGTACAGGTGTGTGTGCGTACAGGTGTGTGTGCGTGTACAGGTGTGTGTGCGTGTACAGGTGTGTGCATGTACAGGTGTGTTGTGCGCGTGTGTGCGTATGTGCATGTACAGGTGTGTTGTGCGTGTACAGGTGTGTGTGTGTGCGTGTACAGGTGTGTGTGTGCGTACAGGTGTGTGTGCGTGTACAGGTGTGTGTGCGTGTACAGGTGTGTTGTGCGTGTACAGTGTGTGTGTGTACAGGTGTGTGCGCGTACAGGTGTGTGCGCGTACAGGTGTGTGCGCGTACAGGTGTGTGCGCAGTGTGTGTGCGCGTACAGTGTGTGTGCGTGTACAGGTGTGTTATGTGCATGTACAGGTGTGTTATGTGCATGTACAGTGTGTGTGCGTATGTGCATGTACAGGTGTGTTGTGTGTGTACAGGTGTGTGTGCGTACAGGTGTGTGTGCGTGTACAGGTGTGTGTGTGCGTACAGAGGTGTGTGCGAGTACAGGTGTATGTGCATGTACAGGTGTGTGCGCGTACAGGTGTGTGCGCGTACAGGTGTGTGCGCGTACAGGTGTGTGCGCGTACAGGTGTGTGCGCGTACAGGTGTGTGCGTGTACAGGTGTGTGCGTATTTGCATGTACAGGTGTGTGTACCTGGGGCAGGGGGGTGGGGCTTGCTGCTGGCCTGAGGTTCTGATTGGCTGTTGCGGTTTGGACTGAGGACAGCAGTGAACAGATCTTCTACGTCTTTACCTTCGAGCTCTGACAGAAAAAAACACAAGATCCATCAGAACAAATGCACAACACACAGATATAAAAGTATAAACACAGACGTGAGGAAACTCACCTGGGATTTTGTAGAGTTTACTCAGAATCGCACCTGGAAAACACAACACAGGTTTAATAATGTGAACTTCTTTCATACTGATGAGACTCTGCAGTTAAACTCATGATTCACAAGTCTCATCTGTCCTTAAATAAATGAACCGCTTACTCCTCGTCATTTTTTCTGCGTCGTTTTAGATGAGCGCCCCCTGCAGGTGAAGTCTTTAGAGCTTTTGTCTTGGGTTGGGTGATGTCCCTTTAATTGGCCGCTGACGATGTTTACAGTGAATCACGGTGATGGACGACGACATCAGGAGGGTAAGTTCATTGTTTATTTGATTTAATTTTTCAACTCAAAATGTATAATTTTGTTATTTTATGAACATAATTCCTCATCCGGGGCTTTGACACGTGATGGAAAAAAGCTTCATTTAAGAAGAGTTGGTCCATTGATGCAGCTGTTGGTTGTTCAGAAGGACACGACTTCTGCCCGACGTGTGCTTCAGTTCCACTTTTGTTTCTCGTATTTGTCTCTTTATTTCAACGGCAGCGCATGAACCACATGCTCTTATTTTTATGAAGAACTTTACACTTTTACTGTGTGGTTCCCTGCACGGAGGAGAATCATTGAGAACTTTACGCACTCGCTCCACGCTGGAGATATTTACCAACGAGGAGCAGGATTTTGGCAGAGTTTTGGAGTGGACGTGGATTTATTCTGCTGTACTTTGGCTTTGAGACACTTTAAACACTGCGCTCTGGAGACTGGATGTTTTCAGCTGAATACAAGTTTCACGCTGTTTGTTCAGTTCTTCTGTTTTAGCGGTGAGACTCACTGAGCTTTGTTTGGACACATGTAGAACGTGTAGAACGTGTTGAACATGAGCTCTGTTTGTGTCGTACATTTGTCTCTGCAGGTTCTGAAACAAGCTGCGTATTAGTTCTATCCAGGATTTAATTTACAGTCTAATCCCGGCAAAGTTTCTAGGTTCCCCGAGGCCTACAGAAGATCAGTGCATCGTGATGTTGGGTCGTCCATCACCATCCATTCCCATGACACTGTCCATCAGAACAGTCCTACTTTTGCCGTGCCCCTTTTTGGTCGATAAATCGTCTTCAGCTCAGATCTTTATCCTCGTTCAGCCTTACTGTTATGAAAGCCCGCAGCCTCTGTTGGCGCCACTACTTCCTGTCCACTTTCAGCTCTGTGTGGGTTTTGCTAAAGTGAACAAATATTTAAAAATCTGAACAGCGAACCGGAAGCTGTGGGCGGACGTGACAGATGTGACAGATGTGACAGACCACATGTGAAAAAGACCACAAACAGAACACTAGAGCTTCTGCTTTTACAAACACAGATGTTAATACTAATGTTGAGGCACAATAAACCCTAAAAACAAGGCCACAGACTCAAGTATTCTGCAGCAGAGTCCATTTATGGAGACCCGCACCTGCCTGCACCTGCCTGCACCTGCCTGCACCTGCCTGCACCTGCCTGCACAAACCCGTGATTACCAAATGAAACGATTACACTTTCTTCAGTACAAATACAAATTCAGACGCAACTTTACTGTCAAAAATATGTCATCACTTCACAGGTGTTATTTACTGAGCAGAAGACTGAACCAGGACTGAACAAGAACTAAACCAGGACTGAACCAGGACTGAACAAGAACTAAACCAGGACTGAACCAGGACTGAACAAGAACTAAACCAGGACTAAACCAGGACTGAACAAGAACTAAACCAGGACTGACCAAGAACTAAACCAGGACTGAACCAGGACTGAACAAGAACTAAACCAGGACTAAACCAGGACTGAACAAGAACTAAACCAGGACTGAACCAGGACTGAACAAGAACTAAACCAGGACTGAACCAGGACTGAACAAGAACTAAACCAGGACTGAACCAGGACTGAACAAGAACTAAACCAGGACTGAACCAGGACTGAACAAGAACTAAACCAGGACTGAACCAGGACTAAACCAGGACTGAACAAGAACTAAACCAGGACTGAACCAGGACTGAACCAGGACTAAACCAGGACTGAACCAGGACAGAACCAGGACTGAACCAGGACTGAACCAGGACTGAAATGAGACTAAAATGAGAATAAAACAAGACTAAAACGAGAATAAAACAAGACTAAAACGAGACTAAAACAGGACTAAAATGGAATTAAAACAAGACTAAAATGAGAATAAAACAAAACTAAAACAGGACTAAAATGAGATTAAAACAAGACTAAAACGGGACTAAAACGAGACTTAAACGAGACTTAAAAAAGGCTAACCCAGGACTAAAACGAGACTAAAACAAGATTAAAACAAGACTAAAACAGGACTAAAATGGAATTAAAACAAGACTAAAACGAGAATAAAACAGGACTAAAATGGAATTAAAACAAGACTAAAACGAGAATAAAACAGGACTAAAACGGGACTAAAACAAGACTAAAACGGGACTAAAACGAGACTAAAACGGGACTAAAACGAGACTTAAACGAGACTTAAAAAAGGCTAACCCAGGACTAAAACGAGACTAAAACAAGATTAAAACAAGACTAAAACGGGATTAAACCAAAAATGAACCAGGACAGACTGTCGGGAAAGGCCCGGAGGTGTGCCCGCGTAGACCGCTGTATGACAGCAGGCGACATGACCGACACAGAACTCCACACCACCGATCGATCGCGCTTTGCAGACACCCTGCTCCACGCCCTGGGCTTCTCTCACCTCTCTCTCACTCTCTCAAGTCAAAGATTAGTCCTGGCTTAGCCCTGGCTTAGCCCTGGTTTAGCCCTGGCTTAGTCCTGGTTTAGTTTCCTGGTCCTGGTTTAGTTTCCTGGTTTATGGTTTCCTGGTTTAGTCCTGGTTTAGTCCTGGTTTAGTCCTGGTTTAGTCCTGGTTTAGTCCTGGTTTAGTCCTGGTTTAGTCCTGGCCCGTAAAATTCCAGAACGTTAAAACCCGCCCGTTTCAGCAACTATTCGCGGGTCGTCCTTATTTTAATCAATACAAAATTTCAATGGTTTGTTTACTTTCTTTGGTTTGTCCTATTTTATTTTACGATTTCAATAAAAGCGCACAGAGCCTTTACCATTCAGCAGAAAAGTTCTGAAGCACTCTAAACTCTAACTGACTCTGCTTAAACTCACCGTCAGACACCATTTTGTCGAGTTCGGGGCTGAGGATGGCGTCGAGAGGCTCCTCCTGCACCGAGCGCTGAGTCCGGCCCGAGTCCATGGGGCCGATGTCCAGCCCGGCTACAACGACACAACCACAAAACACCACACAGTCACTTCACTTTTCTAATCTGCAGCGAGAGGAGGAGGCAGCAGGAAAGAGCAGGAATCTGGAGGAAAACCAGGAGTTTAAGTGCGTGAGAAACGAGGAGGAGAGAGGAGAGAGGAGAGTCGGAGTGAGAGTGGGTTTGTCTGGGGGTAAAAGAGGAGACGCCGTGAGGGAAGTCTTACCGAACGGAGACGGAGAACGCTCGCCCTGGAACTGACCTGAAGGTTCAACAAAAATAACGACGTCAAATAAAAAAATAAATAAAAATAAAAATCAACACAAAAAAACACACACAATTGCCCCAAACAAACTCGACACGACCAGTCAAACCCAACAAAACAAACACCACTGTTCACCAGACCTGTCACCATTATTATTATTATTTATACTGATATCGCGCTGGGGGTGTTCTGAATGTATGTGCATGGCGGAATGTTCTGCAGTTACCATGGTGACACAGTGCACACGTGAGCAAACAATGGGAAAAAGTTTTAGGAAAGTCTGAAAACTCAAGGAAAAAATACAAAAAAACTAAATGGATTTAAAGAAGCATTTTGATTTTCCTGAGTTTGATTTGACACAACAGCTCAGTTCAGCTCACGCTTCTCTGTGGTCGGTTTGTGTTCAAATACAGGTCAGATTAAAGTCTAACAAAGCCTCAGACAGTGCAGTGCCTTTAGTTAGTGTCACACAAATAAAGAACGTTCAAGTAAAAATACATCAGTGGATTTATGGTTCAGTATATGACCACAGAACAGTATTTTGGGGCCAGTATTTACCGCGTACCCATTTTCTTTGTGGTTATTTTTGTGTAAATAAGATTTAATATGTAAAAAGTAAAATTAATAACGTCTACGACTCATTAGAGCTTGAAAAAACAAAACAGGATGTCTCAAAAAATATGACATTTCACAGGCCAATAGTTTAGGCAGTTCAACTGAAATAACCTCAAATTCTCACAGAATGTTTAGAAACAGATCAAGATTTTATATGTAATGTTTTATTTTTGTTGTGTTTTCAGGTTGAGCCGTTCACTTCCAAACAGAATCATTTTGTGTCTTGAATCTGCTCGCACACGTGTGTGTGTGTGTGTGTGTGTGTGTGTGTGATCCTTTAGTCCTGCATGATCAGACAAACTCTTTACATTTTTGGTTCCAAGTCCAAATTTGTTTTGCCAGTTGAAGTTTTTCCAAATGTTGTGTTGAAGCTGCTCAGTCTTGGGTGAGTTTGTGCAGCAGATTCAAGACACAAAATGACTTCAATTTGGGAGTGAACGACTCAAACTGAAAACGGAACAAAAATAAAACATTACATCTAAAATCTTTCTACACATTCTGTGAACATTTGAGGGTTTTTCAACAACAGCTGCCAAAATTACTGGCCTGTGAAATGATGTCAGATTTTTTGGGACATGTGTGTGTTATAAAGTGTTTTATTCTGTAGTTTCTTTAGTGCAGCTCGAGGTTTTGAAGAGTAAAACATGAGGAGTCACATGTGCACAGGAACATGGATCATCTACAGGGATCATCTCACGAGGTCTGGATGGTTCAGTACAGGTGGGGATACGGTGAGGACTGGTGATGTTCAGTGAGGATTAGTGAGGTTTGGTGACATGTGGTGAGGTTTGGTGAGGTTCTGTGAGGTTTGGTGTGATGCGGTGATGCTCGGTGAGATGTTCAGTGAGATGTTTGGTGAATGGGCCTTTACCTGTTTGTCCTGTGGCCAAAATGTGAGGGTCCGTGTTGAGAACATCAGACAGATCCACCAGCGCCTCCTCTGAAATGGCTGAACATGACCAACACAAACACGAATGAGATGGAAATGAGGCTCAGACATCCTCTGCATCCTCTGAGCATCTCCTCTCTCCTCTGAACACCTCCTCTCTGCATCCTCTGAACACCTCCTCTCTCCTCTGACACTCTGCACTCTCTCTCTCTGCACTCCTCTCTCCTCTGAACACCTCCTCTCTCCTCTGAACACCTCCTCTCTGCATCCTCTGAACATCTCCTCTCTCCTCTGAACACCTCCTCTCTGCATCCTCTGAACACCTCCTCTCTCCTCTGAACACCTCCTCTCTCCTCTGAACACCTCCTCTCTGCATCCTCTGAACATCTCCTCTCTCCTCTGAACACCTCCTCTCTGCATCCTCTGAACACCTCCTCTCTGCATCCTCTGAACATCTCCTCTCTCCATCCTCTGAACATCTCCTCTCTCCTCTGAACACCTCCTCTCTGCATCCTCTGAACACCTCCTCTCTCCTCTGAACACCTCCTCTCTGCATCCTCTGAACATCTCTCTCTGCTCCTCTAAACCTCTGCATCCTCTGAACACCTCCTCTCTCCTCTGAACACCTCCTCTCTGCATCCTCTGAACACCTCCTCTCTCCTCTGAACATCTCTCCTCTGCTCCTCTAAACCTCTGCATCCTCTGAACACCTCCTGTCTGCATCCTCTAACCCTCTCTCTTCTACATCCTCTGAACATCTCCTCTCTCTCCCTTGACCTTCTCTCCTCTGCATCCTCTGACCACCTCTCTGCATCCTCTGAACAACTCCTCTGCTCCATCTGACCCTCTCGTTTCCTCAGAGCAGGACACTTTCCTCTCTCGTTTGTTTCCTCAGAGCAGAACACTTTCCTCTCTCGTTTGTTTCCTCAGAGTAGGACACTTTCCTCTCTCGTTTCCTCAGAGCAGAACACTTTCCTCTCTCGTTTGTTTCCTCAGAGCAGAACACTTTCCTCTCTCGTTTCCTCAGAGTAGACACTTTCCTCTCTCTTGTTTCCTCAGAGCAGAACACTTTCCTCTCTCGTTTCCTCACAGCAGAACACTTTCCTCTCTCGTTTGTTTCCTCACAGCAGAACACTTTCCTCTCTCGTTTGTTTCCTCACAGCAGAACACTTTCTTCTCTCGTTTGTTTCCTCAGAGTAGGACACTTTCCTCTCTCGTTTCCTCAGAGTAGGACACTTACGCAGGGGTCCGTGCTTCTGGGGGGCGTGGCCGTGCGGCGCAGGGGCGGGGCCTTTCATTGGGCCCGAGGCAGGGCTGGGTCCTGATTGGCTGAGACCTGGAGCCTCTTGCCCCGGCCTCCTGTCAATCAAACGGCTGCGGTCCAGAAGATCACGACCGAAAAAGGCCTCCTGAACCGAAAACAAAGAGAAGCACAAAGAGAAGCACAAAGGGAAGGAAGACGTCTGGATTAGAAACAATAAAAGAAAATTCAAGGTATAAAAGAATCTTGAACTTTTACATTTGGACCTTCACAGTTAAATTAAAGAGGTATCAGACCCTCCACCAGAAAAGTTACACATTGCGTCTTTAATTCATATATATTCCAAAAAGGTTCATTTGGTTTTCTCTTCTACATATTAACAGTTATATATTTGATGAATCTAAGTGTAGTTCTTGGAGTGAAATAAACTCACTGACACGACGTCTGACCTGTAAATATGAAGGAAACGTCTCCTCCAGCTTGGTCCTCTTCTTCCTGTATCTCTTCTTCACTTTTTCCATGGAGTGATCGGCTGAAGTGTCCATGGCGTCTGCGTCTGCGGGAGAACAAACAGTGTTCAGGTGTTAGTGTTCAGATAAAAGTGTTCAGATAAAAGTGTTCAGATACAAGTTTTCAGAAGTCAGTGTTCAGACATTCATGTTAATAAAAGTGTTCATATAAAAGTGTTCATATAAAAGTGTTCAGACGTCAGTGTTCATATTTAGGATGAGTGTTTTTTCAGTTTGAGTTTGAGGTGAAGTTCTCACCGTCGTCTCGTCCTGGATACGTGTCTGTGGAGTCGCTGCGGCACAGTTTGATTCGACTCGGACCTTTTCCTCCGCGCTGCCGAACCATAAAACCCCCGATACCTGACACACACAAAGAGAAGACAGAAAGAGAGAGGAGAGAAAGTTCAACAGAGACCCTCACAAACACACTCCTAGAGCAGGTGATGTGACGTGTGATTATTCTGGCGAGTGCTTCAGTAACGTGTGTTTTCTGTAGAAGCGTGTACCGGGTCTGTAGGGTTTCCTCTTGCGCTTCTTTCCGTCGGCCGTCTCCGTCTCTTTGGGACCGTAGTCTTCGTGATGAGGCTCTCGCTCCGGACTCGAGTCAGACTTCATCTCACAGTCCAGATCTGCTGCACGACAAAAACACAACGCGCGGTTTAATACCCACGATGCCACAGCTGCCCCGGACTGAGGGAGGAGGCTGCCGATCTGCTCCATCTGCTCCATCTGCCCCTCTGCCCTCAAACCGACTCTGAATATAGAGTATGTGGACGTGATCCTCAGACTGACCTCTAGGGGGCTCCTGCTCCGTGGGCGTCTCAGGCTCTGGCGTCTGCAGCACAGAAACACTGTTCTGGTTGATGATCCGCAGCTTCAGTTTGGGCTTGTTCCTGTAAAAATAACAACAGACTTTTTTTATTATTGTTTTTATGGACAGATGTTTCTAGATTTCACCATCACCTTTTTCTCATATATTAAACTCTAACGCTGACGTGTTCGTAATTACAAAAACCCAGGACATGAGGACAAGTTATAATTTGGTGTTTTGGCTCAAAGAAAGCAGAAAGAGGCTCACAAGACTCTCTCATTTGGGTTGCTGGTTCAAAGCTGAAATCCAGTGTGTTTAAACCTGAAATGTGTCTCTGATCTGAACGGTCTCTCTCTAAACCCCGGCACCTGCACCAGTCCTGACTAGGGATGGGCATTCGATGAAATTTTCTTAATTGATCGTCGGGAGAATTAATGATCGATTATCGATTAATCATGAACGTTTTTCTATTAAAATGATCATCATTATTATTACTATCTGCACTAATCTGCATCAATAAATTCAACTTTATGACATATAAACATAACGACTCTAGATCCACATCAGCTGTTTGACATTATAATGTGTTTAATTCAGTTTTGTTCAAATCTCACAGAAACAAAACTTAAAACCACATCACTAATTTACATAAACTAAGTGAAGATAAAACTCCAGCTCTTGTGTCGCTGATGTGGTTCAACTTGTGTTGGATTAAAAGACATGACTCAGGTGAATACAGGTCAGTGTGACCAGATTTGTGTTTGTCAAAACCAGGACAGCGTACGGGGGGAGGGGGGCGGGGCCTCGTCATCCACATTGAGCGACTCTCACCTGGAAAAACTTTTTCCCTCTGGACACAGAAACATATGTGCTGCTTTATCCACTGTGCACATGGACTCACACTTGTCCCAACGCAACGGAAAGTGTGGAATTTCTTGTACAAATCATCGTTAAATCCACATTTGTGCTTCGGTACATTGCAGGCTGACTGAATGTTTCTGTTTGCTCGCTCCTTCTGATGCAGAGACACATGTACGGACTCGTTTGGTCTCACTACGCTACGCACAGCAACCTACTTTCGGTTTGTCAATTAAAATGAACGTAATCAATGAAATTTTTAATGATCAACTATCGATTAATCGACTAATCATGCCCATCCTTAGTCCTGACTCAGCGCTCGTGTCTTGAGGAGAGGGTGAGGGTGAGTCTGTCCGGTCCATTGGTGGTTTTCAGGTGCATGACACGGTTTTCCCTGTTGATCGCTTTGCACTTTGAAATCAAATATCTAAAATGCAAATTCACAAATCTCGAAGCTGATCATTTCTGTTACTGACGACAGCAAAGAACTCAGTGTATTACAACACAAATCTGCATTTCAGCTCCCACCCCCCCACCTGTATTAAATATTATTGTCCTCTAGAATATTGTGACGTCTCCTGAAACCCAACAGTGCACTGAGGAAAACTACAAACACATTTAAACTAGGACTGGAGATCATTAAGAAGTTGTTGATACATAGGCCACAATTCAGTTTAGATTTGATACAATATATTTCAAAATGATTTGATACGGTTAAATAAAAATAAAGTCTAAATCATATGTGTTTGTTAAATCACTTGTTCTTATGTAAAGTTCATATGAAACACAAACATTTAACTCATCAAAACAGTGAAAATGTCAAATGTGTTGCATAAACGAGTTTCCTTCCTCTGAACAAACAACAAAACTGGAACTGGAACAAAATCATTTAGTAAAATAAACAAAAAAATACTCTTGGCGATATATCGATACAGCAGCCCATCGATACTGTATCACCACATTAAACGATACGATATATTAATATTTAGATATTTCTGCACAGCCCTGTTTGGCACCACAGCTTTACATTTGACTGGGATCAATTTAAAAAAGTTTATGTCATACAGTCGTTTCTTTTAACTTGATTTAATATGTAACCTGTGACCTTGTGACCATCTGACCCCGTGACCCTGTGAATGTCTGACCCTGTGACCCTCTGACCGTCTGACCCTGTGACCCCCTGACCCTGTGACCCTCTGATCGTCTGACCCTGTGACCCCCTGACCCTGTGACCCCCTGATCGTCTGACACTGTGACCCCCTGACCCTGTGACCCTGATGCTGACCCTGTGACCCTCTGATCGTCTGACACTGTGACCCCTGACCCTGTGACCCCCTGATCGTCTGACACTGTGACCCCCTGACCCTCTGACCCTCTGACCTGTGACCCTGTGACCCTCTGATCGTCTGACACTGTGACCCCCTGACCCTGTGACCCTCTGATCGTCTGACACTGTGACCCTCTGATCGTCTGACACTGTGACCCCCTGACCCTGTGACCCTCTGGTTGTCTGACCTGTGACCCCTGATCTGTGACCCCCTGACCCTGTGACCCTCTGGTTGTCTGACACTGTGACCCTCTGATCGTCTGACCCTGTGACCCCCTGACCCTGTAACCCTCCGATCGTCTGACCCTGTGACCCTGTGACCCTGTGGATGTAGACTGACCTGCGGTAGCGGCGTGGGGAGGTCAGAGGCTCCACCAGAGCCTGGAGGTGGGACAGACCCGACTCAGTGAGACAGACTCCATCTTGAGTGTAGGTCTTCAACTCTGACACACAAACAGAAGGAAGAAGAAGAAGAAGCAGCGTTAAGACAGAAACAGGAACTAAATCAGGTACAAGTTCAAAACTGAAAACGTTACAGTAAAAATCTAAATCATTTCAGTTTGAGAAGTTTAGATTAGATACACATCGACTGACTTAAAAGCTACAGTGTGGAACTTTCTGGAGGTGGCACATCACCATCTAAATAAGTTCAAGCCACACTTTGGAACATTCTCCATGGACACAGATGTTTTATTCTACACTGTGGGTCAATCACAGTAAGGACGCACGGTTTTCAGTGCAATAAACACAACCAAAATGAAAACAACAAAAAAAGCTTTATTTTAGTCTGTTTTTGGATAAAATGTTCCATACTGGGCTTTAACTGGACCCTGATTACATGTATGTCAATAAAATTCTGATCGTTTGAATATTTAACCCTGTGGAGAGTTCTGAGCAGATCATTTTGTCTGAGATGAGGAGATGTCTGGAGAAAGACTGAAATAAAACCCAGGTTAGAGTTGTGAATTGTGAGTGACATGTTTCTGTGTTTGTTTCTGTGTTTGTTTCTGTGTTTGTTTCTGTGTTTGTTTCCGTGTTTGTTTCCTGTGTTTGTTTCTGTGTTTGTTTCTGTGTTTGTTTCTGTGTTTGTTTTTGCGGTCTGAGGTGCAGATGTGCAGTTTAAGTTCTGTTCTGGTTCCAGTCGTGTGACACTGACCTGGCTCTCTGAACCTGGAGATGATCTGAGCCATGTACGGAGAGTCGAAGCTGTCCGACCGAGCTGCAACACAACAAACAACAGTTCAGACAAAAGAGAGGACCCAAATAAATATCTCAATATTTATTCTCAGTATTTATTTAGATTCATTCAATAACGAGATTCAGATCATTTATTAAAAACAAGAATGTCCAAGAATGTGTCAAAAAATTGCCCAAAATGGATCAAACAGCAGAGCTGTGACTTTATTCACTCGTTTGGGAGATTACACTAGAGGTTTTCTGTTTTATGAGATAATTTTTAATAATTTTAATTAAAGATGATTTATTTAAAGGTGTTTTCATTATTACAGGAGACTATGGCGCCCCCTACAGTCAAAAAACAAATGAGATTAAATTGGCAAAACAAAATCAGAACTTGATGCTCATTGTGAAGAAACTTAACAAAGAAACAACACTGGTCCAACAGCCCCGGTCCAGCCCCGGTCCAGCCCCGGTCCAGTCCTGGTCCATCATCTGCGTCCTCAGGTTCAGCCCAAACCCTTTAAACATCCCTCTGTAAAGTTGCACTGTGGAACTTTATCCCGTGTCCACTCACCGTACGTGCCTCTGCCGTGGTTCTTACAGAGGGAACAGTCGAAGCCCTCGTCGGACGTGGACTCCACCTCCTCCTCCGACATCAGGCCGTGACACAGAGCGTGCACCCACCTGCAAGAGAAAACACACACCGACTCCTCCGTCACACACCTAAACGAACAACGAGTCATAACACACACACCGACTCCTCCGTCACACACCTAAACGAACAACGTCATACACACACAACGAAACAACGAGTCATACACACACCGACACACACACACCGACTCCTCCGTCACACACCTAAACGAACAACGAGTCATAACACACACACCGACTCCTCCGTCACACACCTAAACGAACAACGAGTCATAACACACACACACTGACTCCTCATCACCTTTGCTTCAAAACCATCTCTGGTAGAAATTCAATTTTTCCATTGGACAAATGTTTATTTATGTCAAAAATGTTTCTCAGCTCATCCAAGCTCCTTCTTCAGTTCTGGTCAGACGCTGGAGGACACGTCCTTATATCTGCCCGAAGAGAGGAGCTAACTACACTGAAACTCCTCTGGAACTAACGCACACTTGTTTACAGTTTCTGTTTGTAGCTCGGCCTGTTCGTCTGTATCTGAGTGAGGGACATATCAGCGGAATCCCTCAGGCTCGTGAAGAGTGTTTTCACACCTCTGGTCCTGACCTGGCTGTCTCTGTTGCTCTTTGTTTTAGTTTTGAGGATGGAGTTGTAGATGGAGACAGGAAAGGGAATCCTTCCTCAGACAACTAACAAAAAATAGCCTCTTTAACTCTCCTCTCAAACCGTTTTTCTCTGCTCAGACCTGTACGTCCCTGTCCTCAGAGGAGTGGCCCGAGGCTTTTAGGTGGAGACGTACAGCAGACTTTACTTTTGACAACTCTACTGTCCAGACATCAACTTCAGCTCCAAAACTGAACATAAACAAAACCTCATGCTCCTGTCTGCTCCCTGTCTTACCTGTCGCACTGCTGGCACTGCAGGATGAGCTCGTCCTGGGCGTAGGTGCGCTGGCACAGGGGGCAGCGGCTCAGGCTGGAGCAGGGCCCACACAGACTGTAGTTATTCATCCAGTCACAGTGAAGCCCGGGAGACGTCGAGCCGCACTGGACGCACCACACACACCTGAGGACAGAGGGACAGGTGAGGGACAGGTGAGGGACAGGTGAGGGACAGGGACAGGAGGGGACAGGAGAGGGACGAGGGACAGGGGAGGGACAGGAGGGACAGGGACAGGTGAGGGACAGGGACAGGTGAGGGACAGGTGAGGGACAGGTGAGGACAGAGGGACAGGAGAGGGACACAGGGGGGACAGGAGAGGGACAGGAGAGGGACAGGAGAGGGACAGGTGAGGACAGGAGAGGGACAGAGAGGGACAGGTGAGGACAGAGAGGACAGAGGGACAGTGAGGGACAGGTGGAGGGACAGGAGAGGACAGGAGAGGGACAGGGAGGGACAGGTGAGGGACAGGAGAGGGACAGGTGAGGGACAGGTAGAGGGACAGGAGAGGGACAGGTGAGGGACAGGTGAGGGACAGGGACAGGTGAGGGACAGGTGAGGGACAGGAGAGGGACAGGAGAGGGACAGGTGAGGGACAGGGGAGGGACAGGGAGGGACAGGTGAGGGACAGGTGAGGGACAGGGACAGGTGAGGGACAGGTGAGGGACAGGAGAGGGACAGGAGAGGGACAGGTGAGGGACAGGGGAGGGACAGGGGAGGGACAGGGAGGGACAGGAGGGACAGGAGAGGGACAGGAGAGGGACAGGGGAGGGACAGGGAGAGGGACAGGGGAGGGACAGGTGAGGGACAGGTGAGGGACAGGTGAGGGACAGGTGAGGGACAGGAGAGGGACAGGGGAGGGACAGGGACAGGGAGGGACAGGGGAGGGACAGGTTTGTAAAGCAGAGGTGCAGAGGTTCCCAACACTTCTTGTGCCACGGACCGGTTTAATGTCAGACAATATTTTCACGGACCTTTGCAGCTTGTGGGTTTAATATTCACGTTAATGCATCATGTGACTGAGAGAACACGCACCAAGAGTGAGTCTTTAGGGCGGCTCACACTTGGACTTTAGAACCATGCCGACTGCTGTGGGTTCTACGCTCAAACCTGCAGAACTGAACCGAACCACACGGCACCGTTTGTGGCAGCGGAGCGAACGGTTTAGCGGAGAAAATAAGTCCAGCGGCGGAAATATTCATTAAATAGTGAGACAGATGTGAGTCGTGCTGCGATACTCTCGACTCTGTGAGTTTAAGGAGCTAAAAACAGAGGAGCGAGGACAAGAGGAGACGCTGTATGGGTTCACTGTGTGTTTCAGAGTGGAGTTTATTCACCGTTTTCCTCATATGAGTAACATCAGCGCGCGCAAACAAACACACACACACGCACAGGGCTCGTATACTAAAGTTGTGTGCGTACATGAGCTCCGTGTTGTGCTTTGGCCCACCTCCTCCCACCGGGTCAAAGTCCCAGTCGCGCCCACACTGGACAAACGTACCAGAGCGTTCAGGACGCGGTTCTAAAGTCCAAGTGTGAGTGCACCCATAGACTCATGTAACGGAGAGAACTGGGTCATTTTACAAAATAAAACACCTTTCAGACTCAGATAATAAATAACACGGGGAAAAATGTACCGTATTTTCCGCACTATTAGTCGCTCTGGATTATAAGACGCACTGTCATTAAATGGTCTATTTTCAATTTTTTTTCACAAATAAACCGCGTGGGACTTTAAAGGAAACAACAGTGTGATGGGTGAGTGGTTTTGTTTGTTTGTTTGTTCACGGTGACTCTGGGCTTTGTTCAGTTGTGGCGTGTAGGGAGGTGCTGTCTGGGACCAGCGGATTGTCGGCGTGTTCGCAGTGACTCAGTTGTTCAGTCGTGTCTAGAAGTGGCACGTTGCACTCGTGGCTTTTTCGGTTCGTTCCTCCGTTCCGTTCCTCGTCGGCGTGGAGGGATGAGTGTGTCTGTGGGTGTGTTTCGCTGTGCGGTCGCTGTCTGCTCCGTGTGTGTTTACGTGTTCTGTGGGTGGAGCGGCTTGGTAGTTTACTGAAGTTATGATGTGACACCTGAGTGGATTCGTGTATGGGGCGCTCTGGATTGCGGGGGGTGCAGTAGTTTTTTGATGGGCGCGTCTAATAGCTCGGAAAATACGGTAAGTTATTTATTATTTCTGTGCGGCCCAGTACTAAACAACCGGAACCACTGATGTAGTGTATCGTGCTTTTGTATATTTAACCGTACAGATAGGGCCTGGGAGAGATCACTAGATTACTCAAACATGCGTGGATGACTCTAAAACCTCTTCAGACGTGTTTCTGATGAGAAAAATTATTATAATGGTGGAGAAAGATGGAGGAAGATGGAGGAAGATGGAGGAAGATGGAGGAAGATGGAGGAAGATGGAGGAAGATGGAGGAAGATGGACGAGGAGTACAGTTTTTTCCGTCTCTGTGCCCTCACCACTTGCACTTCCAGGCGCCCTTGGGCACGTTGTGGAGCGGCGGGTCCAGGCAGTACGTGTGGTAGCTGATGTCACAGTCGTCACAGAGCAGGAGGCGCCCGGGGTCGCTCGCCTCGCCACACGCCTCGCACACCGTACACTCCAGACAGCGCCACCCTTTGGTCAGGATCACACGGGTTATCTGAGGACGAGGAGAGAGGAGAGAGGGAGACATTTAACACAGAGATAAAGACGGATTTTGTTTTGTAACCGTTTAACCGTTTAACTCTTTCCCCCCTGGATGCCGACTAGGAACAACCCACACATATATGACCAGGGCTACACCCATAGAGCATAAGTGCATAAAAGAAAACAGACTTCCACAAGTGATTATAAATGATTTTTACACTCACGAACTTAATTAAACTTTAGACTCTGAACAATTCATTTATGGATGTTTAAATGTGATTCAATAAATTTACAAGTTTATAACAGCGAAACGAAAACAAAAAACTACATTCAGCATCTGATTATGCATGTTCTGAGTACTATGTTCATTTAAAAATATAAATATATATATTTGTCAAAGTATTTAAACAGATTTCATATCACCAGATACAGTAAAGCCAAGTGTACACCTGTTTTTACCTGTTGTTCACCTGTGTGCACCTAATTAATTTTTTCCATTTAACTTATTCAACTTATTTAGCTTATTATAATATAATAATCAGTGTTGGGGAGTAACAGATTACATGTACCGTAGTTATGTATTCAGAGTACAAATTATGAGTAACTGTATTCAGTTACAGTTACTGTTTCAGTGAGTGGTAATTGGATTACAGTTACTTTGTTGAAATAAATTAATTACACGGCGGTAATTTCCTGTTTTCACATTATTTTTACTTTATTTTATTTATTTTTTTTTTTCGGTAATTCCACTCATTGCTGGAAACTAAAAAGTCTAAAACCAGGTCTAAACTAAACTAGAAACTAAACAGTCTAAACTAGGTCTAAACCAGGAAACCAAACTAAAACCAGGTCTAAACTAGGTCTAAACTAGGTCTAAACCAGGACTAAACCAGGACTAAAACCAGGTCTAAACTAGATCGAAACCAGGACTAAAACAGGATTTAACAGGACTAAACCATGCTGCAGGGACGTGTCTCCTCGTCTTCTATCAATAATATTTTTAATACAGTTAAGTATCCTCGTCTTTGCTTCTCTACAGCAAATCAAGTAATCCAAAGTATTCAGATTACATTACTCACTTTAAGTAATTTAATGGATTCCATTACAAACTACATTTTGGGGTATGTAATCTGTAATCTGTAGGGGATTACATTTTAAAAGTCACCTTCCCAACACTGATAATAATATAATAATAAAACTCTTCTCCGTCAGTGGGAGTCCAGTATTTGTCATCTTGGTCACTTTCTCTTGCGCAGAGTTTCACATAAAAGTTTGTTTCTGTAGCAATTCTGTCAAACATCTCATCTTGGAAAAAAAAAGACTGAAATATTTTAAAGGACTAGTCTGAGCAACACTCAGATTTCGGGGCAATTTTGATTCATAATCAAGTATAAAGTCCCTGATAGTTTGTTCAGACATCGCAGGAGTTTCACTCTCTGAAAGTCTGTCGCTGTTTTCCACTTTATAATCAACTTCATCATTTTGAAATCTATAAAAGTCACTTTCTCTAAATTTCTCCATAATATACGCCCGCTAATCATTGTTTCTAAAACTGCACCACAATCTTTCCATTGCACGAGTTTCATGTTGTGTTTTTTCCGGAAACTACAATCGTCACTACTTCGATTAACTTTGGCAAAAACACATCCTCGAATCCTATTGGTCAGTCTAGTGTGGGTTGTAGTGGCCCCGACCTATCGCAGTCTCTGTTTACATGTGAAAAACCGAGTTGTTTCTAATGGTCGTTAAATCACGTCTTTAGTGAAACAGCGGAGGAGTCAAAACATGTAATTAAGGAAACAGGGGGGTGGTCAAATGTCGTCTTCATGGGGGAGAGTTAAATAAATAACAGTGAGTATAGTATAGTAGAGATGCCCACAGACCTTGACGTTGACGCAGTACGGGTGGTAACACTGTCCACACTGAGCGCAGGCGAGCAGTCGGCCCTCCTCTCCCTGTCCGAAGCTCCCGCACACCACACACATGTCCTGCAGGGGGCGCTCACGGTCAGAGTGTGCATTTAAAACAGCGACGACGGGGTTTTATGTGGTGGGTTTTACCTGTTTGAGGGTGAAGTGGTCCGAGGTGGAGAACATGACCACGGTGTTGTGCATGGAGTTCTCCTCCTCGTCTCTCTGGAACGACTCCATGAAGCCGCCCTGAGACAGAACGCACAACAAACACGTCACAGGTTACACTCGTAAAGAACAGTCATTATAGAACTATTCATAATTATATTTAAGAACTTATTCAAATCTTGCCTCGTTTTTACACAGCATCAGACTAATAAAAATAAATGACCGCGTCTTTGTTTAGTGTCAGAAAAGTCCTTCCTTGTGCGTAAAATGTCTCTGCATTTTGGATGTTTGTTGGAGTTTTCTGTGTTGACGACAGAGGCAGAGGGATTTGGTTTTCGAATGGAAAAAATTGTCATTGTTCACATTTTTATACAGCGCTTTTCCACCTTCAAGGCTCAAAGCGCTTCACAACAAGGAACCACTCACACACTCACACACTCAAACATTAGTTTATGCAGAAACTGGGGGTAAAGGTGGGTAAGTGTCCAATGATGTTTATGTTGAAAGCGGGATTCAAACCGCAAACCTTCGAATCAGAAACGCTCGATCAACTGAGCCACTGTCAGAGCTACTTCCTGTACGACTTCCCTTTTCAGTTGTTTTTCCACAGACTGTAGCGACGGCAAAGCTCTAGAGCAGCAGCTTTAGGCCCCGTCCACACATCCGGTGTTCGTTCACACTAATCCGACTGAAAACAGCTCCAGAGACGGAACGATCTGGTGCCGCCTGAAAACACTGATGCCGTATTTTCCGGCATCCGACTTAAGCCTCCAACCGCATCAAAAAACGACCGCGTGCCACAATCCAGAGCGCCCCATACACGAATCCACTCGGGTGTCCCCGCACGACTTCAGTAAACTAAAAAAGCCGCAAACACACACGGAGCAGACAGCGACCGCACAGCGAAACACACCCACAGACACACTCATCACTCCACGCAGACGAGGAACGGAACGGAGGAACGAACCGAAAAAGCGAGCGCGACGTGCCGCTTCTAGACACGACTGAACAACTGAGTCACTGCGAACACGCCGACAATCCGTTGGTCCCAGACAGCACCCTCCCTACACGCCACAACAGAACAAAGCCCAGAGTCACCGTGAACGAACAAACAAACAAAACCACTCACCCATCACACTGTTGGGTTTCCTTTAAAGTCCGGTGTCGTTTATTTGTCAAAAAAAGTTAGAAAATTGACCATTTAATGACAGTGTGCCTTAATAATCCAGAGCGACTAAAAGCCCAGAAAATACAGTACTCTGATGTAGGTCTGTGCACTGCAAAGTAATTCACCGACAAAACACTGATAGTCGAGAATATGTGTCCATTCATATAAACGTGTGTCTGTGTGTACGACCTGCACACGTATAATCTCTGAAAAGTTTCACATGAACCATCTCCAACACGACAGAAACACAGAACAGACTCACCATCAGCAGAACACCCCTCTGTCACAGAAAGAACACTCATATTCCACTGAGTCGTGTCCTTTAGTCCAACAGAAACCGAACCGCATCAGCGACACAAGGAAGGAGCTGGTTTTTTTTTGAGCGCTTAGTTTATGCAAATGAGTCATGTGGTTTTAAGTTTCATTTCTGTAAAACGTAAACAAATGTGCTCAAAGCTGCGTGGATAGAGAAGGATTACGGACACAGAAACGACGTGTCTGGACGCAGATTGTTTCTGATACGGTGATTCATTTCATTTTAAACGTAACCCTACAGCAGTGGGTTTAGAGCAGCGGTTCTAGAGCAGCGTTAGTCTGGTTGTTCTGGACACTCACTCCGGGGGACACACTGAGGCTGTCCTGGGTCTTGAGTCGACTCCGGCCTCTTCCTCCTCTGGAGCCGATGCCTCCTCCTCTGGACCTCCTACGACCCGGAAATCCAGAACCACGACCCTGAAGACAGAACCCAGATCACACACAGGAACAGTCACACGTGTGTATTTGGTCTCATTTCAGAATCAGAGAGTAAAACCTGTTGTTCTGTGAAATTCTCCAGTAAAACAACAGAAAAGTGCAGTGTTTGAATTCCTGAATTACAACATTCTGAGCTGCACTTTTCCTCAGAATCTCTGAAGAAACTTTACTGTAATCAAGATTTATCAAAAACATGACAGAGTTGAGCCACAGAACTTGTGTTAAGAAGTTAAAACTGGTGTTAAGGAGTTGATTTTTGGTCTTATCTCCTTTTTGGGGAGTATTATAATGTGACAGATGAGTCACGACCTGGTGGTTTTGGTTTCATGTGGCACGTTCGCTGACACATTACCATGGCAACAGTGTTTTTGTGACGTTCTGAGCTCCTACAGAAAACTAGTGACTCTCTGGTAAATGTCTCCTGTTCTCGTCCAGGTGTGGGTTTCGGGGTTCGGGGTGCGTTTGTTTTTACCGTCTTCATGCCCCACAGAGGAGAGTCCTGCGAGCGGGGCTTGGGGCTGTCCCACCCGTCCCCAGAGTCCTGAGAGGAGGAGGGGGGGCTCACGGCTCGGCGGCTGCTCCACCACGAACACTGTGAACCACAAAACACGTGTTAGAGCGCGTTCCTCCTCGCACCAGAGCAGACTGACGGAAATGTACAAGTTAAAGCGCGTAACGGGTCATGATAACAAAATCTGAAGTCCATAAAGCAGAATTATCCCTCAGAAAATTACTTTAAATGTTCAATATTATTAAAAAACATGAGTTGTGTTTTAGTTCACAATTCAAGCTTCAGCTGAAATCTTATACTGTTGAGAAATATCCAAAAATGTCCCAAAGAAAAAAAGGTACAAGCGATAAATCAATAAAACTGAGCCCCACATGATTGTTCTATCCGTCCTGTCTGGAGTGATTGTGCAGTAATTATGGTGACAGGCCTAATTAATATACTGATTATTGATTCAGATAATCCTATGTCCTGTCAATCATTATATCATGTTTTTCCTTACGTCCTCTTCTACATAATTTATATTCAGAATTACGTCTGATTTGACTCCAGCTATTTTTGCAGATTATTTAGAATTCAAGATTAACAGCTGGACCTGGACCTATGTGAAACTGCAACTGGACCTGGACGAACTTGTACCTATACTTGTGTGGACCTGGACCTGGACCTGTGTGGGTGTGGACCTGGACCTGGACCTCTACCTGTGAGGACCTGGACCTGAGTGGACCTGGACCTGTACCTGTACCTGGACCTGAGTGGACTTGGACCTGCACCTGAGAGGACCTGGACCTGAGTGGTTCTGGACCTGTACCTGTACGCACCTGGACCTGCGTGGACCTGTACCTGCACCCGAGTGGACTTGCACCTGGACCTGCGTGGACCTGTACCTGTCTGGCTCGCGCTCGTCCAGGAGAGATGGCCGGTTTCCCCATTCCGATTTTGGGAGTGAAAGGGATGACGGTGGGAGTGACCTGAGGCTGTGGAGGAGAACAGAACATTTTAGTTTGACAGGTTCATGATTCTGATTCAGTGGAACTTTCTTTTGAGCAGAATTTAACGGTGTAACGTTTTGGTTTGGGATCCGTCAACTAAACTCAGCTTTAAACTTACGTCAGAATTAAGTTTCATTCCCAATAATCATTTTAATTAGGAATGAGGTGTTTACATGGTCTTTTTAAAGAGGAATTCATTTTTATTCAGAATTTAATTATTTTTATTTGGAATTAAATCTCTGATGTAAACATGGCTTTTGTTTGTGAGTAACACTTGAAACTGTATTATACTCAAGGACAGATTCCCGTACCCTGGACAGCGGCGGACTCTCTCTGTTGCTGGGCGATGTTGTCAGGGGCGACAGAGGGGGCGGGGTCAGGGCGAGGCGCGTCGGCGAGTTTTCGGGCGACGCTTCGGTGGAGAACGGCGACTGCCTGAGCCGCGCCGTGAGGTCGTCTTCCGCCCTGCAGCCGGACTGGAGCGAGCGCAGCGCCGAGCGGCCTTTCCCCCGCCGGGGCATCAGCAGCGTGGGGCTCGGCGACGACAGCGCCAGCAGAGACGGAGGCGGCGACGCGGACGAGATCAGAGCCATCACCTCCATGTCCAGACTCGGGTCCAGGTCCAGCACCGGGCTCACGGCGTCCTCCAGGTCCGAGTCTCCCTCCTCTTTGTCCTGAGAGTCTTCAAACATGTCCACGGACCCGACCTCCTCGTCGTTCATGGAAAACTCCGGACGCTCCACAGACCTGTCACAGTCAACGAGAATACTCAAACTACTTTGACACTGACAGAAAAAAATAAAATAAAGGTCCAACATCACACAAAACTGACTGTTGTTCCTTCCTCAAAAACAGACCTGGAGTTGTGTTTGTTTCATTCACATGTTTGAGTAACTCTTTATTATGAGTCTGTCTACATCTCCAAAGCTCCAAATGCTCTGTTCCACCTTGTGATGTCATAGCGCAGTAGTTTTTTGCTTGATAAATTTAAACAGTTCCTTTTCCCTTTAGTTCAGTAGAGATCGGCAATTTCAGGGTTGCAATGATGTTTTTTTTTTTACTGAAGGTGTGTGGAGTTTAAAAACACAGTAGAGCATTTTCTATTACCACATGATGACATCACAAGGTGGAACAGAGTGTTTTCTGTTTGAGAGAAGAACTCAGCCTAAAACTGGAGGGTTTTTGTGTTAAGGTCGTCATACACTTCAGGATTTTTTTGTCTTAAACAATCTTTATAAGTGCGACAAAAGCGCACAGCATAGACACGAGGAGAATCTGGTGAGATTTTAAATCCCCGATCTCAAAGACTGCAGCAGGATCTGTCTGCGGACCATGGGATATAAAGTTGTGAGCACGATCATGTCAGCTGTAAAAACCAGACTCAGAAGAGTCAAAGATCAGACTCTGCTCTTCTAGTTTAGATCCAAGTCCAAACTGTGTGATTATTAATTGTGAAATGTGGAGCAAAACTTCAGATCCAGGGTTTTTAAAGCAGAAAAGATTGGAGATAAAGTGGTGGGGAAGTGGAGTCACTGTGGAGAATCTGCAGCTTCAGCTCGATCCGTAAACAGACACACGTGAGGAACTACTCCCACCTTTTTACTTTTAAACTACCGTATTTTCCACACTATTAGTCGCTTTGGATTATAAGGCGCACTGTCATTAAATGGTCTATTTTCGAACTTTTTTGACAAATAAACCGCGTGGGACATTAAAGGAAACCCAACAGTGTGATGGGTGAGTGGTTTTGTTTGTTTGTTCACGGTGACTCTGGGCTTTGTTCAGTTGTGGCGTGTAGGGAGGTGCTGTCTGGGACCAACGGATTGTCGGCGTGTTCGCAGTGACTCAGTTGTTCAGTCGTGTCTAGAAGCGGCACGTTGCACTCGCCTTTTCGGTTCGTTCCTCCGTTCCGTTCCTCGTCGGTGTGGAGTGATGAGTGTGTCTGTGGGTGTGTTTCACTGTGCGGTCGCTGTCTGCTCCGTGTGTGTTTGCGTGCGCTATGGGTGGTGCGGCTTTGTAGTTTACTGAAGCCGTACTGGGACACCCGAGTGGATTCGTGTATGGGGCGCTCAGGATTGTGGTGCGCGGTCGTTTTTTGATGGGGTTGGAATCTTAAGGGCGTGACCTATAATGTGGAAAATGCTGTACTCAAAAAACTGGATTAAAAGCGCCGTTTTGTGAACTGAGGTCCTTATTTGCGGAGGACAAATTCTATGGATAATGTGAATGAGATGTCAACCTTTAAACGTGAATGAAACAAAGCACAACTCCAGGTGTTTGTGATGAGAAAACTACATTAGAACAAATCAGAAAATAGAGTATTATGAAAACTTTAAATACAGTTTGATTAAAAAGCATAACCAATATCAGATAAACGGAAGAATGAACAAATAATTAGTCCTGGAAATGACTCTAAAAACAGCAGAAACCTCTCCACCACTGCAACAAAAATATGAAAAATACAGAGCCTCAAAATCTTTCATTTCAGTTTTCATATCCTGACAGTCCTACCTCTCCAGGCGTCTGTGGTTTGTCCGCCATTTTGTCCTCATCGAGCTCCGCCCCCTCCGCGCTCTCCTCCATCTCCGACTGTTCGACCGTTGTTGCCGCGGCAGGTTTCTCTCGACGCTCCTCCGGCTCCTCGTCGTCTTTCCTCGTCGTTTCTTCCTGCATTTCGACAAGACCTGCCTCAGCCTCTTTTAACGAGACTGCTTCTGATCGGTCGACCGTTTCCATCGTCTCTTCCTCCTCCTCCTCCTCCTCAGTCGCCGCCGTTTTGTCTTGCAGTTGAGTGAGCTCCGCCTCGTTTTGTTGCTCCGCCGAAACCGAAACCGTGACGTCTGCTTGGTCATTCTTCGGGCTTCTCTCTTCAGGTTCCAAAGCTGTGACTTCTGGTTGGTCATGTCTTGGACTTTTCTCCTTAGGCTCCTCCCAATCCGTAATAATCTCCTCCTCTTCCTCCTCCACCTTGTCTTGCGTTTTCAATTCGGCGCTTTCTTCAGTCGCACCAGCTTCTCGTACGTCATCGACAGTTTCTGCTGCTTCTTTAGGCTCCTCCTCGACCGTAATTTTAGGACACGTTTCTTCCATCTCTTCCGTTTTCTGTTGTTCAAATATTTCCAGATTTTCCGCCACCTGGTCTTTCGTTTGGGAAGTCTCACTCTCTTTCACTTCTTCCAAAGCCACATTTTGGGATATTTCTTCCATTTTTGAACTTCTGGACCAAGCTAATAATTTTTCTTGCTGCGACATTTCTTCTTGAATTTTAAGGACCTCTTCATTCTGGATAATTTCAAACTCCTCGTCCAGTTCCCCGTCTTCGGATCGGTCGGTCTTCTCGTCTGTTCTCAGCGCGGTTTCAGACGCCGCGAGTTCTTCCTCTTTTTCGTTGACCATTTCCGAAACTTCCTCCAGCTCCTCCGGCGCTTCCGACTGGTCGTCTTTGGCGCTTTCCACGGCCACATTCCCAAACGAGCTCCGTGACTGGTCGGTGTCCAACATCGATGAGCAGGAGTTGTCGTCCATCTCGGAATCTTTTAAAAGCTCTTCTTCCCGATTTGTCGATTCTGATTCATGATTTTTAAATTCTTCTTCTAAATTCTTCTCGTTGGTGGATTTAATTTCTTCGCTCTCACTAAAAACATTCTGATTGGGCAGTTTGATTTCCGGACTCGCTGGTTCTTTTTCACTGGCGGGTTCAGCTTCGTGATTTGTGGGTTCTTCGAGTTGATCCGTGGATTCCATTTCCTCGTCGTGATCGTGTGGGATATGCGACGTTCCGTGATCGAGTGAGAGTTGTGGCGTTCTGTGATCGTGTGGGAGCTGTGGCGTTTCGTGATCGAGAGGGATCTGTGGTGTTTCCTGATCGAGCGGGATCTCTGGCGTTTTGTGATCGTGCGTTTGATGATCATATGGGATCTGTGGCGTTTTCTCATCGTGCATTTCTTGATCGAGTGTTTCATGATCATGTGGGATCTCTGGCGTTTTGTGATCATGTATTTGATGATCATGTGGGATCTGCGGCGTTTCCTGGTCGAGAGGGATCTGCGGTGTTTCCTGGTCGAGAGGGATCTGTGGTGTTCCGTGATCGTGCATTTCTTGATCGTGCGTTTCTTGATCATGTGGGATCTGTGGCGTTTCCTGGTCGAGAGGGATCTCTGGCGTTTTGTGATCATGTATTTGATGATCATGTGGGATCTGTGGCGTTTTCTGATCGAGAGGGGATCTGTGATGTTTCCTGTGATGTTTCCTGTCGAGAGGGATCTGTGATGTTCCGTGATCGTGCATTTCATGATCATGTGGGATCTGTGGCGTTTTCTGATCGAGAGGGATCTGCGGCGTTACGTGATCGTGCATTTCTTGATCGTGCGTTTCATGATCATGTGGGATTTGCGGCGTTCCGTGATCGTGTTGGATATGCGGCGTTTCGTGATCGGCGGGGAGTTCGTTTTGCACGGAGAGAATGGAGAAGGAACCCTCCAGAGAACCAGCTCTGGTGAGGGGAGAACGAGGAGGAGGAGAGGGAGGAGAGGAGGGAGGAGGAGAGGGAGGAGAGGAGGGAGGAGGAGGAGGGGAGGAGAGTGGAAGTGAGGAACGAGGGGGAGATGAAGGCAGATGAGAGGAGGAGGGAGGCGAGGAGAGTGGAAGAGAGGAAGGAGGAGGAGAAGTGGGAGGAAGAGAGGAGGGAGGAGGAGAGGAAGCCAGAAGAGAGGATGGGAGAGGAGAGGAGGGCAGAAAAGAAGAGGAAGGAGGAGAGGAGGGGGGTGGAAGAGTGGAGGGAGGAGGTGAGGAGAGTGGAAGAGACGAGGGCGGCGGAGAGGAGGGAGGATGCGAGGATGAGGTCGGGGGAGGGGCAGATACGGCTGGAGAGGTGGAGGGAGAAGGAGAGGAAGATGGAGGAGAGGAGAGAGGAAGAGAAGAGGAGGAGGGAGGGAGGAGGGGAGGAGGAGGGGAGGATGTGGTCGGGGGAGGGGAGGACGCAGGTGGAGAGGTGGAGGGAGGAGAGGAGTGAGGAGGAGATAAGGCAGAGATGTTTGAGGCGTTTGGGGGAGACGGAGATTGGTGTGAGTGGCAGGGGGAGACAGGGGCAAGGGGGTGAGTGGCAGGGGGAGACAGGGCAGGGGGGTGAGTGGCAGGGGGAGACAGGAGCAGGGGGTGAGTGGCAGGGGGAGGCAGGGGCAGGAGCAGGGGCAGCGGCAGGGGCAGGGGGTGAGTGGTGCTCCTCTGGTGGGGCTGGAGTCGACTGGATTCCTGTGAAGACAAAAGAAAGAAGAGTCAGCACATTTAAACCGATGTTTGGACCTGGTTTATGGTTCAAACTAGGGCTGGGCGATATGGATCAAAAAATATATCTTGATATATTTTGCTATATCTCGATATACGACATATATCTTGATATCTGTACAGGAAAAAATAACCCCCTAAAACTGAAAACTGCAAAAACAAATCTGCCAAATTCCACAAGGTCTTTTTTTTTAATTGAAGTGTAAGAGGTCGGCAGTTCATGTAGGAACATTTAAGATTACAAAAAAACCTAATTACATAAATAATTATTTAACTGTAAAATAAAAGAAATAATACATATTTCCTTCTTTTCATTCATAAATAAAACAACTCAACACAAGTTCATCTCTGCATTAACTCCGTTCTCCAAACCAGAACCATGAGCTGATTTAGCAGAAGAAGCTCAGGATGTTCCTTATTTTAATAGATCCATGTTCCAGCAGTGAGGAGCTCTGAGGTTTAATCCCACAATCCACTGCAGATCAAACCCAACGATTCCAAACACTATTGTACAAGTGACACTGCAACAGATTATTCATTAAAATCTTCTGCATAAATAAACTTTACATTGCTAAACTTTACAATATATAAAACATAACGACTCTAGAGCCACATCAGCCCGTTTCAGATAATAATGTGTTTTACATTTTACAGAAACGAAACTTAAGCGCATGGTTCATTTGCATAAACAGCACTTCTCATGCAGCTCAGCTCGTTCAGCTTCTTTCGGGCTAAAGGACACGACTCGGTGGAATATGAGGATGTGCTGCTGATGGTTTTGTCTGTAAATGGTGGAAAAGTTTTGTGGTGCTTGAAGCTTTTCACTGGCACCAACTTTCGGCGTTCACGGCTGCAGTAAGTAACCGTGAACGAGACATGAGCAAACAAAATCAGGGAGGTGGAGGCGACAAGAGAGAAGACAAACAAGCGAAGCGGCGAAATCAAAATTGAATATAAGTATTATATCGATATATACGATATGTCAGAATCCATATCAAGTTTAAAAACGATATATTTAAAATATCGAGATATCGCCCACCCCTAGTTCAAACTAAAACAAAACAAAACCGAGACAAACTTCACGGCTGGAATAATATAAGATCACAATAATAATAAAATGTTTCACTATTTAATTGAAAAACCTACAATTCACATCAGGTGTGTGCAAAAATATCATTCAATGTGATGATTTGGTATCGATATCGTGGGCTGCTGTATCGATATATCACCAAGAGGATTTTTTGGTTTATTTGACTAAATGATTTTGTGACAAAGCTCCAGTTTTGTTGTTTGTTCAGAGGAAGGAAACTGGTTTATGCGACACATTGACATTTTCACTGTTCTGATGACTAAAATGTTTGTTAAACCAACTTCTTGTGCAAAGTTCATATGAAACACACAGACTTAGTGTCACAGTCAAGACTTTGCCTATTTTTATTTTATTTTTTAATTAAACCGTATCAGATCGATTTGAAATATATCGTATCGAATCAAAATCTCACGGTATCGAGGTGTGTATCGTGTCGGCAACTTCTTAATGATTCTCAGCCCTAATTCTCATTTGGGGAACTGGATTAACTGGATTTAACTGTGGAACTTTTCTGGTGGAGGCTCCGTCACGTGTTTTTTTTCTCCATGGAGATATTATTACTTTGTCCGAAATGTTCCACAGTACGGCATTAAACCTTTACTATCTTCACAGAGACCAAACCAGACCAAGTTCCAGGTCAGACCCGTCGGAATGTTTGTTTTTTGAAGGTGTTTTTGAGCCGTAAATCCTGCACCTGTGATTGAATAAATGTAAAGTGGAGCTGTTTAATGTCACACTGCGGAACATTCCAGACAGAGCAGCGACGTCAACGTAAACGTCCTGAGATTTACTTTCTATTAAATGATATGACTACATACAACGTGCTCACACTTCTGGACAGATTCATCTGGAGCTGGTTCTGGGGTCTCGTACCTGCTGGAGGACTCTGAGGTCTGACATCTGCCTCATGTTCTTCTGCTGGTTCTTCACTTGGACCAGTCTCCTCCTTTTCTTCTTCCTCCTCCTCCTGCTGCTCTTCTAGACTCTTCTCCACCTCCACCACCTCCTCCTCCTCTTCGAGCCTGCTCTCCTCCTTCACCTCGTCCTTTTCGAGTCTGCTCTCCACCTCTGTCCTCTGTCGCTCCTCCTCCACGTCCACGTCCACCTCCACCTCTCTCACTGAAGGCTCCTCTTGTTCATCCATCCTTTGTGGACCAGGTTCTTCCCTCTCGTCTGTTCTCCGCAGATTGTCCTCCACCTCGGACGGCTCCTCCTCCATCTTTTCCTCCGATCCCTCTATCCTCTGGAGATCTTCATGTTCCTCCTTCTCCTCGGTCATCTCAAAAGGCTCCTGGTCTATTCTCTCCACCCTGAGAAGGTCATCTCCCGTCTCCTCCGGTCCGTCTGCCCTCTGGAGGTTGACCGCAAGCTCCTCCTCTGTCCTTCCTGAAGCCTCCTCGTCTCCTCCCTCCTCCTCCGTCCTTAGCTCCGTCTCGTCCTCCTGATCTGGTTTCGTTTCAGTCTGTGGTGTGAACTCGTCCGTCTCCATTTGTTCTTCTGGACTCACTTCCTCCACGTCCACCTCCACCTCCACGTCCACGTCCAGCTCCATCTCATCAGGCTCCTCCACCACAGGAACATCTGAAACTGCAAAAAACGATGCACTTTAGGTTTCATTCACTGAAGGACAACACAAAAACCAACCTACAAAAAACTGTAAACAATAATACTTCAGGTCTGCAATGATAAAAACAAATAAATATGAAAATAATTTTAATTCATGGAAAACAGTGAAAGTTTATTCTTTGGCATTTTGATTTAATTTTTCCAGAGTTTTATGTCCATGTGCTGTTTGTTCTTTTGAATTTAACTAAGAACGAAAAACAATAAAACAGGAAAACAGTTTGTTATTTCATTCTTCCATTTTAGCAAAAACAGAACCATTTCTGTTTTCTGTTAAAATAAGAAAATTTTAACCAAAAACAGATTTTGAACTCTATTTCCAAATAATAAATACATTCAAATAACACCAATCTCAATGCCTATTTTAATTTTGATATTTTATTCTCTCTGGTTTATTTGCCCCAGAAGTTCTGCTGCTGGAAGAGAATAAAATATCAAAATTAAAATAGGCACTGACTGTTTTTGATTAAAGTTTATTTCAAATAACACCAAATTAAATATTGGAAGTAGAGGTCAAAATCTGTTGACACTAAAATGGAAAAATAAAATAACAAACTGTTCATATTTTATTGGTTTTCATTCTTAAGTGAAATTCAAAAGAACACATGGACCTCAGTGTCTATTTTAATTTAGATATTTTTGATTCTCTGGTTTATCTGAAGTTCAGTGTCTCAGAGTCGCGTGTGAATTCAGAGGAGAGGTTATCTCTGCTTCCTGTTTCTTGTCACGGATCAACAGTGACTTTCTAAGGCGTCGCTATAAAAAGAAGAAACATGTTTTTCAGGCGAGTCCTTGGTCCATGTCCCGTTCGTTCTTTTGATTTTCAATTAAGAATGAAAAACAATAAAATGGGAAACAGTTTGTCGTTTCATTTTTCCATTTTAGTGTCAAGAATAAAAATTCAACCTCTATTTCCAATATTTTATTTAAAGTTTTTTTCAGTTAACACCAATCAAAAAACAGTTTTGTGATTATTTTAATTTGGATATTTTATTCTCTCTGGTTTATTTGCCCCGAAAGTTTTGCTGCTAGAAAAGAATAAACTATCCAAATTAAAACGGGCACCGAGACTGTTTTTTGATTGCTGTTGTTTGAAATAAACATTAAATTAAATATTGGAAATTAGAGGTCGAAATCTGTTTTTTTGTTTGACTAAGACAGAAAAATGAAATAACAAAGTGTTTTGCCATTTTATTGTTTTTCGTTCCCAATTGAAATTCAAAGGAACAAATTGTTCACGGACCTCAGTGACTATTTTAATTTTAATTTTAATCTTGATATTTTATTCTCTGGTTTGTCTGAAGTTCTGTTTCTCAGCGTCGCCTGTGAATTCAGAGTCAAATGTTTCTCACCATCGATCAACAACGACTTTGTAAGACGTGAAATTAAACGCGTCGTTATAAAAGAAGAAACATGTTTGTCACAAAACTGCAACGATTTTTCAGGTTCGTCTTTTTAAAAGCAGAACTTCAAATAAACCAGAGAATAAAAAATCTAAATTGAAATAGGAACAAATAAACTTAAATAAACTTAAATAAACTTTTGATTATATATTGAAAATAATTTTGTTTTGTTTTTTTTATTTGAAACTAAATAATAAAAATAAACTGTAAAAATAAACAAACGGAATAATAAAAATAAACAGTTTTCCCATTTTATTGTTATTCGTTCTTAATTAAAATTCAAAAGAACAAATGGACTTTATATATAAATATTCAGAGTTTAGAAAAGGCTTCAGTCTAGAGCCCGACCGATATGGATTTTGTTGTGGCCGATATGAAACTGATATAATGGGAGTTGGAGCTGCCGATAGCCGATATAATCGCCGATATATTTAGTGATGTAAAAATTCACTGTAAATCTTGAATTGTTTAAAAAACTTAGGTTTGGCTCTAGTGGATTCTAAATTGGGTTTATTTAGGCAACATTTATTTTTATTCTGACTCTTTATGTCATATTTACAGACAGTAGATTGGCCTAATGGCATTTTTGCATCACATTCTAGCTATTAGTGATGGGGATTCCAGTTTTTTGGCTCTTTCGGCTCCCAAGAGACTCTTGAGATTGTTTTGCTGCAAGCAGGACTAAACCAGAACTGAACCAGGACCGAGTGTCAGGACTCGGTTTCTATCTCTCTCCTTCACTCGAGCCCAAGATTAGTCCTGGTTTATTCATTTTATGTTGAACTACAGCCAAATATGCACTTTTTTTTTATCCTATGCACACGCAGATTTCTGAAAGTTTTGTTTTTAGCCACTGCTGCTGTCAAACTACGGGTCGACATGCGGCATGAAGAGAAAAAGTGAGAAAAAGAGAAAACACGGCTCCCAATAAGAAGCAGGCTCCCGTTGTTCGCTCTAAGAGCCGCTTCGATCATGACCGACCCATCACTACTAGCTAGTAAATAAACTACCGCTATTAGCCTTTAGCCGTAAAAACGTGCGCACCGCGGCAATTAATTATATGCATAAATGTGGATCATTCACACGTCTATTCACAGCTCATTTACATATCAATGCTGGTCCAGTAACAAATATACGGCCAATATAATCACTTTACAATAGACCAATAGAAAACAGCCTGTTTATGTGCGGGAGCTACAGCAGCTAATCGCTAACAAAACCTAAACTAGCTTCAAAGTCGACATATTTCCAACACTCAGACTCACACAGGCTCCTCCCACATCACAAATCTGCACTAATAAATGTCCTTTTAATCCAGACTCAAACCGATTGTCCATAAAAAGAAAATAATCTCAGTGTTGCGCACGGCTGCGGGTGTAAACAAACACACGTGTGTGAAGTGACGTGACTCTGTGATGTGTTCAGGGACAGTACGGACACAGACACAGACAAATTACACCGTAGATAAATACTGATGCGGAGCCACATATGAGGACATTTATCTGTCTGTAAATTGGATTAAATGAACAGAATGTAGAGATTCTAAGCTTTATAACGAGGTACAACATGCCCACGGCCCATATCAGAAAGCATATCGGCCGATAGCCGATATGTATCCAGGTGCCCATATCGGCCGACAATATCGGCCAGCCGATATATCGGTCAGCCGATATATCGGTCGGGCTCTACTTCAGTCTGAACATTTCTACAGTTTTAAACAAATAAAGGTTTATAAACGTCTCAGTGCACAGTAGAAATTATTATTTGACTTTTTATCAACTGATCAAAAAATGAATCAGTCGACTAAAATAATTATTTTCTGATACGTTTTCCAGCCTGAGAGTGTCACATGCAGTTTAGTCACTCACCTGCTGACGATGCAGTTTCTGGTTCCACTCCCTCCATTTCTTGTTGCGGAGTTTGAGATCGAGAAACAGGAAGCGGCTCTTCACAAACAGGAAGTTCCTCCTCGACAGTGTTTACTTCAGTCGTCACAGAATCACAAACGGGACCGGGGACAGCTTCTGTACCAGGCTCCGCTCCAGGCTCCGCTCCAGGCTCCGCTCCAGGCTCCGCTCCAGGCTCCGCTCCAGGCCGCCCCTCCGCTCCGGCCTCCGCTCCGGCCTCCGCTCCGGCCTCCTCGCTCGCCGGGGAATGAGCCGGGCTCGCTGCAGCAGAACTCGCCTTAGACCTGGACGGCGAGGGGACGGGGGTGGCCTCGGTCGGCGGTGGACTCTGCGGGGGGCTCGGGTCGTGTTGGGGGGAGGGGGCGGGGCTTGTGACTGGAGTAACTTTAGCTTCATCAAGAGGAACGTTGTCACCGGGACTCGCAGACATGGGGACTTCAGACTTGGGGCTGGAACTCTGCATCTCCACCTCGTCCTGATCGGGCTGAGAAGGTTCTGGACTCGGTGGACATGATGCTGGAGAATGAACTGGCGATTCTGGAGAATGAATCGGTGATTTTGGAGAATGAACTGGCGATTTTGGAGAATGAACTGGCGATTTTGGAGAATGAACTGGCGATGTTGGCGTGACGGGACTAGCAGATCTTTGAAGACTAAGGTGCGGACTTGAGGCTTCGGCGTGGATAACGACGGGGCTGACGGGGCTGACCATTAACGTGTCTGGAAGCGACTTGGGAGATTCAGGATGCGTTTCCTCAGCTTCGAGACTTCCCGTCGCAGAAACCTCATCGTTACAAGGTGAAACCGGACTCCGCTCTCCCTGATTAAGGCTCAAAGTAGCTTCAGTCTCACCGGTAGCCGCAGCCTGTTGGGGTTTTTCCGCTGGAACATTTTCGCCGGGCCGAGGGGAGCTGGGTTCAGTAGCATGTGCGGGGCTACCTTCAAACTGTCTTTGGGTGCGGACAGGACTAGCGAGACCAGCAGGACTAGACCTTGGCGGACTATGGACTATTTGAGCTGCACTTTGAGATGCGCCGTCGGAGCCGACCTCTGGCGACTTACAGTGTGGAGGACTAAAGCTCGCTGGTGTTGGCGCTGGGCTAGTGGGGGCTGTTTCAGAGCTTCCTGCGTGGGTCACATCAGAAACCTCGGCGAAAATGGCAGTTTCTGAGTCGATTATTTGCACCGGGCTGTGAAGAGAGGGGCTAGCTTCCTTTTGTGGTTCTTCATCTTCTTCTTCGACGTCTACTTCCATGTCTTCCGGCTGCGGGGACGCGGGGCTCGCCTCGATGACGGCGGCGTCCGACTGCATTGGGCTAGCAGGCATTTCAGTGTCTCTTAAGGGACTGGCGTGGGTGAGCGTTCGGGCGGGGCTCGGCGGCGGCGTTGCGTCTCCGCTTCGATCAGCACAAGGTGATAAAGTTAGGCTACTGTGTTTTGCTGAAGTGCTAAGGCTTCGTGGTGCGACGGGGCTGGCGGGGCTGGGGCTACTTTGAGCTGTCGATTCTTCTCGGAGTTCCTGGTCGGGCGTTTCAGGTAGGTCCACCGCGCCGGGGCTTGAAGGCAATTTTTCCAGTGTTTGGCTTTCAAAATCGGGACTCTGCGACGGGATCGGGGGCGGTGCGCGGTCCTCTTCAGATTTACCGACGCCCGCTTTGCTGAAATCTGGTATTCGGAGCTCTAAAGGCTGGAGCGGGTGCGTCACGTTGACTCGTTTTGGGCTCGCGGGTTGAGATAAACTACATTGCGATGGCGTGGCGAGGGGCTGGGCGGGGCTACATGGCGCTGAGTGGAACGAAGCGTGGCTCGGCGATTTGGACCAGCGGGGGGCGGCGGACAGGTCCTTTTCCAGTGTACAAACGTCCTCTTCAGTCTTTTCAGGCAATTCACGATCAAGGTTTAGCGACATTTCCAGTGTCGGCGGCGGAGGAGGAGAAGGACTTCGGGGAGGGCTAGGCGGGCCGCTTTCGATTTGCGGTTCCGCCGTTTCAGCTTGAGGAGGGGAGCTTTCGTCCGATTTTTGGCAAATTTCCGCAGAATGCTCGGCTTGAGGGCTTCGCGGTTCACTTTGAGATTTGGGACTACCCTGAATTTGAACTTCGGTTGATACTTCTTCGTGCAATTCGCCAACCACCATTTTGTATTCCTCCCCGACGGAACCCGAACGTGAAGGACTGCTCTGCTCCTCCGCGATTGGACTTCGCTGCACCGGTAGCGTCACTTCCTGTTCCATTTCCTCGCCTGAATCGTCGTCCACCGTCCGTCGATCTGTCGCGTCGAGGTCGGCTTGCGTATGGCTTTCTTGCAGTTTTGCGGAATCCAGTTCTGATGAGTCTTCGCGGTGAGAATCTTCCGGAGATGATTTGGGGCTCGTGGCCATTTCCGTAGCTTCTGTGAGATGGATGGGCGAGCGCATTTCGACGTTAGCTGCTTCCAGATTTACGACCTGATCTTTTGAGTCTGGACTTTTCGGGCTCTCCTCGGGCATTTCGACGCTCGGTGGAAGAGACTGCTGCTGCTCCTCCATGGGCTCCGGCTGGTCCAGACTCTGTGGATGTTCTGCGGGCTGAGGTGACCGTGGACTACAGGGGTGAGAATCCGAAACGCTTTGCCCAACTTCCATCGGCTCAGGTTGTAATGGCTCAGAGTTTTCCGACAGCTGACTCGGTTGAGGTGATAACTGAGGACTAGGCGGGTGCACTGGTGTGGAATCGTCTTCATCTTTCAAACCGCTTTCTTTCGGGCTTCGTGAAGGAGATTCTGATATCGAGAGCCGTTCCTGAAGGTTTACCAGTTCTGGATCTAATCTGCTTTCTCCAGAACTTAACTCCGCGGATGGTGAACCAGTTTGGCGATCATTCGAAAGCTCAACTTGTGTCTCTACTTCTTCCAGAGGAGGACTTTGAGATGGCGAGGCGGGGCGTTCTTGTATTTCTGAAGGATAAGGGGTTGGTTGACAGACTTTTGAAGGTTCTACAGTATCGGGAGTCGGTCGGGAGATTTCTGAAGGTTCTGATTCAAACGGTACCGGACTTTCTCTTGTTTGACCTTCTGTGAGAACATTTTGCGAGGGGCTTGGGGATCGGGGTCGGAGCGCTGATGGAGAACCGGGCTGCGATTGCGTAAATTCCACATTTTCCGGACTTTCTGGGGATTCTGAAGGGATCTGTCGAACCGGACTGTGGTCTTTTGGACTCGGAGGAGGAGGTTGCGTGTGATGATGTGGTGGTGGTGGTGAAATGGGCGGAGCTTCTTCTGTTAACACTGGGGGGGTGGTTACGGTGGCGGCTGGGGGGCTGTGGGGAGTGGTCGGCCCAGGCAGTTCCGCCCGTGGCCTGCAGATGGCGCACGTGTAAGGTTCAGCCCCCAACCTCGCCTCTCCAGCCTGAACGATGCACTCTGTATGGACACTCCTGCAACACCGAGGCAATCACAGTTAAAATCTGCTCTGGAAATTCAAACAGAGGTGGATTATTTTGTTTACAAGAAAATATTGACATCCTTGTTTTCACTAAATGTTAAATTAAAATGTCATTCTTTTTGTTTACTGGCATCTACAAATCACCTCACCTGTTGTAGTTCCAAATGTAAAAGAAGTAAAAATTACAGTCACACGTGAGCATTGTGTCACCATGGTAACTCTAACAGCGTTAATCGACCTTTTTCTTTTTCTCAACAGCCGTTAGTGTCCCTCCGTAGGTTTGCAGAACTCGCCTATTCTCCAGCAGTTTCATAAATCTGCCCCATCACCAAATCTTCAACCAACAAACTCCACAAAGGAGAAACATTCTAACATGAACAATTTATCCACAACGATCAAGAGAAGAAAGAACAAAACTTTACACATTAGTCACACACAACAAACTCAACTAACGTTATGAGTAGTGTCCAGACGTCCTCGTTTCCCCGGGACGCAGGGCATCCCCAGGTTTGATTAACCCAAATTTACAAATTTAAGACCTTTTTAAAAATGAAAATTAAGACCAACATCGCACCCATTATGTCGAATTTGAATAATGACCATAACAAAAAGTACTTTTATTATAAAGTCTCGTTCAGAATAATTTATAGTGGTATCCGTTGCTTGTAAAATGGCCAAACAATAATTTCTAAAACTAACAAGACAAACTAAGTATTGTTTGCACATTCTCCAAATTAGACGTTCATTCACGTCGCATGATTTCATGTTGTTGTTTTTTTCCCTCTCTCCGTTTAACATCACACCACAGCCCGGTTCAGTAAACAAAAACATAGGCTAATGAAATGTAAGACCTTTGTGAAAGACTTGGACTTCATATTTTAAGATGTTTTAAGGCTTTAATTTAAGAACATGAAATTTAAGACTTTTTTTAAACTTTTAAGACCTCGCATCTACGCTGGGACAGTCTCAGTTTTGAGCCTGTTTCTCTGTCCCTGCAGATTTATACAAAACCACTGATTTGTCTCAGTTTTATACAAGAAATGTCCCAGATGTCTCTATTTTTGACCAATCTGACCTAAACCAGGACTAAACTAAGACTAAACCAGGACTAAAACTGGACTATCGCAATTCCTGACAATCTATGCTCCTTCTTACTGTTGGCGGGGATCAGATTAGTCATTTGTTTGGCCAAAATACAGAAAACTGTGTTTGTAAATGACCGTAAAGCAAAAATACGTCCCTCATATCACGACTGACACGAGAATCCACAATGTTCCGCTCTCTTTTTACTATTTTATTTACAACAAACATCACAACCCGAGCGTGTCCCAGTTTAGAATTTTGAAAAAGTGCTCACCCAAGTCATGAATAAAACAGAAGGAACTTGTTCACTCAGACTCATTCTACAATTCAAATTAAAAATGGATTTGATGATGTGGAGATTTGCACAGACACAGAGGTTTGTGCAGTTTGAATGTGAAAGTCTCCAGGATCAGAACATGAGTTGAGTTTGTTGTGTGACTAATGTGACTCGATGTTTCCTTTAAGCTTTTGTCTTTCTCCTTTTAATAGTTGTGAAGCTGCTGGAAAATACAACACACATTTACACACACACACATTTTGATACACATTTACACACACACACACACACATTTTGACACACACATTTATACACACACATTTTGACACACATTTACACATATTTTGGCACACACATTTTGACACACACATTTACACACATTTACACACACACACACACATTTACACACATTTTGGCACACACATTTACACACACACACACGTTTACACACACATTTACACACACACACTTACACACACACACTTACACAGACTCACATTTACCACACACACACATTTTGACACACACATTTACACAGAAAACCATTAACCGGAAGTTCCACAAACCTACATTGGACACTTGAAACTGTTGTGAAAAAAAAAGTGTATTGATACTTTTCTTCTGATGTCATTCACATTACCTGAGGGCCTGAAGCTAACTGGAGGCACTGCTCTGTCTGAGACTAATCTGGGCTTTATTCTAACACAATCTGACCAGAAAGACCAGACTTATCTGAAACTCCAACAGGTGATCTGCTCTGAGCGCTCGCACTGATCACACACTCCGTCAAACGTGCGCTGTAAATATTTCTCGGGTCGTCTAAACCGTTCTCGTCTGCTTCCCGCGTCGCCGTGGTAACAGCGGACGTACGTACCTAAGGCAGCTGATACAGGTCACATGGTCCTGCGGGGAGTAGAGGTCGGGGGCGTCTCCACACAGACTACAGGGCTGGACTGGGTCACATGACTCGCACAGAGACGGGTGATTGGCCCACGCTCCCGATGACCTCACGCCGCAGCGCCGACACACTCTGCAGCTCTGAGGAGGACGGTTCAAACGCACGTGAACTTCAACAGCACAAACACGGACGCAGACGCACAAAAACACAAAAACACGTCCTCCCGTCCTCCTGTGTCCCTGTGTGTCAGATGCCCTCCCGTCTTCCCGTCCTCCTGTGTCCCTGTGTGTCAGATGCCCTCCCGTCCTCCCGTCCTCCTGTGTCCCTGTGTGTCAGATGCCCTCCCGTCCTCCCGTCCTCCTGTGTCCCTGTGTGTCAGATGTCCTCCCGTCCTCCCGTGTCCCTGTGTGTCAGATGCCCTCCCGTCCTCTTGTATTTCTGTATTGTATTTCTGTATGAGATGGAGGCAGGTCACATGTTTCTAGTTAAATGTGCAGATGTTGTGTTGTGTCAGATGCCCTCCCAGATGTTGTGGTTGGAGAACAGACCTGGCCACTAATAAAAATTATACATTTGATACAATCATCTCGAGGTTCACTAGAGCGATAGGACACTGCACACAGTTGTCAAACACACAGAGGTTATTCAACAAGTGACAAGTGATTGGTACATTATAAATCAAAGAATTGTAGTACATAAATGGTTAACTCATAGGCCTAGAATATCACACAAGTATTTAGCAAATATGGGATAATAAAATTATTCTGACAGGAATAAAAACAAACATTGGCCACGTTTACATGACATTTTTTTAATCCCGAATGAACTGTTCTGAATTAAATAGTTCTAAATTAAAATATTCTTCTCTTGGAGTTTCCAACAGTGAATTGCTGTTTCGTTTTAAACTGTTGAAATGTTCTTTATTTAATGTGTCTGAGCGTCTGGGGGGTGGGGGAGGTTCTGATTGGACAGAGACGCCAACGGATTTACGTCTTTGGGAAGAAAACACACACTTCAGCTGCTCCCGGCTTTTCTGTAATCTGGGTTTGTCGTTACTCCACGGATACAAACATGATCCAAACTTTATTGTGTGAGTGTGAGGCTGCTCTACCTCAGCCCACTCCCACATCCCGCTCACAAATCCAAAGATACGTGGATCAAAGTCCCGAGACAGGACTGGAGGAGCCGGATCGAAGGACGACACAAAGAGCATGAAGCACCAGCATTATTTTTAACAAGAAGAAACGACAAACACGATCCAGGAACGAAATTCATTCAGCTTTAAAATCAGAATAAACCAAACACTTACTTCACTGTTAAGTTTCATTTGGAATCAAGTGTTTCCATGGACTTTTTAAAGCGGAATTCATTTTTATTCGGACTTAAAGCTCTCATGTAAACGTGGCAAATGTAATGAATTCAACACTGGCTCTGTGAATGTGTGGAGATGTACGTTTTACAAAAGCGCTGGACATTTCTCAAGTTATAATCAAACTGATCAATTGAATCAACTTGTGAATCATGAGATCAGTGTGGCTTTTTACAGATAAACACCAAAAAAATAACAAATCTTCAGCAAACTCTGTCACTCCTCCTTTCTGCTGCTGCCCTAAACAAATCCTTTTAATCTAAACACAATTATTAGGCCAATAATACAAAACTGTGTTTGACTCAAAGACTACAGTGCCCAGCTTTAGTTACACCATCTCATCTCGACCGTCTGTACGTGTAAATGTATTTGTACTCGAGTAACGGTGAGCGTCCTCCTTGTGTTCCAGAGTGTGTGAAGCTGAATAACAGAAGCTGAGTGTAAACGGTGTGAGAGTCTGACCTTGCAGCTCCAGCCGCTGGAGGGAGGCTCCAGGAGCACAGGGCTGAGGCAGTGTGGATGGAAGGTCTTATCACAGCGCTCACACACCAGCAACGGACTGCCCGCCTCTCGCAAACTGAAAACACACACAGAGACACACATACAGAGACACACACACACACAGACAGACACACACAAAGCCAAAGAGACACACACAAAGCCAAAGAGACACACACACAGAGAGAGACCGGTTTAGGGAAGGTTGGGTCAGGAAATACATCACATATTAGTTTGTATCTGAACGTTCACCAAATTATTACTATTATTAACTTCCATAATGCTGTAATTTTTTTCAGACTGATGTCATTCTGAGCCAAATATGACCGTCCAATCAGATTCGTTTATTTCAGTGCTGCTTGTGAAACGCAGGAGCTCATTGGTCGGTGTTATTTTTCAGCCATAAATCTCCATTTCACACACACACACACGAAAACACACACAGAGCGTTCAGACACACACACAAACACACACACACACACAGCGCATTCAGACACACACACACACACACACACACACACACAACACAACACAGAGCATTCAGACACACACACACACAAACACAGAGCGTTCAGACACACACACACACACACACACACAGCGCATTCAGACACACACACACACACACACACACACAAACACAGAGCGTTCAGACACACACACAAACACACACACACAGCGCATTCAGACACACACACACACGAAAACACACACAGAGCGTTCAGACACACACACACACACAACACACACACACACACACACAAACACAGAGCGTTCAGACACACACACAGATGCAGAGGTACTCACCCGCAGGCTCGGCACACGCGGCACTGGGGGCACTGCCACCCGGCGCGGCTCAGGGGCGAGGGCTGGAGGGGCGGGTCCAGGCAGTCGCCGTGGTAATGGTCTCCACAGCAACAGCACATCAACAAACCCCCGCCAACGTCGCTAAAATCAGCGCCTCGAGAACACAACACGCACTGCACGGGGACTGAGGACACAAGGAGCAGCAGGTTTAAAGTGATGATCTCACTTTGGTGGAAAATGACACATGAAAATATAAACTATACGTTTTAAATCAAACATGTGCTTTTTATTTTAAATGACATACGTCTGTGGGCGTGTCTGGAGCACCATGTGACCCTCTGACTCCAGTCCTGATTGGTCGATGCAGCAGCAGCACATGGGAAGTGATAAGTCCGCCCACACCCTGCCTCCCGACAGCGCAGCGACGCCCCCAACTGACGACAGAACACACACACCTGCACACACACACACACACACACGCACACACAGGAGCGGCGTTTACCAAGCCCTCAAGTCCAAAAAGATTAAGACCCACTCCCATCACCAGTCTGATGATTTATGCATTGATAAAACACACAAAAGAGCTGGAGTATCTGTGTAACATGTGGATTTAAACGTCTACAGGGGAGTTACATGTGTGTGTGGAGTTATACCTGTTTAGATGCAGCGTCGATGGCCTTGTCCACGTACAGCAGACACTGAGTCTCTCCTCGGGACACGCCCTCAGACCAGGACGCACACTGCAGGTGGGCACAGCACTGACCTGCACCAACACACACACACACACACACACAATCACAGGGTTTATACAGTATTACATAATCATACACAGGTGTAAATATACTGGGTAAATGTGTAGTCAGAGGTGATGTTGTGATGCTGTTATGCTGGGATGTTGTGTTGATGTGTGACGGACCTGTGGGGTCAAACAGAGCGTGTGCGTCCACGTCGGGGGGGAGGCCCATGGCTCCGAGCTGCTCCACGAACTCTGAGGAAGACTCTGAGGAAGCAGCACACACTTCAGATCAACTCAAATTCACTCCAAACAAACTAAATAGAAGAGTTCAAGTGCTCATCTACATTTAAACCGATACCGATACAATACTGATCTTCTGCAGCTCATGACGTCAACAGTCTCTGAGGGGGTGGAGCTAACGGTAAGCACTGCTTCTGAAGCTTCTGCATCTGAAGCTCTTAGACTTAATCTGAGTTCTATTTTAACACAGTCTGACCAGAAAGAGCTGACTTAGTTGAAACTACATCAGATGAGTTGTTTTGTGCTGTGTCCCTCTCTTCAGTGAATCAATCTCACCTTTTCCTCTCCTAAACAGGACCAAAAACTCTTGAACTGATACAAAATACACAGAACAACCCAGAGTGATGATGTCACTGTGAAGAATCAACTGTGTGATAAAAAATGTAATAAATACCTAAACAATAAACCTGACCCAACCCCTCACTAAAGAAATAATCAAATACACAGAGATATAAAATATAAAATACACAAGACACAAGGACACGGGGACATACCGCTCTGCTCTGGACTGCTGCACCTGCACACACAAAACACAGGTTAATCATGTGACTCTGGAAACACCCATAAAAGGACAGAGGGGGCGGGGCTTACATGGACGCGGCTTCGTCTTCGCGGTACACGTGGTCGTGACAGTCGCCGTGGCGATCTGGCGAGGCGCGGCTGTTCAGGACGTGCAGAGGGATGTAGCCGGGAGTGGGTCCGAAGATGACCAGAGGACCCTGGCCCAGAGGAGCCCACGCCCCCCGCAGGCAGAAGGCACACTGCGTCAGACTGCGTCACACACACACACGCACACAAACACACACACACACACACACAAACACACGGCGCGGGTCAGATTATTCCATAAACATAAACATATTTATTTATATACTTGTAGCGTCTGAGGCTCACTGTTTGGTGGCGTCCCCGATGCTCGCCGTGGGGGAGCAGGCGGACTCGTCCGACAGACAGTGCTGGAACAGAGGAAACACGTCCTCGTCCTCCAGCCGCGGGGTCTCCGGGGCGCTGGAGCAGGGGCTGGGGGCGGGGCTGATGTCCATGGACGCGCCTACTTCCTGTTCCTCCGTCTCCATGGGAACGGGGCTGCGCGGGGCGGAGGGGGGTCGGGGAGCGAGGGGGGCTGTCCGGAGGGTCGTGCCCGGGGTCGAGCGTGGGCGTCCGGGCTCGGGGGCTCGGCGCCGGCCCAGGCTCCGGACTCGGGGCCGGAGACTCGGGACCGTCTTTAGTCTGGGACTTCCTCCTGGACGTAGAGCGCCGCCGCGCGGCCGCCTTCTCTTTCACCTCTGGAAAACACGAGGTCAGAGCGTCAGGGACTAAAGACTGCACCTGTCCGGATGCACCTGTCTCAGAGCACCTGCACTCACCTGTCTTTGGGGCGGGGCTCTTCTCTGCAGTGTCCACACTCTCCTCGTCTTCAGCCTGCGCTCGGCCTCGACTGCGCCCCCTACACACAAAACACACACATAAAACACACACACAAAACACACACACACACAAAACACACACACCGGCGTTAGCGACGTCTGTGGGTTTATCTGAAGAACCAACATTTATTAAAAACAAAAGGTCATTTCTTCTTCAGTATTTCCAAACACAAAACTCTCCCTCTCTTCCTCCTCTTCCTCCCTCTCTTCCTCTTCTTCTTCCTCGGTCACACACTGCAGACACATTTGTGACTCACAGCTGCCTTGGGTCAGACTAATGAGACGTGGCGGCCGTTTAAACACAAAGTGACACTCACCAGAAAAAGGCCGAGTGAAATGAGCTCGAAAGATTCATAAATCTGAAATAAATATTATTGTCATCAGGAGTCACACATTTTACCTGGAGATCGACTGATGTGTTTTTTTTCATGGCCGATTAGCTCGGCCCGTATAGATTTTTTTCCCCTAAATGATGTAACGTAAATGTGTAAACTCAGCTCAGCTCTGTGAGTGTTCAGGAGACGCACAAACGGCCGCAGTCACGTCTGTGTGTTTGCTTCATGTGGATTCTTCAGGCAGCAGATCGGACAAAACTAAATATCGGTCTGTGCCGGAGATTTAAGGCGATAACTGATGCACTAAAGTGTGCAAATATCGGCCTCAGCCCCACAGCCCTGAAGGACTGTCTGTGTGTTTCTGTGCGAAAGCATTTGTGTATGCGTGCTTGCTTTTGTGTGTGAGTGCGTTTGTTTGTGCATGTAGGTAAATACCATCAGAGCTCCACAGGCATCAGCAGCAGCAGCAGCACTCAGAGCCACTGCACAGCTGCATTATACATGAGCCCAATAATCAGGCTTATATTCAAACAGCACACACACACATATACACACAGAGATACAAACACACACACACATATACACACAGAGATACACACACACACTCCCACCCCAGCACAGACCCGGCACGGCGGGCGGAGGCTGAGGGTCTCTTCTCGTTCAGGAGTTAAAGTGTCTCTGTGTGGAGCAGCTGAGGACAAGTGAAACCTGACGAATCCCAATTTACTATTTTATTTTATTTTGTCGTCTTAAAAACAACAGAGACTGAAACTTTCATATTTCTGTTACAGTTAAAACTCTGCTCCAGTAAAAACCCAAACCGACCAGCAGAGATGATGGATCAGACCTGTGGCTTTAAAATAACTGTGTTTTTGTGTAATAAAATCATAATTAAAGCTCCATTGTGGAATCTTTTAGCCCAAACTACACAAAAAGTCATGTTTAGTTTAATGATCTTTTTAGAGCGCAGTAAAACAAACAAAAACACACACACAAAAAACACACGTCCTGTGAGCGGCTTGCATCTCCACAAACCTGACTATAAAACAGACTATAAATCTGGTTATAATATTCCATCGTGCAGCATCTAACCATGTTTTTACTTTTGTTATTTCCATGGAAACAGGCGGGTGAGGTGCCGCCTCCAGAAAGTTCCACAGAGCTGCTTTAAAAGTGATTATTTGCACAACTCAACTGTCAAAACAAACAAGCGTTACTGCGTCATGTATTTTCTTATGTGAAACTGAGAGTCTGAACAGAGAAACAGAACGACACACACACACACACACTCGTCATCACGCACAGGCCCAAAGGCACAACGGCAGCACACAAACAAAACAACAGTCACAGGAACACAGGCGCGACAGGCGCGACAGGGGCCAAAGAGGAACCACAGGTAACAGGGCATCACAGGAAACAGCACTTTCACCATGACAACCGACGACAACCGACCAATCACCAACCACCAGTCCCCCCCTCCCCCCCACGACCAAACACCACCCACCACCACCCACCAACACCCACCATCACCCACCACCACCCATCCCCCCCACCCCCGAGTGAAACCACAGACCTGCTCTGAGCTGCTCCTGCAGGCCTCCCGTTTCCTGCACATCAAACCTCAGCACCTCTGTCCCCCTCTGCACCTCTGTCTCTCCTCTGTCTCTCCTCTGTCTCTCCTCTGTCTCTCCTCTGTCTCTCCTCTGTCTCCCTCTCTCCTCTGTCTCTCCTCTGTCTCCTCCTCTGTCTCTCCTCTGTCTCTCCTCTGTCTCTCCTCTGTCTCTCCTCTGTCTCTCCTCTGTCTCTCCTCTGTCCCTCCTCTGTCCCTCCTCTGTCCCTCCTCTGTCTCTCCTCTGTCTCTCCTCTGTCTCTCCTCTGTCCTCTCCTCTGTCCCTCCTCTGTCCCTCCTCTGTCCCTCCTCTGTCCCTCCTCTGTCCTCTTTATTTCACTCACACATTTAAAGATGTCAGTTTTTAGAATATCTGAGACTCACTTTTTCTTGGTTTTTGTGACCGGAGGCGGCGGCGGTGATGGGGGCGCGGCGGAGCGGCCATCTTTGCGAGGACGTCCCCGGGAGCGTCTCTCGGGGGCGGGGCTTGTGGAGGCTTTAGCCAATAATGCGCTGCGTCCGGCCCGAGTGACAGGAGGCGGGCCTCGGTCCCGCGGCTCCTGCGACTGAGCCTCAGACGGCATTCTGGGAAAAAACAAATACAGTTATTATTTGAATTAAATAATTAAAACAAAAACACGACAGTTCTGAATTTCTCGACTAGTTTACAGAGGTTTAAATACATTTACTTCAAAGTTTTTTTTTTACTTATACAAGTTTTTAAGGATTTGACACAAAGACTAATCATGTTTTTGGTTTACAGTGTTTCAGTTTCATTTCGGACGACGGGAGGGCATCAGGGTTATACACTGTAATATCAGAGACAGATAATGGAGCTGTCTAAACAAAACAATTAAAGTTTTATTTAACACTTTAATGTGGAGAGAAAATCGCAGAAAACGTGACCGCAAAGAACACCTAAACGTAAATTTAACGTAAACGTAAAAGTAAATTTAAATTACATAATTTTAGAAAAAAATTGGAAAACTCACGACACATATTTTTATTTTTAACAATCAGTATCAGCACTGACCACGAAAAAAACCAAACACGTAAACACGTCTGTTCACTGGCGTCAGTCTGCCCCAGGGCGGCTGTGGCTACAACAGAGTCTGACCACCAGAGTGTGGAGCGAGTGAAGAACGAGTAAAACACTTCAGGCGCTTTTTAAATATTCAACACATTATTGTTCTGATTCATTATTAAAAAGAAAAAAACTGAATAATACAAATGAAGGTACAGTTCAACATTTTACTACGACAATTACTACTACTACTATGATTACTACTACTACCACTACGATTATTACGATGACTATGATTACTACTACCACCACCACAAACACCAGTCTGACTACGACTACTACAATTAATACGACTATTACTACTACAACGACCATTACTACTACTACGATTAATACTACTACTACAATTATTATTACGATTACTACTACAACAATTACTATTACGACTATGATTAATACTACGATTATTACTACAATTACTAGGACTACCACTACTACCACAACTACTACGATTATTACTACTACTACAATTACTACTAGTATGATTAATACTACTACGACTACGATTACTACTAGTATGATTAATACTACTACGACTTCTACGATTACTATGACTACTACTACCACTATGATTATTACTAAAATTACTACTATGACGATGATTAATACTACTACGACTACTAATACCACTACTACGATTAATACAAGAATTACTATGACTGCGACCACCACAACTATTACTACGATGATTACTACGATTACTATGACTACTACAATTACTACGACTACTACTGTGATTGCTACTACTACGATTACTACTACTATCACCACTACCACGACTACGATTACTACTAATACTATGATTAATATTACTACTACAATTACTACTACAATTACGATTACTACTACAATTACTACGACTACTACCACTCTTACTACCATTCTGACTACTACGATTACTACTAATACTATGATTAATTCTACTACTGCAATTACAATTACTACTACCACTACTACTACAATTATTATTACTGAAACGATTACGATTACTACTACTATGATTACTACTGCAATTACTACGACTACGATTACTACTACCACCACAACTACTACGATTATTACTACCACTACCATGATTACTACAAGTACTATGATTGACTATGACTACGACTACAATTACTATGACTTACTATTATCACAACTACCTACCACTACTATTACTACCAGTCTCACTACTACTACTACAACTACTACTAAAATTATTACTACAATTACTACTGTTACTACTACTACGATTAATACTACTACAACTACTACGATTAATATTACTACTACTACTACAGTTACGACTACTACGATTACTACTAATACAATGATTAATACTACTACTACGATTACTATGACCACTACTACGATTATTACTATGAATACTACTACGATGATTAATACTACTACGACTACTACAATTATGACTACCATGATTACTACTACTACGACTACAACTACTACTACGACTACCACTCCGACAACTACTATGACTACTACTCTCACTACCACTTTCACTACTACTACTACTACTACCATTAATTGCAGATTTTTAAATAACAAAGTCCAGTGGAGTGACAGAAATGTTCAATAATTCAACATTTCCTTTAAACACAAATGTGACAAAACAGAAAGAACGAAACACAAAACACAGAAAACAAAAACTCCTCTCAGCTCAGTGTTTAAATGTTTGGTTAAATGAGAAATATGCTGTTTACTACAATTACTACTACCACTACTACTACTATCACCAGTCTCACTATGACTACAGCGATTACTACTACTACTACTACTACTACTACTACTACGACGACAATTACTACAATTATTACTACGATTACTACTACTATCATTAATACTACTACAACTACTACAATTACTACTACTACTACTACTACGATTAATACTACTACGACTATTACTACTACTACAATTACTACTACTATGGCTACTACTACAATTATTACTACGATTACTACTACTACTACAACTATGACTACAATTACTTCTAATACTATGATTAATTCTACTACGATTACAATTACTACTACTACGATTAATACTACCACCATAACTACTACAATTACTACTACCACTACCATGTACACTACAATTATTATGATTACTATTACTACTACTACTACTACTACTACAACGATTTTACAATTGCTACAATTACTACGACTACTACTGTGATTACTACTACTATCACCACTATCACTCTTACTACCACTCTGATTACAATTACGACTACTACTCTCACTACCACTTTACTACTACTACTACCAGCATTAATTGCAGAGTTTTAATCCAAACGAAACCCAGTCCAGTGACAGAAATGTTCAATAATTCAACATTTCCTTAAAACATAAATGTGACAAAACAGAAAGAACGAAACACAAAACACAGAAAACAAAAACTCCTCTCAGCTCAATGTTTAAATATTTGGTTAAATGAAATATACGCTGTTGTGTGTGTTGTGTATGTTGTATGCTGTGTGTGTTCTATGTTGTATGTTGTGTGTGTAGTGTGTTGTATGTTGTATGTAGTGTGTAGTATGTAGAGTGTTGTATGTTGTGTGCTGTGTGTGTAGTGTATTGTATGTAGCGTGTTGTATGTTGTATGTAGCGTGTTGTATGTTGTATGTTGTATGTAGCGTGTTGTATGTAGTGTGTTGTATGTAGTGTGCAGTGTGTGCAGTGTGTTGTATGTAGTGTGCAGTGTGTTGTATGTATGTAGTGTGCAGACGCGGGGCTGCTCTTCACATGGCTCCTGTTCTCTTCTAAATCCATTATTATTTCTCCAAGTGAATTAACCCGTGAAAATCCCGCCGCTCATCCCGCACACCTCCGGCTCCGTGCGCGCTCGTCCTGTCCCCGCACACGCTCCTTTCGTGTTTTTTACATCAGATCTTGTGCGTTGTGTGTCGTGTTGTGTTGTGTGTTGTGTTGTGTGTCGTGTGTATTGTAAGAGCGAAGTTAGCACAGCGGCTCCCAGATAGCAGCTTTAGCAGACGTGTTGTTTATGCGTAACTGGACGTAAACAGCCGCATTTTCGGACACGTTTCGGATCAGATTCGCACTCAGATTGACAAATAAGTTGATCCGAACGCTGTACGGTTTGATTTTTTGGTTTTATAGTGAAATGTTCTTGCGTTAGCCGCTAGCCGCACGGACCGCCCAGTTTGACTGATCACTTCTCTGTTAGCATTAGCATTAGCCATTAGCGCGGACTCCAAACTACGCGCTTATTCCGCCTTTTCACGCTCCACATTCACGAAGTGCGTCGGGTCCAGCGCGAGAAACGGGCGCTGGAGTCCGACGCGGAGCCGCCGATGGCCCCAGAGGCGCCCGGGCTGCGCGATAAAAGACGCTCTTACTGATTTGATGCGATTCTCTTTTTCCTCTCCAGCTTTCCAACTTAAACCGTCGCGGTCAGATCCGGCACTCTCCCGTAGATAACATGAGTCTCACAGGCCTGGCGTGACACGGATCCCCGACGAAACATTCCCGTTGGTCGTGGAGGGACAAAACGCGGTAATTTCGCTGGAAAATGGTGAAAAATTAAAGTTGAAGCGGTCGCCCCGATATGGAGGCCATGTTTGGGAGCGACCGGAGCACAGCGTCACCGCCAGAGGTAACGGTAAGAAGTAGGGCTCGCAAAACAATCACGATTTCACCCGTTTAACTGCTCGTAACGGGGCGTGACTGCGGGCGATACCGGGATAATAAGAGTTTATGACGTGCGGATGGGGTAAAGTGAGCGGTGCGGGGCGCGAAGGTGCGGGAAAAGGCGTTATTTGTGCGGTGTTTGGGAGAAAGTGTGTATGACCCCGCGGAGGGATCTGCGGGAGGGCTGTTCTGGTGAAGCGGCCGCTGTCATCAGACCGGAAGTCCCGGACTGGACCGTTGGTCGCGAGGAGCCGGAGCGAGCGCACGTGCCGCGACATGGACGGGGCTCGTGTCGCGATAATCGCAATATTGATTTATCGATTAATACGCGACACGTGGAACTGTGCGTCTGCGGTTCAGATTTACCGAGGGAATTATTATTTTGTACTACCGGAAAATTTGGTTATTTTTTGGTTTCAAAACCAGAACTAAACCAGGTCGAAAACAAGACTAAACAAGACTAAACCAGGATTAAACCAAGAATAAACCAGGACTAACCCAGATCTAAACAGGTATAAACAGTAACTGGAGAGAGGTAGTAGTAGTAGTAGTAGTAGTAGTAGTAGTAGTAGTAATAGTAGTAGTACTGGTGGTAGTAGTAGTAGAAGTAGTAGTAGTAGTAGTAGTAGTAGTAGTAGTAGTAGTAGTAGTAGTACTGGTGGTAGTAGTAGTAGTAGTAGTAGTAGTAGTAGTAGTAGTAGTAGTAGTAGTAGTAGTAGTAGTATAGTAGTAGTAGTAGTAGTACTAGTGGTAGTAGTAGTAGTAGTACTGTAGTAGTAGTAGCAGTAGTAGTAGTAGTACAGGTGGTAGTAGTAGTAGTAGTAGTAGTAGTAGTAGTAGTACTGGTGGTAGTAGTAGTAGTAGTAGTAGTAGTAGTAGTAGTACTGGTGGTAGTAGTAGTAGTAGTAGTAGTAGTAGTAGTAGTAGTAGTAGTAGTAGTAGTAGTAGTAGTAGTAGTAGTAGTAATGGTAGTAGTACTGTAGTAGTAGTAGTAGTAGTAGTAGTAGTACTGGTGGTAGTAGTAGAAGTAGTAGTAGTAGTAGTACTGGTGGTAGTAGTAGAAGTAGTAGCAGTAGTAGTAGTAGTACTGGTGGTAGTAGTAGTAGTAGCAGTAGCAGTATGTTTTCAGAACAACATAAAAACATTTACAGATGTGAACGTTGTGAAAACGTAAATAACTCGACTCAAATAAAACAGGTTTATTTTTGCAGCGTTTATGAAAAAGTCAAATATTCCATAAAAAGTGAAAACAAATTCACAAATTTCTCTTTCTCTGTTTACGCTCGAAGTCCTGCAGTCTGCACTCTGACCACCAGGAGTCGCCAAAACACCACGAACACAAGCCTCTTTTATAACTCTATTTACAGGAACAACAGAAACAGGAATAAAAACTGTTTCAGCTAAAAGGAAACTCCCTTTTTAAACCACTGGCTCCTGGACCAGTTTAGTCCAAGTTTAGTCCTGGTCTAGTTCTGCTTCAGTTCTGCTTTAGTCCTTTATAAACTCCACTCCAGAGTCTGTGATGATGAAGCGGTTGGTTCTGGAGCCTCGGTTTCTGGACGAGCAGTGGACGGTGAAGATCGTGTCTTTCTGGCGCTCGGGTCCCGGGGCGGCGCCGGTGGCCATTTTGAGGACCGTTTCAGTCTTGGAGCAGGTTAAACGGTGCGACACAAGCTTCTGCCACGACCGGCACAGGTACGGTCTGTCCTGGTCCACAGACGAGGAAGAAGAAGAGGAGGAGGATGAAGGAGCAGAGAAAGATGAAGAAGCAGAAGGACCAGAGGAAGAAGAAGGAGCAGAGGAAGAGGAGGGTGCAGAGGAAGATGAAGGAGCAGAGGAAGAGGAGGGTGCAGAGGATGACACGGAGCTGCTGTGTTGTCGAATGGAGTGGCAGGAGGCAAACACAGTGATCTTGTAATCCCTGAAAAAACAAAAGAAAAAGCAAAGTCATGAAAAGTTCCACACTATGGCATTAAACATGGTGATAAACTAATACTGTAGCCACAACCGCCCTGGGGCAGACTGATCAAAGCAAGGCTGTTAATTGGTCCCTCAGACCACCATCACGCACACACGCACACACTAACACTTTCACATTAGACAGTGTGTGTGAAGTGTTTTGCCTACAGACAGTTTTAGTTTTTCTCTGGCTCTTGTGTCTCCTGATGTTCTCAGTGTCTCCATCAGACTCTGAGCCTCTGAAATCTGACCCCAGATCAGATGTCAGTGTCTCCATCAGAGTCCTGCTCTGACTCTGAGCGTCTGAGATCTGACCCCAGATCAGACTCTGACCAGTCCATATGTCTGTGTTAAATTTTCAGAGTTTTTCTCTCCTCCTGTTGCTGAAAATGGAGACACACTTCACAGATTCTCCACTTTCAAACGTCAAACATCAAACTTCAGATTCACTTCAAACTTTTCCCTGACAAACACAGAATTTTCATGAACATTAATCACGTTATTTTCCTGCGTCCGTGTGAGACGTCCACATGACGTCCACAAAAGTCAAAGGTCAAATGTTTCACTGCAGATTCACGTCCAAGTGTCACAGACCAACAAATACTGGACAGAATTTACACCACATTTAGTCCAGAGCTGGTCCTGGACCGTCCGTACCCGCTCCTCGTTCGTACCCGCTCCTCGTTCGTACCCGCTCCCTCGCCCGTACCCGCTCCCCCGTCCGCTACCTGCTCCCCCGTCCGCTCCCCCGCTCCCCGTCCCTACCCGCTCCCCCACCTGTACCCGCTCCCCGTCCGTCCCCGCTCCCCCGTCCCTACCCGCTCCCCGTCCGCTCCCGCCCTCCGCCCCTCCCCGCCCGTGCCCGCTCCCTCCCTCCCCGTGCTGCCCGCTCCCCCCGCCCGTGCCCGCTCCCCGTCCGTACCCGCTCCCCCGCCCGTACCTGAGCAGTCGTCCGAGCAGCTCCGAGCACCTGTTGAGTTTCTCTTCCTGTTTGGCGTAGCTGGCCCCGCCCTCCGCTCGGTCCAGCCAATAGAAAGCGGAGATGCTGTCGATGAGGAGGAGCGACAGGTCGGGCCGCGCGGCCAACGACGTCTCCAGGAAGTGAAGCGTCAGGAGCAGCTGAGACGACGAAGAGCAGTGAAGAACCAGAACCCGAGACAAACACGAGCGGAGCAGCGCCTCGTCCGGACCGCCAGCACCGCAGGGAGCTGACGCACAACGACAACAACACAACAACAACAACGCACACAGACACACAACAACCACAAGACACACAAGACAACAACACAACAACAACAACACACACAGACACACAACAACCACAACACACACAACGACAACAACACAACAACAACAACACACACAGACACACAACAACACACACACAACGACAACAAACAACAACAACACGAGACAGACACACAACAACAACACACACAGACACACAACAACACACACACAGACACACACACAGACACACACACAGACACACAACAGGGCAGGTTTATTCTACTGTGTGTCAGATGCCCTCCCATGACCCTCCCACAACAGCTGCAATAAATGAGGTTTAACTCAAAACAGAACAAGAGAAAACCAGAATTAAACCAGGACTTTTCTAATCCAGGACTAGACCAAAACCAAATCAGGTCTAAACTAGGACTAAACCAGGACCAAATCAGGTCTAAACCAGGACTAAACCAGGACCAAATCAGGTCTAAACCAGGACTAAACCAGGACTAATCAACAGATAAATCAAATCTAACCCAGGACTATATTAAGATTAATCAGGACTAACCAAGAACTTCCAACCAGGACTAAACCAGATCTGACACAGGCCTAAATCAGATCTAAACCAGGTCTAACTCAGGTCTAAACCTGGTCTAACACAGATCTAAACATGGACTAAACCAGGACTAAACCCCTCTGAGTGTATTGTCTGTACAGTATGATGTTTGTATAGTTGTGTAGTTGTGTGGTGTGTGTAGTTGTGCGTTCTCTTGCCTGTTGTGTGCTGGAGTTTGTGGTGTAGTTGTGTGTACAGTTGTGCGTTCTCTTGCCTGTTGTGTGCTGGAGTTTGTGGTGTAGTTGTGTGTGTAGTTGTGCGTTCTCTTGCCTGTTGTGTGCTGGAGTTTGTGGTGTAGTTGTGTGTACAGTTGTGCGTTCTCTTGCCTGTTGTGCTGGGTGTTGTTGTGTGTGTGTAGTTGTGCGTTCTCTTGCCTGTTGTGTGCTGGAGTTTGTGGTGTAGTTGTGTGTGTAGTTGTGCGTTCTCTTGCCTGTTGTGTGCTGGAGTTTGTGGTGTAGTTGTGTGTACAGTTGTGCGTTCTCTTGCCTGTTGTGTGCTGGAGTTTGTGGTGTAGTTGTGTGTGTAGTTGTGCGTTCTCTTGCCTGTGTGTGCTGGAGTTTGTGGTGTAGTTGTGTGTACAGTTGTGCGTTCTCTTGCCTGTTGTGTGCTGGAGTTTGTGGTGTAGTTGTGTGTGTAGTTGTGCGTTCTCTTGCCTGTTGTGTGCTGGAGTTTGTGGTGTAGTTGTGTGTACAGTTGTGCGTTCTCTTGCCTGTTGTGTGCTGGAGTTTGTTGTGTAGTTGTGTGTGTAGTTGTGCGTTCTCTTGCCTGTTGTGTGCTGGAGTTTGTGGTGTAGTTGTGTGTACAGTTGTGCGTTCTCTTGCCTGTTGTGTGCTGGAGTTTGTGGTGTAGTTGTGTGTGTAGTTGTGCGTTCTCTTGCCTGTTGTGTGCTGGAGTTTGTTGTGTAGTTGTGTGTACAGTTGTGCGTTCTCTTGCCTGTTGTGTGCTGGAGTTTGTGGTGTAGTTGTGTGTACAGTTGTGCGTTCTCTTGCCTGTTGTGTGCTGGAGTTTGTGGTGTAGTTGTGTGTGTAGTTGTGCGTTCTCTTGCCTGTTGTGTGCTGGAGTTTGTGGTGTAGTTGTGCGTTCTCTTGCCTGTTGTGTGCTGGAGTTTGTGGTGTAGTTGTGTGTACAGTTGTGCGTTCTCTTGCCTGTTGTGTGCTGGAGTTTGTGGTGTAGTTGTGTGTGTAGTTGTGCGTTCTCTTGCCTGTTGTGTGCTGGAGTTTGTGGTGTAGTTGTGTGTGTAGTTGTGCGTTCTCTTGCCTGTTGTGTGCTGGAGTTTGTGGTGTAGTTGTGTGTGTACAGTTGTGCGTTCTCTTGCCTGTTGTGTGCTGGAGTTTGTGGTGTAGTTGTGTGTGTAGTTGTGCGTTCTCTTGCCTGTTGTGTGCTGGAGTTTGTGGTGTAGTTGTGTGTGTAGTTGTGCGTTCTCTTGCCTGTTGTGTGCTGGAGTTTGTGGTCCAGGATGGTGACGAGTCTGAGCAGGTCCAGGCTGAAGTCCGTGTCCACGAAGACGACGCTGAGCTCCAGACCTCCAGCCGAGCGCGGAAGAACACAACGACACACGAGCAGGTACAACAACTCCGACTTACCTACACACAACAACAACTAAACCAGGTCTAAACCAGGTCTAAAACTGGACTAAAACAGGACTAAAACTGGACTAAAACAGGTCTAAAACAGGACTAAAACTGGACTAAAACAGGTCTAAAACTGGACTAAAACTGGACTAAAACAGGACTAAAACTGGACTAAAACTGGACTAAAACAGGTCAAACAGGACTAAAACAGGAATAAAACTGGACTAAACCAGGACTAAAACAGGACTAAAACAGGTCTAAAACTGGACTAAAACTGGACTAAAACTGGACTAAAACAGGACTAAAACTGGACTAAAACTGGTCTAAAACAGGTCTAAAACAGGACTAAAACAGGACTAAAACAGGACTAAAACAGGACTAAAACTGGTCTAAAACAGGACTAAAACTGGACTAAAACAGGACTAAAACAGGTCTAAAACAGGACTAAAACTGGACTAAAACAGGACTAAAACAGGACTAAAACAGGTCTAAAACAGGTCTAAAACAGGACTAAAACAGGTATAAAACAGGACTAAAACAGGACTAAACCAGGTCTGAACCAGTGGAACATTTTAGACAGAGTTTGAACATGTCCGTGGAGCAGGTGATGGACTCTGGACTCTAAACTCTAAACTCTAAACACACGTTCCACAGAAAAGCCGTTTTTACCGGAGCCTTCAGGTCCGAAGAGTTCCACGACTTCACCTGTCAATCAATCACAAACGTCTCTGTCAGAAACTTTCAAATCGGTTGTTCTGAGTTCAACTTTGGTCTTCACCGTTTTCAGGGCCGACATTTTCTGGAAACAGACGAGGCTCAACGTCCCGGAGACTTCGACGAGACTCAAGACGAGCGAAAAGCTGCAAAAAAAAAAAAAAAGAACAAGTTTATTTTAGTTTATTTAAAGAGACAAAGGGACAGACAGGAGCAGGCAGGAGCTGACAGGAACAGACAGGAGCAGGCAGGAGCAGACAGGAGCAGACAGGAACAGACAGGAGCTGACAGGAACAGACAGGAGCAGACAGGAGCAGGCAGGAGCATGTACAGAGGGAGTTTTTATGTTTTTTCTTCTCCTTTTTGAGAATTGTGCTTTTCTGTTCTTTCTAGTGTTTATGTGTAATATTATTGTTTTTCTCTTGGCACAAACTCGAAATAAAAAACTTTTTATTTTAGACATGTTTTTTAAATGACATTTTTTGTTCGGCAGTTTCACTTTTTCATTTCTGAGTCAGAACAGAAACTCCTCAGTCTGAGAAGCGTCACAACAACGAGATTTACTGATTTTTATAAAGAAATACAATTAATATTCTGCAGAATTAAGTTGAGTGTTTTGTCCTCCACAGTGTTTTCTGTTTACTGTGTTTAAAAGAACTGAACCTGCCCCAACTTTTCTCCTGTTAAACACAAACTCTACAGTTTCTCTCATTTCAGATTTTTCCACCAAACTGCACAGATGTGATGAGATTTCTGACCTGAGCTCCGGTTTCGGTCATGTTCGGTTCATGTTCGGTTCATGTTCGGTTCGGGTTCTATGTTTTTTTTTGTTTGTTCTGATTTTCTCTCGTTTTTCAAAACAAACCCGCCACGCGCGCGTGACACTTCCGGGTTCCTCCGAGTTTTACCGTAATCTCGCGAGTTTTTACGGTAACGAGCGACGCGCAGCTGAATTCTTCACATTTGTACATCGGAGCATCAGTAAGTGAACTATTTATTATATTTTTATTTTAGCAGGTAAACAGTGGGTTTATTTTAGTTAAAGAGTTTAAAATCATTACTCAAATTCATAATTAATGACGCACTGTGTAACTTTTCCGTTTCTCTCAATGGCGATTTTTCTGTAATGTTCCACAGTAAAGCACTAAAGTCATACTGCATCACCATGGAGACCAGCAGATGAAACTACAATCTTCATCTGTGGGATCTAGAATTGCACCACCAAACCTGTGGGTCTGTGGATCTCTCTGCTTTATGTTTAGAGCGGGATTCAAACCACAAACCTTCAGGTGAGTGGACAAACGCTCCACTGCCTGAGCCGCTGTCGTCTCTTCAGTCCCGTGTGTTCACCTGCAGGAAAAACGGTGAATGTGGCAGAAAAACCACAGAGTAACGATGTAAGAGGCCAAAATAAAATCCCAGCAGGAAAACGAGGTCGGTCGACAGAAACGTGGAGCCTGGGGCAAGAAAACTCCCAGGGGCCCCTCAAACATAAACAAATAAAGAGCCACTAAACACAAAAATCACCGTTTCCTCCTGATTCTCTGTAAATGTGTCTAAAATAAAAGTGTCTCTATCCCAGGTCTTTGGCTAAATTTTTGTTAAAAATGTGACGTTTGGGTCAGAGTCGTGTCTGTGTCGGCGTCTTCAGGATCAACAGAACATGTGAGTTTTCATGTTGGACAAACGGCGCAGATGAGTCAGACACAGGTTATTTCATGACAAGCGCAGACACCGGGGTTTACAGATGGGACGCCCCTCTCAGCCCCGACTCCACCTGGCACCACCTGGCACCACCTGGCACCACCTGGCACCACCTGGCACCACCTGGCACCGCTGGACACGGCCATGTCCCACTGTGTCTGGAGAAAAGGGAAACGGTGTGATCTGAGCACAAACGTCGGCTCTGTTTCAGAGTCCAGAGGCACCGGTCCCACAACCACTGGATCTGGGGCCCCTGAGTAAAACACAACATTCTGACACAACTCAGGTTAGAAAACACACACAGTAGAGAAACACACACAGTAGAAGCACAGAACGCTTACAGTAGAGACCATAGAGAAACACACAGAGTAGAGAACACACACCATGGAAACACACACACACAGTAGAAAAACACACACACACACAGGAGAAAAACACACAGTAGAGAACAGTAAAAGACGCACAGAGTATAAAACAAATGCACACAGTAAAAAACACACAGTAGTAAACGCACACGTCTTTGTAAACAATACTTTAGTTTATTACAAATGAGTAACATGACAATAAATACACAAATGTTGTGTGGACATGAGTTTGAGGTAGAATCAACAAACAACAGAGTTTTAATTAAACTTTTAACTTTTAACTCAGCACCACAAAACTCCCGAGAGCCACACACACCCTCTGTCTGTGTGTGTGTATGTTTGTGTTTGTTTTTATAATCTCTGGTAAAGTCGTACATTCACGTTATAGAATTATATTTAAACTAGTGTCATGATAACAAAAGTAAATTTTCAGACTCCAATACTGATTCTAAACCAATCTAATCCCATTATTTTATTTTTTATACATTTATTTTCAAATGTATTTAAAGTAAAGTCATTTTAAAGTGTTTATAAAAAGTAACGGAATAGAAAATATCTTTGAGAACTGTGAATCCTTGGGGGATATTTGAGCCAATCAGAGCGAAGCGCGGCGCAAAAGTGTCTGCAGTACTGATCCTGACCTGTAGGTGGAGTTAAAGTGTCTGCAGTACTGATCCTGACCTGTAGGTGGAGTTAAAGTGTCTGCAGTACTGATCCTGACCTGTAGGTGGAGTTAAAGTATCTGCAGTACTGATCCTGACCTGTAGGTGGAGTTAAAGTGTCTGCAGTACTGATCCTGACCTGTAGGTGGAGTTAAAGTGTCTGCAGTACTGATCCTGACCTGTAGGGGGCGGTATCTTATATAATCTCTCAGTGATGTGTGAAACGTTCAGGGTTTGTTTGGTAAAACTGGAATAAAAAGGCCTCGGGTCATAAACATCTGAAAACTCTGGAACATTTTACACTGAACTATATTTACACGAGACGAAACAGAGAACGAAGTCCTGGTTTAGACCTGGTCTAGTCCTGTCCTAATTAGACCTGGTTTAGTCCTATTTTAACCTCGTTTAGTCCTTTAGACCTGGTTTAGTTCTCATTCCTTTCCTGGTCAGTTGTAATTCGGTGTCCTGGTTCATCCAGACCAGGTTTAGTTTTGCTTTAGACCAACTGTTGAGTCTTGGTTTAGTCCCAGTTGAGTCCAGGCTGAGGTCCGACTCAGTCCAGGTTTAGTCCCGGTTAAGCTCCAGTTTAGACCTGGCTCAGTCCTGGTTCAATTCAGTCCTGACTTAGTATCACTCAGACCTGATTCAGACCTGGTTTAGTCCAAGTTCAGTTTAGTCCCAGTTCAGAGCAAGTTCAATCCTAGTCTAGTCCCGGTTCAGACCTGGTTTGATCCCGGTTCACTTTAGTCCCAGTTCAGAGCGGGTTTATTCCTATTTCAGTCCTGGTTCAGTCCTGATCTAGTCCTGGTTTTGTCCTGCGCTAGTCCTGCTCTTGTCCCAGTTCAGACCTGGTTCAGACCTAGTTTTAGTCCAGGTTTAGTCCCGGTCTAGTTCCGGTCTAGTTCCGGTCTAGTTCCGCTCCAGTCCTGGTTTAAGCCAATTCTAGTCCCGGTTCAGTCCCGGTTCAGACCCCGTTCAGTCCTGGTTTAGTCCCAGTTTAGTCCCGGTTTAGTCCCAGTTTAGTCCCGGTTTAGGCCCATTCTAGTCCCGGTTTAGTCCATTTTCAGTCCTGGTCCAATCCTGGTCTAGTCCCGGTTTAGTCCCGGTTTAGTCTCTGTTGGTTCTGTTCTTGTCAAAGGACCTTTAGATGTGATGATGTAATAAAAACTCACTTTTTTCAACTGGAAATAAAAAAAACAAAAAATAAACAAATAAAAACAAAAAGTCACATTTTTTAGTTTTTGTCAAATTGAAAATAGCAGCTTTGAATGACGGGGCGACGGACCAATCAGGTGAGCCGCTGTGTGTGAGGGGCGGGACTATGTTGGTTTATCAAAATCGTCATAAAAAAAAAAGTACAAAATAAAGTCTTTTTCAATAGTTTACAGCCAGTGGCAAAGACTTTAGGTTCAGTTTATGTTTCGGAGAGTTATAAAAATAGTAGCAGAGTTTCATCCCGCCGTCTGGGGAGGGTAGGCGGGGCTTAGAGTGGTCAGACCCTCTCCGATTGGCTGGTTTACACGATCATGTCTGTTTCTCTGTTGGTCAGTTTGTGCAGTTTGACGGCGCACGGCGGGATCAGCGTCACGGCGCTCGTCTCCTCGTCTCTGAAAACCAAAAACTTACTCACCACTTTTCGGCTCAAATCCGTGACCAGATTTTCGCGGCGTCTTTTCCTGCGCACCCTCCTCCTCTGCTCTACGCTGACCCACTCGCCGTCCGCTCCGTTTCCTCCTTTCCTCCACTCCCATTGGCCCTGCTCGTCGTCGTCGTAAGCCCCGCCCCTCACGTGATCCGTTTCGATTATCCTCAGGTCGTCTCTGCTCTTGGCCCACTGCGGCTGCCCGTGTCCCGGCGTGTACTCGTCCTCTCTGAGCACGTAAATGTCCTCGATGTCTTCGTATTCGTATTTGATTTCCGTCGCGCGTTCCGAACTCTCCCTCCGCGCTCTCCTCTCCGCGTCGTCCGCGTCGCCGTTTAATATTTTGACCTTTTTCACCATCCCCGCCGCGTCCGCGTCGCCGTTCAGCACGTCTCCCAGCTTCAGCGTCTCCTGCCTCCACGCGCACAGCTCCTCGGTCTCCGGCGAGTATCGGACGGGCGGTCGGACGGTGGCGCGCCGCGGTCTGTCCAGCGGCTCCGTTAACGTCGTCCCTCCGTCCTCCTGGAGCGCGGCGTCCTCCTGCTTAATCTCCTCGGGATTCTCGGCTCTTTTCTTGGGTCTCCCGCGTCTTCGCTTGACATGGATCAGCGCGTCATTATTCTCGTCGCTGCCAGTTGTAGCGACATCGGAATTCTCCCGTTTTTCTTTGTTTTTGTTGCGTTTCGTGCCCAAATTTTCATCTTTGAGTTTTATGGAGTTTGAATAATCCACGTCCGCTTGTCCGTCGGATCCATCCTCTTGTTTAACGACTACTTTCTTAAACTTTGACAACTCGAGCTCCTTTTTCACTTTTATCCGTTTAATTTTTGCTTTGTACCAATCAGGACTTTCCGAAGCGCCGCTCTCGTCGCCCGTCAGCTCTTCTTTAATCGCCGCGTTCTCGATCGACCAGTCGGGAGTCTTTTTGGAAGCGGGCGGGCGGGACTTGGCGTTGTTCTTGAGTTTTTTGAGCTTCAGCGGCAGGAGGCGCGGCTTCTCCGCCACGTTCAGATCTAAAACCGTCCCCGGGGAAAGTGGGCGGGGCTTTAACGGCTCCAGCGCGGCGTGCGTGACGACCGACGCGCCGTTCGGCCAATGGTCTTCCTCCTGCAGAGTTTTGCACTGCTGCCGTGCCATGTTCTGGAACTCAGCCAGCTCCTTCAGATTAAGCGACTGTTTGTAATACGGCAGGAACAGCACTTTTTTGTCAATTTTCGGCGTGTTTTCCTGTTTCATGCCAGGCCCCGCCCCCTCGCCGCTCTCCCCCTGCTGCTTATTGGCCGGGAGCTGGTCACATGACTCCAGGTCGTAGTCCAGGTATCGGAGCGGGAGGCCGGCGGCTCTTCCCGTTTTGTTGCGGCGTTTTTGCGTCGGCGTCGTTTCCGGGTCTGAAAGCGACGCAGAGTTTTTGGGACGACGTCGGCGTTTTTTGATCACAGCGTCGGACGACTTCTCATCTAAAAATAACAAAAGTAAACAAAAAAACATGGAAAAGACTCGATAAACTGTAAAACTGTAAAGATGCTGATTAGTTTCATTTTTATTTTCAGATTCTGTGTTCTAAACCGATCTAAATCTGAGGGATACAGGGGGTGGGAGGGCATCTGACACAAACCCACCTCGTCTTTGCGGTGCGTCTTCGTCGGAGCTGAGAGGAGCCATGAACCCGTCGGGCGCGAGAGGCTCCGCCCCCTCGGGTCCCGGCGCGGCACTCTGAGGCTCCGCCCCCTCGGGTCCCGGCGCGGCACTCTGAGGCTCCGCCCCCTCAGGTCCCAGCGCGGCGCTCTGAGGCCCCGCCCCCCCAGGCCCCGCCCCCTGGTGGTGAGAGGAGGGCGAGTCTCCGCAGGACGGCATGCTGGGTGATCTCACAGACGACTGCAGCTCTGCCACAGACAAAACAACGAGGACGACACACGTTAGACGAGTTTGACTGAAGAGTTCATGTGTGTCTACAGCTCTGACCTCTGACCTCTGACCCCTGTGGATCGTTCTGTTCTGAGACATTTTAAATCACAATATTGATCTAAAACCACTTCATAAAGAAACACGTGCGACGACTTCTGTGTTAGAAAACTGTAGAGTCCAGTGGAGCTGACGTGGCCGTAAACGTCATGACGACTTCTGCGTCTAAAACTCACTTCTGTTTCTGACTTTGTCCTTTTAAATTCACAGCAAACGTCTCAAACCTTTTTCCTCTGGTGAGTTACTTTTACAAAACAAAAATACCAGAGAGATGTAAGTTTTAGCGCTCACAAGTAAAAGAGTAAATATAAAGAGCCCGGAGAGACTTCAGCTGTGTTCCGACGGCGGCGTCAACGCGTCCAGTTTACAAACGTCGTCTGTGTGGACGTGCGTCTAAGGCGTCCTGAGTTTTGGCAGCGTTGACAAAGTACATTTTGAGAGTTCAGGTGTCGAGGCTCTGGACACGCATCCAGGGCTGAACTTCTGGCGGCGGATGTGTCGTGTCAACCAATCAAGAACAACTATCCAGTGACGTAGAGACGTTATTATCCGGAAGAAGAAGAAGAAAGAGAAAGACTCGGGAATCACACCATAAACCAAGAAACTGACGCCGTGTCATTGGCAGAGTATAAATATAAACACGCCGCACGCCTCAGCTCCATGTGTTTATGAGATAAATTTAAACTAAACTAAAGTGACTCGGGAAAACACAGAACTCGCCAACCACAGCGAGTGTCTTTGTCCTGTTCGTCCACGACGGTTCCAGCACGTTTTCTGACGCCGCCGTCTGAACACAACGTTAGACTGGCACAGTTAAATGTCTATAAAATATAAACTATTATCCATTTATTAGTGCAGAAATTCGAGCATCAAAATTACACATTTACAACAGTAACAGGCGTTTAAATCCATCACATGTTAGAGAACAGAGAAAAGCCCCACAGAGAAAAACAGATGGTCTGGAGAAACCCACAGAGCTCACAGAGAAACCCGACGCTGTACGCACCTGGAGAGGAGGGGTGCATGCTGGGTACTGTAGTCTGGAGCGTGGCGTCGGGCGTCCTGGAGGGGGAGGGGCAGAGCAGAGCGGCAGAGGGGGGAGGGGCGAGGAGGCCGTTCCCGTGAACGCAGCAGTGCCACAGAGCGCCCCCTTCTGTCTGCTCAGGACGCAGCGCCACGCAGCTCCACGGCACGTCCCCGGAACCTGCAACAGTCCAGAGGCAAGTCCAACAGACTCAGACAGAGCAGTGCAACAGTTAGCGTCACACTTCCCCAGAGAAAGTCCATGACAGCAGCTGTAAAGTGACTCTGCAGATAAAATCCTGCTGTAGTTTTTTACGTGTTACAGTTTTTACCTGGAGTCCTGCAGCTCAGGCCGACCAGATCCACCTGCACCGCCACATCACACCACTGGGTGTCGCTCTGCACGCCCACGTCACAGCGCCGCTCCTCAGGCTCCTCCCACTGCACGCCCACGTCACAGCGCCGCTCCTCAGGCTCCTCCCACTGCACGCCCACGTCACAGCGCCGCTCCTCAGGCTCCTCCCACTGCACGCCCACGTCACAGCGCCGCTCCTCAGGCTCCTCCCACTGCAGGCCCACGTCACAGCGCCCCCCACAGGCCTGCGCCCCCAGGTCTGCGCCGCTCCCCTCCTCCATCTGAGACGAGAGACACGGGCCACGTTTACATCAGGTTTTTTATTCTGAAGAAAGATGAAGAAAACTGGGACATGTTTCCAAACGTTTTCCTGGTTTGTGATTCTCAGATCAGATAAAGTTTTGTTTTATTCTCTCTGTATTTGACTCCTGTTTGTTCTTCTGTCAGTTTTGGGAGAGACCAGAGGAAACCCACACACAGGCAGAACAAGTAAAGAAGAAACTGAGAAACAGGATGAGATGGGACTAAGGAGAGGGGGAGGGGTCAGGTGAGGGAGAGAGGGGGAGGGTCAGGTGAGGAGAGGGGAGGGGTCAGGTGAGGAGAGGGGGAGGGGTTAGGTGAGGAGAGAGGGGAGGGGTCAGGTGGGGGAGGGGTTAGGAGAGGGGGAGGGGTTAGGTGAGGAGAGGGGGAGGGGTCAGGTGGGGGAGGGGTTAGGTGGGAGAGGGGTTAGGTGAGGAGAGGGGGAGGGGTCAGTGGGGGAGGGTTAGGTGAGGAGAGGGGGAGGGGGTTAGGTGAGGAGAGGGGGAGGGGTCAGATGGGGGAGGGGTCAGGTGAGGAGAGGGGAGGGGTCAGGTGGGGGAGAGGGTCAGGTGAGGAGAGGGGAGGGGTCAGGTGGGGGAGGGGTTAGGTGAGGAGAGGGGAGAACATGTTTCCTGTAGTTTTAATTGGAGCATGTGGACCTGCAGGGAAAGACGAGCTGTAGTTTTAAAGCGGCCGTTTATGTTAAATATGTAAATTAAATATTTGTGAGTCATTAGCGCTGGTTCAGCTGTGACACGTTTCTCTACTCGCTTCGATCCGACGCTCGGGTCTCGTGTTTGTTCATCTTTTGTTTCTGTCTGAAAATGTCTGTTGTGAGTCTGAAGACGAGGAGGTCACAGCGAGACAACGGACAAAACTAAAACGACATGATGGAACATTGGAGAGTTTAACTTTATACATTTACCAGAGTGTCCCGGAGCGTCCCGGAGCGTCCCAGAGTGTCCAGAGCGTCCCGGAGCGTCCCAGAGTGTCCCAGAGTGTCCCAGAGTGTCCCAGAGTGTCCCAGAGTGTCCCAGAGTGTCCCAGAGTGTCCCAGAGTGTCCTGGAGTGTCCTGGAGCGCAGCTGTGAGACACGAGGACGAACACAGACTCTGAGTTTCATTTATTATATTTAAACTCCAACAGCACAAACTTTAAACCATGTTCTAATGTTCTAATGTTCTAATGTTCCTCGTCACACAGAGCTGCACTTGTGTTTGTTTCATTCACATGTTTGAGTAACTCTTATGTCTGTTACATGTCCAAACCTCCAAACGCTCTGCTCCACCTTGTGATGTCATGAAGTGGTAGTTTAAGTTCTCAGCTCCTTTTCCCTTTAGTTGAGTCGAGATCAGCGACTCCAGAACTGAAATGATCCAGATGATTCTAGCGAAGGTGTGTGGAGTTTAAAAACACAGTGGAGCACTTCCTGTATCACCACATGATGACATCACAAGGTGGAACAGAGAGTTTTCAGTTTAAAGGTTTGTGTGTCAAACGTGTGAATGAAACAAACCCAACACACACACTGTGTGTGATGAGTCTGCACGAGCGCACAGCAGCGTCAGAAAGTCTCTCGTGCGTGTGTCTCGTGCGTGCGCTTTTGTTTGTGTTACTAAACACATGCCCCGCGTGCACGCGCACAGGGCCCTCGCGCGCGCTCCCGGGACATTAGTGCAGGTTAAACTCCGCAGAATCTCCCGAACTGCACCAATGTGAACACGACCAAACACACGTGCAACACACACGCGCACACGGCGGCTGTAGCACGAGCCCGCCGCGCGCTCACCGGGCATTTACATGACTATTTGCGTGAGTATTTACGTGAGTCTGTGCGGGAGTATTTGGTGTAAAAAGTGTAAGTTTTGTGTCGGTTCTCACCGTAAACTTGTGCTCGCGCGGCTCAGTGCACGGTCCGCGCACACGCCATGTTTCTGCGGGAAAAGCGGCTCAAAAGTGCAGAAAAGTCACAGAGATGCGACAGAAAAGAGGAGATTTTTGTGCAAAAGTAGCTCCGTGTGTGCGCCGTGAGCGGAAGGACAACAACAAAAGCGTCTGCGGCCGAAGAACAGCGCCGCCGCAGGACAGGAGGAGAACTGCACCGCGCTCACCACACTTAACGTCTCCCGTTTTGTCCACGTGAACCGTCCGGGTGAAACGTCCACGTGAAACGTCCAGGTGAAACGGACCATGGTCATGACTCAAAGTTAGTTTGTTTTTATTTTTTGCTGGTACAATCAGGTCGACATTTTTTATTTGCTTTGAGACACACTGAGTGACACATAAGACATGATTATATAAATGTATATGCACGGTATGTTTATTTTATTGTTTTATATTATATAATATTGTATTAATACGTTGTTGTGTTATATGTTTGAATCAGAGTCTGGTTGTTTTTGTTGTTTTTTCAGACATTTTCTGATGCATTTGATCTTAAAGACTCTGATGAGTTAAATCACGTGACACACGAGCTGCTTCTGTGTGCAGCAGTAAAGTTCACTCTGTAACCTTCATGCGTCCGTGAGCGTCCTGTGGACAAACGTCACAGAGTCGTGTCTGCTCACGTTTACATCATGTTTACATCACGTTTACATCATTTTAACTTTTTCATACAAAACAAGAGACACTGGAGTTTTCACTCTTAGTTTTCATTTTCTCTCTTACCCGGGGATGGAGAGTCTGTGCACGTGCGCGTGCACGCACATGGCTCATTTACATATGATTACACACGAAAACACTGATGGTGCTGAACTTTTTAGTTTGTGTCGTGGCGTTTTCTCAGATTGTGTTTTTCAAGTCCCAGGATGTGGATCGACAACAAAACAAAATCGGGTTTGTTAATGTAGAGGAGCAGAAGACAAACAGACTGAGCTGCACTTTCTTGTTCTTGTGGTTTTACACAAACATCATGTCTTGGTCTTTGCAGTGGAAGGTGTTTCTTGATGAACAGTTGGAGACTTTCACTTTGGCGTTGACTTTTTATTTCATAACTGAGGTTGAGCTCCTTCCTGTAGATCAATCCTGCCCATCACCTTCACCTTTCACTATTTTTCAATTCTGTTGGGAAGAGAAACAGTTTGAACGGAGGTTTGAGTCACACACACATGTACCAACTTAAATCTGTCTTTTATCTTGTAGCTTTAAAGTTATATTTATAGGTTTGATTTAGTCAGTCAAGATCAAAGTGCCTCCTGCTGCTAGAATAAAAAGTACATCTGTAAATGATTCTGTAAATCTGTAAATATTGTCATGTTGAATAAAACGTGTAATGTTTTTTTTTTTCTTTCTAATTTCTACACATGTTTCTCAAACTAAATTATGAAATGTGGGGAAATCTGACGGTTGTGATAGACTTTGGAATTTTTTACTTTTGACTGAGTTTTACAGAAGAAAACCAAAACCCAGTGGCTCAGAGCAGCGGCGCCCTCTGCTGGAGGACGAGGAAAACAAGAACCAGATTCACAATATTCAAACACGACAAACACAAGTTACAAAATATACTGCTTTTTTTGTTTTGTTTTGTTTGTTTGTTTTTGTTTGCCCGTAAACCAGGTGTCCTTTTTTGATAACTGTGACCAGATTTGTGATTTATTGAAATTTCAGATAAATTTTAATTTGATTTCATTTTTGAGTCTCAGTCTCTTATTTTTAAATACGTTGAAAACAAATTTTTCTTTGCTAAGTCCCACTTGATTGTTTTATGGGATAGGCTCTTTAATAGTTTTTTTTGTTTGTTTGTTTTTTTCCAGAACGCGAGATCGCTGTAGTTGTTACGTCATCACTGGCTCATGTTCGTTGTCACGTGGGAGGGCGGCAGAAATACGCTGCAAAAAAACGCCAAATCAATCTAAAAACCACTTCGGCGACATATAGAAGCCCACACATCTCTGAGAAGGTAGAAAGCTCTGAAAAGTTGATTTTGCATGAGATGGGCCCTTTAATGGAGGCAAGAGTCTGAAGTTTGGAGAAAAAGTGACGTCATTACGTTGCTTCTGCCCATGACTTTACATTACAGCTGTAAAATACGTGTTGGGGCGCAGGGCCGGGGGGCCACATGAACTCAAGTGATTGGTCTGAATAAACATGAACACACACTTCCCCCCAGCCCCAACTCTGCACTGACACTGACACTGTCACTGCTCCAGGCCCGTGCACGGACAACAGCAGAGCTGTGGGTTATACAGTTGAGGACGAGTTCAACTTCAAGTCAAAGTGCTTCTGGGGAACAGTTTTAGGAAGTAAAACATCTTCTCTTCAGCAGGATTCTTCTGCCAAGCAAGAAAAGAAGCATGAAGCTGAAAAGAAGCATCTGGCTGTGGTGAAATCCTCCGGCTCTTGTATCGAGTATCATAATGATTAAGTATTTTCTGTTTTTATCTGCAATTGAAGTTCTGTATGAATTATGTTTATTCACATTAATTGGCATTAAAGTTCATGAGAGGCTCGTTTGTTTTCCTCCAGAAAGAGGCGGGAACATTTCTCAGTCAAGTTCCCGGATGTTCCGCTCTGACGTAAACACAAATGTGTAAATGTAATTATCATTTTTAACTTTAAATATAAATGCAGGTGTACAAAATACAGTATGTCTTTATACAGACTGTGATCAACGATGCCCTCCCCCTCTGTGTGTGTGTGTGTGTGTGTACATGTGTGTGTGTGTACGTGTGTGTTGTGTATGTGTGTGTGTGTATATATGTGTGTGTGTGTATATGTGAGTATGTGTATATGTACATGTGTGTGTTGTATGTGTGTGTGTTTTGTGTATATGTGTGTGTGTACATGTGTGTGTGTGTGTACATGTGTGTGTGTGTGTGTGTATGTGTGTGTGTGTACATGTGTGTGTATATGTGTGTGTATGTGTGAGTATGTGTATATGTGTGTGTATGTGTGTGTGTGTGTACAGGTGTGTGTGTGTATACGTGTATATATGTGTGTGTTGTGTGTATATATGTGTGTGTGTTTTGTGTGTATATGTGTGTATGTGTGTATATGTGTGTGTGTGTGTGTGTATGTGTGTGTGTGTATATGTGTGTGTGTATGTGTGTGTGTGTGTGTGTGTATGTGTGTGTGTATATGTGTATATATGTGTGTGTGTATGTGTGTGTGTATATGTGTGTGTTGTGTATGTGTGTGTGTGTATATATACGTGTGTATGTGTGTGTCGTATGTGTGTGTGTGTGTGCATCACAGAATCACACTTTCTCATGTTTCCATGTAAAATCATTTGACAGTTTTTATTATTTCTTCATTTACAAAAAGATAAACCAAAGTTTTGTTTCTACAGAGAGTTTGGGCGTGTGAGCGGCGCCCGCGTCACACGTACATTCAGTCATCAGACCAGACAGGCCACGCCCACATCACGCCAATGTCACGCCAAAGTGTGCCGCCGACGCACACGAGCGAGCCCTGGGGTTTCTGATCCGTTCTAATGTTTCCTCCTCAGAAACAGAGCTGGACTTGTGTTTTGTTTCATCTGTAATCATCTCCAAAAGCTCCAAACGCTCTGCTCCACCTTGTGATGTCACGAGGTGGTCGTTCTCCAGCTCCTCTCAGCTCCAGCGGGTCCGTTTGTGACGAGGAAACCGCACTAGAACATCAGAAAACAGAGCCACACGGGCCCTTTAAAGCTTCACTGCGGAACATTCCCGGCGAGCGCTCGGTAACGCCTCGTCAGAAAAGTTCCGCAGTGCGTCTTTAAGTCCAGACGTGAGCGCGGCCTGCTGTGTTTCCCAGAGGGGGCGATAGAGGGCGCCACACACACACACAAAGCACTACTCCAGAGTCTACAGAGCACCACGACTATCTACAATCTCCTCTGAAATCTCTGAAATCATCTGAAATCATCTGAAATCATCTGAAATCATCTGAAATCATCTCTCCGGGTTTGAGGGACGCAGCTCCAGGGACAGAGTCAGAAAATATGAGAACAACCAGAGGACGGACAGGAACTAAGGTGGAGTTTCAGTCTAGTCCTGGTTTAGTCCTGGTCTAGTCCTGGTTTAGTCCTCCTGGTTTGGTCCCTGGTTTAGTCCTGGTTTGGTGCTAAATTAGGCCCAGTTCAGTCTCTGGCTTAGTCCCGGTTTAGTCCCATTTTAGTCCTCTTTTGGTCCCGGTTTAGTCTCTGTTCAGTCTTTGTTCAGTCCTGGTCTGGACCTGGTTTAGTCCTGGTTCAGTCCTAGTTTAGTGCTGGTTTAGTCCTGGTTCAGTCTCGGTTTAGTCCTGGTTTAGTCCTGGTTCAGTTCTCAGACTCTGGTCCCTGTGGCTTTTTGTTTCACACAGAACATTTGTTTTTGTTTTTATTTTTTACAGGTTTTCATCTCTACACATTTACAGACTCGCTCACGATGAGGTAATGTGGTCCTGAACCTGCAACCTGGAAACTCAGCACCTGGACTGGGCTGGACCGGCGGGAGTCCGGGTTTAGTCCGGGTTTAGTCCGGGTTTGTGTAGTATGGATTGGCACATACTTCAGAGTTTTTCTCACTGGTTTGTTTAGCTTAGTTCTGGTTTAGTCCTGGTCTAGTCCTAGTCTTGTCCTAGTCTAGTCTTGATCAAGTCCTGGTCTAGTGATGTTTTGGCACATTGCACATTATGTTAAACATTTTGACCTGGTTTCATTTTGAATAGTTGGTCAAATAATTTTTTAGTCCTGGTTCAGTCCTGGTTCAGTCCTGGTTCAGTCCTGGTTCAGTCCTGGTTCAGCGCTGGTCTGTGTGGATTTGGCACGGTCCGGTCCGGCTCAGTCCAGGTGTTTGGGGGAAGTCCGTCTTAAATCGAGTTGAATGTGAAATAAAAACCGTAGAAAATTGTACAAATGAAACGGTGATGTCAGAAAAACGTAGAAAAGTTTGAGGTATCAGTGTTTGAGGTCGGCGAGTGTGGACCGGGCGGGGGGGCCGGGTGGGGGCCGGGTGGGGGGGGCCATGGGCCGGGCCGTGGACCAGACCAGACTGGGACCGGGCCGTGGACCAGACCAGACTGTGGACCGGGCCCGTGGACCGGGCGGGGGACCGGGTGGAGGGGCCGGGCCGTGGGCAGGCGCGAGAACCCCACGCCACTCACATTATACACAACAAAAACTCCTCTCTCCTCCTCGCTCCTCGGCCGCGCCGCATTTCTCTTTCCTCGCTTCCTTCTCCTTAGTTTCTCTCCTTGATCCCTCCATTTTTCAACTGTCAATCAAAAGTGACGTTCCAAAGAAAATCACAGAGTGAAGAAGAAAAACCTGAGGAGACTTCAAGAGCCGACGCAGAGAAAACAATCAAACTTTACTGTCAGTGAGGAGGTTATGTCCTGTCTCCTCCCTGTGTCTCCTTGTCTCCTCTCCTCCCTGTCTCCTTGTCTCCTCTCCTCCTGTCTCCTTGTCTCCTCTCCTCCCTGTGTCTCCTCTCCTCCCTGTGTCTCCTTGTCTCCTCTCCTCCCTGTGTCTCCTTGTCTCCTCTCTCCCTGTCTTGTCCTCCCTGTGTCTCCTCTCCTCCCTGTGTCTCCTCTCCTCCCTGTGTCTCCTTGTCTCCTCTCCTCCCTGTGTCTCCTTGTCTCCTCTCCTCCCTGTGTCTCCTTGTCTCCTTGTCTCCTCTCCTCGCTGTGTCTCCTGTCTTCTTAGGGAAACCAGATGAAATTGACTGAAATTTTGGACTTGATTGTAATTTTCGGGACAACAGCTTAGATTCTGGGACAGCCCTGAATTTTTCAGGACATCTGGTCACCCTGTCTCTCCTCCTCCTCCTTCTCTCTCCTCTGCACCTCTCCTCTCTCCTCCCTCCTCGCTCTTCCCTGTGTCTCCTTGTCTCCTCCCTCCTCTCTGTGTCTCCTCTGTGTCTCCTCTGTGTCTCCTCTGTGTCTCCTCTGTGTCTCCTCTGTCTCCTCTGCGTCTCCTCTGCGTCTCCTCTGTGGATGTTCTCGCCCATTTCCTGTAGAATCGAGGAGAAGAATCAAAAAGAACCAAACAAGGAAAGAGAAACGAGACATGTCCTCCTGTGGATCAGGATCAGCAGTGGCAGGTGCAGCTGCGGCAGGTGCGGCAGGTGCAGCTGCGGTCGTGGAAACCGGTACGGCAACACGGAGGGACAAAAAGAGTCAAAACTCAAAACAGCAAAGGTTTGGTCCCAGATTAAATGGAGCAGAAATATGAGAAATACATCAAGACTTTTGACACTTATGAAGCAAATACTGGCCCAGACCTGGTCTAGACCAGTTCTAGACCAGGTTCAGACCTGGCCCAGACCTGGTTTGGACCTTCTGGATGGAGCTGGATGAACATTATCAGAAGAGCTTTATTCATGTGTAAATATAAAAGAAACTTCATGGATTTGTGTCCAAAGTCAAAAGTCGTGATTCATTTCTGTTTTTCAAAATAAAATTCACATTAAAATGATGTTTCACAGTTGCTCTCACGTGCACGGCTAGAGTGAGTGTGTTACAAGACCTGGTTTAGGCCTGGTTTAGTCCAGATCAAGACCTGGTTCATGTGTCATTACTTTATCCACGTTTAGAACCAGTTAAACCCAGATTTGGTCCAGGTTTAGTCCAGTTTAAAACCTGGTTTAGTCTTGATTTCCTGGCCTTGTCTTGATTCTGGCTCAAGTTATAAATATTCCAGTCCTGGTCCAGTCCTGGTCCAGTCCTGGTCCAGTCCTGGTCCAGTCCTGGTCCAGTCCTGGTCCAGTCCTGGTCCAGTTAAGTCCTGGTGTAGTTGTAAATACAGTACTTACAAGTGAAATTGTGCGTTCTTTTTCCTTTCGTCCAGTTAAAGTTGATTCTGAGGGGCTGACAGGTGCAGACAGGTGCAGGAGGACAGCTGCCTCCTGCACCTGTCTGCACCTGTCAGCCCCTCAGAACCGTAGCACCAATTGGATCCGGTTTGGTTCAGTCGATTCCTCCTCCAGTTCTCATAACACACCCAAGCTTATTCAGTTTTACACCAGCGGGACGGCAGCCAATCGGCTTTGAGCACCCTCGGATAAGTCCCGCCTTCTTTGTTTTTTACCTGAGAAAAGTGACCAATCAGACACTGTGGCCGGCTCTGAGCGCGGCCAATCGAATCTCTGCGTGCACAGCGTTTACTTCCTGCTTCTCAAACGTGTTTAACAGAAGAAAAAACGCGAGTGAGACGAAGAAGAAGCAGGTTTAACAAAGTGACGGAGGAAAAAGACTGAAACCAAATAAACCTGGACTGAGACTAGACCTGGATCTAAACCAGAACTAAACCAGGACTAAACCAGAACTAAACCAGAACTAAACCAGAACTAAACCAGAACTAAACCAGGACTAAACCAGAACTAATCTGAGTCTGAAACAGGTTTAAATCAAGACTAAACCTGGATCTGGAATGAAGTGAAATCAGGTTTAGACAAGATCTAAACTGAACCTTAAACCCAGGTCTAAACCAGGAGTAAACCAGGTCTAAACCAGGTCTAAAACCAGGTCTAAAACCAGGAGTAAACCAGGTCTAAACCAGGTCTAAACCAGGTCTAAAACCAGGTCTAAAACCAGGTTTACACCAGGTCTAAACCAGGTCTAAAACCAGGTTTACACCAGGTCTAAACCAAGTCTAAACCAGGAGTAAACCAGGTCTAAAACCAGGAGTAAACCAGGTCTAAACCAGGTCTAAAACCAGGAGTAAACCAGGTCTAAACCAGGTCTAAACCAGGTCTAAAACCAGGTCTAAAACCAGGTTTACACCAGGTCTAAACCAGGTCTAAAACCAGGTTTACACCAGGTCTAAACCAAGTCTAAACCAGGAGTAAACCAGGTTTAAACCAGGTCTAAAACCAGATTTAAACCCAGCTCTAAAACCAGCTCTAAAACCAGGTCTAAACCAGGTCTAAACCAGGTCTAAACCAAGTCTAAACCAGGAGTAAACCAGGTCTAAACCAGCTCTAAACCAGGTCTAAAACCAGGTCTAAAACTAGGTCTAAACCCGGTCTAAAACCAGCTCTAAACCAGGTCTAAAACCAGGTCTAAACCAGGTCTAAACTAGGTCTAAACCAGGAGTAAACCAGGTCTAAACCCGGTCTAAAACCAGGTCTAAACCAAGTCTAAAACCAGGTCTAAAACTAGGTCTAAACCAGGTCTAAACCCGGTCTAAAACCAGCTCTAAAACCAGCTCTAAACCAGGTCTAAAACCAGGTCTAAACCAGGTCTAAATCAGGTCTAAACCAGGAGTAAACCAGGTCTAAACCCGGTCTAAAACCAGGTCTAAAACCAGGTCTAAACCCGGTCTAAAACCAGGTCTAAAACCAGGTCTAAACCCGGTCTAAAACCAGGTCTAAACCTGTGTTTTCTGCTCAGAGCTCCTCCTCCTCCTCGTCCGTCACTTTTCTAAACCGACCTCGACTCAAACTCGTCGTTCTCGAACTGAAATCGAGCTGGAGCCAAAGTCCACGAGAAGAAGGTCCCAGAGTCCACGAGAAGAAGGTCCCAGAGTCCACGAGAAGAAGGTCCCAGAACAGTCTTCGGAGGCTGCAGCATCGAGTACAAAACAAAAGCCCACGGCGTTTAGTCCAGGTACAAAAGTGGAGTGCGATTCCGCTGAGGTACTGAAGGTGGACCTGAAATCTGCTGCACGGGAATCAAACATGAGACCAGGTACAAAACCAAACAGGAAAAGTCCCAAAATATCAAAGCAAAATATAAAAAATAAGAGTCTTTCGGGGTTAAAATAGCAGCTCTGACGCCGTTCGAATGCACCAGTGAAATGAGCTCAGCCAAAAAGCACCTCAGCGCCTCCTGCTGGACACTCAAACAAACAGTTCAACTTCACGCACACTAAATAGAATCTCTACGTCTGATCTCGGAAATTTAGGGACCAAAATTTCTCTAATATTTACGTCGTGTTGATACTTTGCAGCTGATGTCGTCGTCGTCGTTCTCTGGGGGGGTGACGCTAACAGGAGGCACTGCTCTGTCGGAGGTTTTGTTTTGACACAATCTGACCACAAAAACCCGACTTAAAAACAAAACTCTCTCACGTAAAACTGATCACAGGGAAATGAAACTGTGCTCTTTGAATCACTTTGGGATTTTTATTTTTTCAGATTACTGTATTTTCCGCACTATAGGGCGCGCTTAAAATCCTTTCATTTCATCAAAAATCGACTGCGCGCCTTATAATCCAGACGCCTTATATATGAATTTATTGGTTTGTCTTAGTACGACTTTAGTAAACTACAAAGCCGCTCCACTTGCAGCGTTACGGCTCCAGTAGTCAGGAGCATCAGTATTGTGAACGTGTTAAATAAAGTTTGACTGATTTATCGAACTGTTGTGTTTCTTTTAATGCGTCTTATTGTCCGGTGCCGTTTATTTGTGAAAAAAATTTAAAAAATAGACCATTCAGTGACAGAGCGCCTGATAATCCAGAGCCCCTCTAGTGCGCAGAATATGGTATTTGAAATCTTTCTGGCAGTGTTTGTTCGTGTGCAGGCGACCGGGGTTTTCAAAATCAAAAACTGGGACTTGGAACCATTTTTTAAAATAATAAAATAGTGAAACGAGTGCGTGATTTAAAAAATGTGTGAGTCAGGACAGTCACATTCTCTCTGAGTTCGTCTGATCCCGTCAGGTTTCAGGACTGGGACCGTCCTGGAGAAACAGGGACCGGCCTGGACTCTCTCAATGTGTCCTCAGTGTCAACATTCTGCCATAGACACGCACGCAGAACTCCCCCAGCGCGACGTCACTGCAAAGTATCAAGGACCTACACAAATCTACCAATAAAATGAATTTCATTAAAATAATATGAATTAATTTGCTACGACATTTTAAGTTTTAAGCTCAGGCCAAAAACTCAAAGTTGACTAAAGGAAGGGCATCTGGTTTAAAATATTCAATCCATTTCAATCTTCAGTCTCTTTCAATAAAATTATCATCTAGTCGTATTCAAATCTATTTACAAAATTCATTGAGGCTTGAATGCAGAAAAAGTGTCTAGTATTTAAAAAAAAAAAAAGAAGCTAAAACTACTTCTGTAATTTTGGAATAAATAAAACAATTAATTCTACGAATTAAAAAAATATATACAATTTAGAGTTTGAATTTGATAAAAACAAGATAAACTCTGGTCAGTGTGAGTGTGCATTTTGGCTGAAATGTTCTGAAAATGGTTGAAAATGTAAAAATCCTCTGAGAAACATGTTGAAGTTGTAGCTGATGAGTTTTCTTCAAAAATAAAAATCAGAAATGTGTTTAAAAATCGCGCCGTAATCTCGTTCGGGTTCATATACTGGACTCTTTGGGCGGGAGGTCGTTGTTGGTCACCGTGGAGACGAGCAGGGGGGCGTGGTCTGAACAGGAAGTGACGCGGATCTGGCAGATTCGCTCCTCGACGCATCCGGCGGAAAGACGAGCCTCGGCGTCGTGGTCCCAGCACTCCTCCACCGTCTCACACAGCTGCGCCAGACCCTAGGACCAGAGACCGGGTTTAGACCGGGACTAGACCGGGTCTAGACCAGGACTAGACCAGGACTAGACCAAAACTAAACCAGAACTAAACCAAGACTAAACCTGCACTCCTCCACTGTCTCACACAGCTGTGCCAGACCCTAGGACCAGAGACCGGGTTTAGACCAGGACTAGACCGGGACTAGACCGGGACTAGACCGGGACTAGACCGGGACTAGACCAGGACTAGACCAGGACTAGACCAGGACTAGACCAGGACTAGACCAGGACTAGACCAAAACTAAACCAGAACTAAACCAAGACTAAACCTGCACTCCTCCACTGTCTCACACAACTGCGCCAGACCCTAGGACCAGAGACCAGCAGGACTAAACCAGGTCTAAAGCAGGACTAGACCAGGACTAGACCACAATTAGACCAGGACAAGACCAGGTGTAAGTCAGGTCTAAACTAGGACTAAACCAGGACTAAAGCAGGACTAAACCAGGACTAAACCAGGACTAAACCAGGACTCACCGTGTGTTTGAGCCACTGCTCTTTGAAGGCTGGTCTGAGTTTCTTGTGGACCACGATCTCCTGAAGATCCTCCAGAGACGGATGCTGCCCCACCTCCTCCTCAAACGGGAGCAGGTACTCGTCCACAGGACCTGCACAGAACCAGACCAAGACCAGGGTTAGGACTAGAGACCAGAGACCAGGGTGAGACCAGGCTGTGTGTCAGATGCCCTCCCGTCCTCTTGGGTAGGTCTTGTCTCGTCATGTTTTCTGCTGATGTTACAAGTTGTTGGGTAGTTTCTATTTACGTAACCGAGAAGACATATTTGTAGTTCTTATGTGAGCCTGGAGGTTTGTAGTCTTTATGTGAGCAGACATGTTTATAGTCCAGTACATGGGCAGGCATGTTTGTAGTCCTTTTATGAGGTCAGACATGTTTGTAGTCCTGTACGTGGGCAGACATGTTTGTAGTCCTTTTATGAGGTCAGACATGTTTGTAGTCCTGTACGTGGGCAGACATGTTTGTAGTCCTTTTATGAGGTCAGACATGTTTGTAGTCCTGTACGTGGGCAGACATGCTTGTTGTCCTTTTATGAGGTCAGACATGTTTGTAGTCCTGTACATGAGGTCAGACATGTTTGTAGTCCTGTACATGAGGTCAGACACGTTTGTAGTCCTGTACATGAGGTCAGACATGTTTGTAGTCCTGTATGTGAGGTCAGACATGTTTGTAGTCCTTTTATGAGGTCATACATGTTTGTAGTCCTTTTATGAGGTCAGACATGTTTGTAGTCCTGTACGTGGGCAGACATGTTTGTAGTCTTTTTATGAGGTCAGACATGTTTGTAGTCCTGTACGTGGGCAGACATGCTTGTTGTCCTTTTATGAGGTCAGACATGTTTGTAGTCCTGTACATGAGGTCAGACACGTTTGTAGTCCTGTACATGAGGTCAGACATGTTTGTAGTCCTGTACATGAGGTCAGACACGTTTGTAGTCCTGTACATGAGGTCAGACATGTTTGTAGTCCTGTATGTGAGCAGACATGTTTGTAGTCCTTTTATGAGGTCAGACATGTTTGTAGTCCTTTTATGAGGTCAGACATGTTTGTAGTCCTGTACGTGGGCAGACATGTTTGTAGTCCTGTATATGAGCAGACATGTTTGTAGTCCTATATATGAGCAGACATGTTTGTAGTCCTGTACGTGGGGAGACATGTTTGTAGTCCTGTACATGGGCAGACATGTTTGTAGTCCTGTACGTGAGCAGACATGTTTGTAGTCCTGTACGTGAGCAGACATGTTTGTAGTCCTGTATGCGAGCAGACATGTTTGTAGTCCTTTTATGTGAGCAGACATGTTTGTATTCCTACCGTCGGCGGCCTTGCAGCGGGACACGAGCTCCCACAGCACGAGGCCGAGCGCGTACATGTCGATTCTGAGGAACGAGTCTCTCTGGAAGTTTATGGCTCCTTCCAGAACCTCCGGGGCCATGTACCGCCGCGTGCCCACCTGCGCACACCAACACCACAGGAGCCGTGTGAGAACGTAAAAGTCCGAGTCGGTGCGTCTGCGGCGGCGTTCCGCTCACCTGTCCGTGCGTTTCTCCAGGAGGAATCCCGGGCTCAAACAGAACCGCCAAACCGAAGTCTCCGATCACAGCGGTGAGGTCCGAGCGCAGCATCACGTTCTTACTCTTAAAGTCCCTGAAAACACAACGCACACTGAGCACAAAAGACCAGGACTAGACCAGGACTAGACCAGGACTAGACCAGGACTAGACCAGGACTAGACCAGGACTGAACCAGGACTGAACCAGGACTAAACTGTTCTTATGTTATTTCTTTGTCACAAACAGATCTGGAGTTGTTTTGTTTCATTCACACATGTTTAGAGTTCTTCTCTCAAACTATAAACACTCTGTTCCACCTTGTGACGTCATCATGTTGTGATACAGGAAGTCCTCCGCTGTGTTTCTAAACTCCACACACCTTCACTAGAATCATTTGGATTATTTTAAACCTGGAAATGTCGATCTTAACTGAACTAAAGGGAAAAGGAGCTGTTCACTTACTGTTAAACTACACTTCATGACATCACAAGGTGGAACAGAGTGTTTGGAGTTTTGAAGATGTAGACAGACTCATAATCAACAAACATGTGAATGAAACAAAACACAACTAGGAACCAACATTACTAAAGCAGGATTTAAAGTGCTAAAGCAGGACTAAACCAGGACTAAACCCAGTCCCCTCTGACCTGTGGGCGATGGCGGGTTTGGGTCCGTCCTTGGTCCGGGGCAGGTCTTCGTGGAGGAAGGCGAGACCTCGGGACATGGACTCAGCGATGACGCACAACTCAGACCAACTCACCACACTCCCCTTTAAGAAGTCACACAGAGAACCCTGAGGACAGACAGGGGGACAGGTGAGACAGGTGAGGCAGGTGAGGCAGGTGAGGCAGGTGAGACAGGTGAGGCAGGTGAGGCAGGTGAGACAGGTGAGACAGGTGAGGCAGGTGAGGCAGGTGAGGCAGGAGAGACAGGTGAGACAGGTGAGACAGGTGAGACAGGTGAGACAGGTGAGGCAGGTGAGACAGGTGAAACAGACACTAGGGACAGTAGGGGGCAGTGTGGAGCCCATCCAGGAGTCATTTTACAATCTCCTCCTGCTCCTGCTCCTCCTCAGTGGACCAGAGCAGGAGGAGGTCTGGTGTGAGGAGCAGGAGGAGGAGCAGGAGTGAGAGGAGGTGTTGTGTGTGAGCAGGAGGAGCAGGAGGAGCAGGAGGAGGAGAGGAGGTCTGGTGGGAGGAGCTTCGTACCCGCTGGTGAAACTCGGTGATGAGCCAGAGTTCTGCGTCCAGGGGGCCTCCTCGTCTCTCTGCTCCCACAAACCTCAGGATGTTCTCGTGTCTCAGACCCGGAGTCGAGAAGATCTGATGCTCGTTCTCCCACGAGGCTTTGTTCTGAAGAAAGACCAGACAAAGACCAGGGTTTAGACCGGGTTTAGACCAGACAAAGACCAGGGTTAGACCAGACAAAGACCAGGGCTCGACCAGAGAAGAGACCAAAGTAAAGACCAGGATTAGACCAGGCTTACACCAAGACCAGGATTTAGATCAGACTTAGACCAGGACACAACAGAGACTAAAGCTGGTTTAAAATCAGGACTAAACGTGGACTAGAGCAGGACTAGAGCAGGACTAGAGCAGGACTAGAGCAGGACTAAACTTGGACTAAACTAGGTCAAAATAGGGCATAAACAAAGACTAAACCAGGACCTAAACCAGGACCTAAACCAGGACCTAAACCCAGCGCACTGACCTGGATGGGGAAGATCTTGACGGCCACGTACTCGTTGATCATCTGGGCTCTCCACACGCAGCCGAAGCGCCCCCTGGCCTTCACCTCCAGTAACTGCAGCGGTTTGAGTCCGAGCAGCGGCGAGGGGGGCGGGGCCGGATCCTGGGGGCGGGGCATAAGTTTACATTTAAATTATTTCAAATGGAAATGATTAAATAATGGGGGGGTTTCGGTGTCTGTGTGTGGTTGTGTTGTGTGCTTTTGTGTGGTGGTGTTGTGTGTAGTTGTGTGTAGTTGTGTTGTTGTGTGTTGTTGTGTTGTGTGTAGTTGTGTTGTTGTGTGTTGTTGTGTTGTGTGTAGTTGTGTTGTGTGTTGTTGTGGTGTTGTTGTGCGTTGTTGTTGTGTTGTTGTGTGTCTGTGTGCATTGTTGTGTGTTGTTTGTGTGTTTGTTGTGTTTGTTGTCTGTGTGTGTTGTTGTGTTGTGTGTGTGTTGTGTGTTGTTGTTGTGTTGTTGTGTGTAGTTGTGTTGTTGTGTGTTGTTGTGGTGTTGTTGTGCGTTGTTGTTGTGTGTTGTTGTGTTGTTGTGTGTCTGTGTGCGTTGTTGTGTGTTGTTTGTGTGTTTGTTGTGTGTCTGTGTGTGTTGTTGTGTGTTGTTGTGGTGGTGTTGTGCGTTGTTGTTGTGTTGTTGTGTGTCGTTGTGTTGTTGTGTTGTGTTGTGTGTGTGTTGTGTGTGTGTGTGTTGTTGTGCGTTGTTGTGTGTTGTTGTGTGTGTTGTGTGTGTTGTTGTGTTGTTGTTGTTGTTGTTGTTGTTGTGTTGTTTGTGTGTTGTGTGTGTGTGTGTGTTGTGTTGTTGTGTGTGTTGTGTTGTGTTGTGTGTGTTTGTGTGTTGTGTGTAGTGTGTTTGTTGTGCGTTGTTGTGTGTGTTGTGTTGTGTGTGTGTGTGTGTTGTGTGTTGTTGTGTGTGTTGTGTGTGGTTGTGTGTTGTTGTGTTGTTGTGTACCTCCATGACGTCCACGTGTCCGTAGGGGGGTTTTCGGTGTTGGTGTGTTGTTGTTTGTGTGTTGTTTGTGTGGTTGTTGTGTGTCTGTGTGTGTTGTTGTGTGTTGTTGTGGTGGTGTTGTGTGTTGTTGTGTGTTGTGTACCTCCATGACGTCCACGTGTCCGTAGGGGGGTTTTCGGTGTCGGTACATCCACACGGCCGTGAGCAGAACCACACAGAGCAGCAGAACCGGAACCAAACACAACAACAACAACTTGAGCAGCCCCACCGACGCAGGACGAGCTGAAACACAAACGCACAACACACACACACACACACACACACACTACAGTCAGGACCAGGACCAGGACCAGGACTGAACTGAACCCGGACTAAACCCGGACTAAACCCGGACTGTGTGGGACTCACGTGGGCTGGGCGGGTCGGGGAGGTGGGTGAACTTCTCGTTGCAGAAGTTTCCTTCACAGCAGCAAAAGAAAACCTGAGGAGAATCTTCAGTCGCTACACACTCCTGTCTGAAACACACAACACACACAATAAACACACAACACACACACAATAAACACACACACACACACACACACTCCTGTCTGAAACACACAACACACACAATAAACACACAACACACACACACTGTCTGAAACACACAACACACACAATAAACAACACACACACACACTCCTGTCTGAAACAACAACACACACAAAACACACACACACACACAACACACACACACTCCTGTCTGAAACACACAACACACACACAATAAACACACAACACACACACACTCCTGTCTGAAACACACAACACACACAATAAACACACAACACACACACACTCCTGTCTGAAACACACAACACACACACAATAAACACACAACACACACACACTCCTGTCTGAAACACACAACACACACACAATAAACACACAACACACACACACTCCTGTCTGAAACACACAACACACACAATAAACACACAACACACACACACTCCTGTCTGAAACACACAACACACACACAATAAACACACAACACACACACACACTCCTGTCTGAAACACACAACACACACAATAAACACACAACACACACACAATAAACACACAACACACAAACACACACAACTCCTGTCTAAACACACAACACACACAATAAACACACAACACACACACAATAAACACACAACACACACACACTCCTGTCTGAAACACACAACACACACAATAAACACACAACACACACACACTCCTGTCTGAAACACACAACACACACATAAACACACAACACACACACACTCCTGTCTGAAACACACACAACACACACATAAACACACAACACACACACACTCCTGTCTGAAACACACAACACACACACACACTCCTGTCTGAAACACACAACACACACAATAAACACACAACACACACACACACTCCTGTCTGAAACACACACAACACACACAATAACACACACACACACACACACACTCCTGTCTGAAACACACACAACACACACACAATAAACACACAACACACACACACTCCTGTCTGAAACACACACACACACACACAAACACACACACACACAACACACACACAATAAACACACAACACACACACACTCCTGTCTGAAACACACAAACACACAACACACACACACTCCTGTCTGAAACACACAACACACACAGTAAACACACAACACACACACACTCCTGTCTGAAACACACAACACACACAATAAACACACAACACACACACACTCCTGTCTGAAACACACAACACACACACAATAACACACAACAACACACACACACACTCCTGTCTGAAAACACACAAACACACACAATAACACACACAACACACACACACACTCCTGTCTGAAAAACACAACACACACAATAAACACACAACACACACACACTCCTGTCTGAAACACACACACACACACACACAATAAACACACAACACACACAATAAACACACAACACACACACACTCCTGTCTGAAACACACAACACACACAATAAACACACAACACACACACACTCCTGTCTGAAACACACACTACACACACAATAAACACACACACTCCTGTCTGAAACATCGCCTGTCTCCTCTTGTCTCCTCCCACTTCCTGCCTGCTCCTGCCCCCGCCCTCACCTGTCGTAGCCCCCGCCCTCACCTGTCGTAGCCCCCGCCCTCACCTGTCGTAGCCCCCACCCGCCCGCTCCTGCCCTCACCTGTCGTAGCCCGCTCCCGCCCTCACCTGTCGCCTCACCTGTCGTAGCAGTTGAAGTCGTCGAGCCAGCATCCTTTCTTGACGAGTTCGATGTTCCCGGTGTTGTTCCTCCAGGAGGCGTAGCAGTGCGAGCGTTTGTCCTCCTCGCCGTCGCAGCGCTCCACGCCGCTGCGGTTCGTCTGCTCCAGCTCGAAGTTCACGTTGTAGAACACGCACTCCCGAGTCTCCGCCAGGACCGCACCTGCCCCGACCGCACCCGCACCTGCCACACACAAAAAACACACAGACAGACAGTGAGGAGAGTTAGAGGAGGGTTTAACTCACAGACGTCCAGACCAAGACCAGGACCAAGACCAGGACCAGACCCAGACCGAGACCGAGACCCAGACCGAGACCCAGACCGAGACCCAGACCGAGACCCAGACCAAGACCAGGACCAAGACCCAGACCAAGACCAGGACCCACGTCCAGAGGGATTCATCTTGGCTCTGGCAGGTGCAACAGGGACCGACAGGTGGTGGGCCAGAGATTGGACCAATCATGTTGAAGCAGAGGAGGAGTTTCACTACAGGGTCTCCTCACCTCCTCACCTCATATCCTACCTCCTCACCTCATATCCTACCTCTTCACCTCATATCCTACCTCCTCACCTCATATCCTACCTCCTCACCTCATATCCTACCTCCTCACCTCGCCTCCTCACCTCATATCTTACCTCCTCACTCACCTCCTCACCTCTCTCCTCCTCACCTCTACCTCCTCACCTCATATCCTCCCTCCTCACCTCATATCCTCCCTCCTCACCTCATATCACCTCCTCATCTATCCTCCTACCTCCTCACCTCACCTCCTCACTCATCCTATCCTACCTCCTCACCTCTCCCCTCACCTCTATCCTACCTCCTCACCTCATATCCTACCTCCTCACTTCGCCTCCTCACCTCATATCCTCCTCCTCACCTCATATCCTCCTCCTCACCTCATATCCTCCTCCTACCTCCTCACCTCATATCCTACCTCCTCACCTCATATCCTACCTCCTCACCTCACACCTCTACCTCCTCACCTCATATCCTACCTCCTCACCTCATATCCTCCCTCCTCACCTTGTCTCCTCCCTCCTCACTTCGCCTCCTCCCTCCTCAACTCGCCTCCTCCACCTCACCTCGTCTCCTCCCTCCTTCACCTCGCCTCCTCCCTCCTTCACCTCGTCTCCTCCCTCCTCACCTCCGTCTCCTCCCTCCTCACCTCGTCTCCTCCCTCCTCACCTCGCCTCCTCCCTCCTCAACTCGCCTCCTTCACCTCACCTCCCTCCTCCTCCCTCCCTCCTCCTCCTCCCTCCTCCCTCCTCACTCCTCCTCACCTCACCTCTCCTCCCTCCCTCCTCACCTCGCCTCCTCCCTCCTCAACTCGTCTCCTCCCTCCTAACCTCCGTCTCCTCCCTCCTCACCTCCGTCTCCTTCACCTCGCCTCCTTCACCTCGTCTCCTCCCACCTCGCCTCCTTCACCTCACCTCCTTCACCTCACCTCCTTCACCTCATCTCCTTCACCTCGTCTCCTTCACCTCGTCCTTCACCTCATCTCCTCCCACCTCACCTCCTTTACCTCACCTCCTTCAACTCGCCTCCTTCACCTCGCCTCCTTCAACTCGCCTCCTTCACCTCGCCTCCTTCACCTCGTCTCCTTCACCTCGTCTCCTTCACCTCGTCTCCTTCACCTCGTCTCCTCCCTCCTCACCTCGCCTCCTTCACTTCGTCTCCTCCCTCCTTCACCTCGTCTCCTCCCTCCGCACCTCGCCTCCTTCACTTCGTCTCCTCCCTCCTTCACCTCGTCTCCTCCCTCCTCACCTCGTCTCCTAGCCCCTTGTTAATATTCATGAGGTCGTTGGTATGCGCGGGGGGGCGGGCCTTGTTGCCGTGGCGACGCTCAGACCTAACGAACCTCGGTCTGAATCTGACATTTACAGATTCTCAATTAAAAAGTCCAGAGAGACTCGCACAAAGTTCAGCTCCAAAACACACCAAGACGAGGAGAAGAGGAGGAAGAGGAGGAGGAGGGAGAGGAGGAGAGGAGGAGAGGAGGAGGAGAGAGAGGAGAGGAAAGAGAGAGGGAGGATAGAGAGAGCGGAGGAGGAGAGACAAGAGGAGAGAGGAAACCAACGAGGAGACGAGAGGAGGGAGGAGGAAACAGAGGAAGAGGATGGAGAGGAGAGAGGAAAGAGGGGGAGGAAAGAGGGAGGATGGAGAGAGGAAAGAAAAGAGGCGAGACAGAGAAAAGAGGAGAGAGGACAGGACAGAGAGGAGAGAAAAGAGAGGAGGAAAGAGGATGAATGAGAGGATGGAGGAGAAGAGGAGGCGAGAGGAAAGGAAACAGTGGAGGGAAAGAGAAGAGGACAGAGAAAGAAAAGAGGAGAGGGAACAGGAGGACAGAGAGAAGGAGAGGAAACAGAGGAAGAGGACAGAGAGAGGAAAAGAAAGGAGAGGAGGAGGGGAAAGAGGAGGGGAGAGGATGGAGAGGAGAAAAAGAAAGAAAAGAGGAGAGGAGATGAGGAGAGAGGGAGGAGGGAGACAGAGAGAAAAGTGAGGAGGATGAATGAATAAAACTGACAGTTTCACAGATTCTGATCCTGGAACCAAATCTAAACTAAAAACAAAATCTGAAACAATCCAGTTCAACAAACGCCCTCCCCCCGTGTGTGTCAGGTCCCCCTGTGTGTGTCAGGTCCCCCTGTGTGTGTCAGGTCCCCCCGTGTGTGTCAGGTCCCCCCGTGTGTGTCAGGTCCCCCCGTGTGTGTGTCAGGTCCCCCCTGTGTGTGTCAGGTCCCCCTGTGTGTGTCAGGTCCCCCTGTGTGTGTGTGTGTGTGTCAGGTCCCCCCTGTGTGTGTCAGGTCCCCCCGTGTGTGTCAGGTGTGTGTGTCAGGTCCCCCCTGTGTGTGTCAGGTCCCCCTGTGTGTGTCAGGTCCCCCCTGTGTGTGTCCCTGTGTGTGTCAGGTCCCCTCTGTGTGTGTCAGGTCCCTCTGTCAGGTCCCAGGTCCCTCTGTGTGTGTCAGGTCCCCTCTCAGGTGTGTGTGTCAGGTCCCCTCCTGTGTGTGTCAGGTCCCTCCTCGTGTGTGTCAGGTCCCTCCTCGTGTGTGTCAGGTCCCTCCTGTGTGTGTCAGGTCCCGTGTGTGTCTCCTCGTGTGTGTCAGGTCCCTTCTCGTGTGTGTCAGGTCCCTTCTCAGGTGTGTGTGTCAGGTCCCTCCTCGTGTGTGTCAGTGTCCCCCTTCGTGTGTGTCACGTGTGTGTCAGGTCCCTCCTGTGTGTGTCAGGTCCCTCCTGTGTGTGTCAGGTCCCTCCTGTGTGTGTCAGGTCCCCTCCTCGTGTGTGTCAGGTCCCTTCTCGTGTGTGTCAGGTCCCTTCTCGTGTGTGTCAGGTCCCTTCTCGTGTGTGTCAGGTCCCTTCTCGTGTGTGTCAGGTCCCTTCTCGTGTGTGTCAGGTCCCTTCTCGTGTGTGTCAGGTCCCTTCTCGTGTGTGTCAGGTCCCTTCTCGTGTGTGTCAGGTCCCTCTTCGTGTGTGTTCGTTCTGGACGTTCAGATTCTGGAGTTTAAAATATAAATAACGATTTCGTCTCCGTGGCGACGCTTTTGTGTTTGGGGTGAAAATAGAAACGTCTGATTCTCAGGGTCCTCAGAGGGACGTGTGCAAAGGCCTCGGCGACCTCTGACCTCTGCGTCTGATCCTAAACAAAACACTCCCCCTCCTCCTGTCCTCCTCCCTCCCCCCGTCTGTCCTCCCCCTCTGTCTCTCCATCCGTCCTCTGTCTTCTCCCCCTCTCTTTCTTTCTCTCTTTCTTTCTTTCTTTCTCTCTTTCTTTCTCTCTCTCTCTTGTGTCTCATTTGCATCGGCCCCTGGTGCCTGTTGGGGTCAAGGGTCAGAGGTCGTGCATACACATGTAAATGTGCACATGTGAACGGGGGGGGGAGGGCTGCAGCTGGAGTCTGAAACATGAGAAACTCAAAGTGAAAGTGAAACTGTGCAGAGAATCAGACGTCTGGAGCTCACACACACACACACACACACACACACACACACACACACACACACACACACAGACACACACACACACACACACACACACACACACACACACACACACACACACACACACACAAACACACAGTTTTTCTTCTGGGCTCCCATAGTTTAAAAGTCACAAATCAGAATCAGATTTAAAGGGACAGTTCAGGTTTTTTTGACATGAGTCTGTGTGTCGTCCCCGTCAGCAGTTTGGTGCATCTACACTGACTTTACCTCCGACAGCGTCCGGTGAGTCCAGATCCTGGTCGGTTTTGGTGCTGAGGAAAGTAGTTCAGCAAGTTGTCTGGGGACAGAATAATAAAGTGTTTTTCTTCTCAAAACAATATGTGTTCAAAAGAGTGACACATTTGCACCACAAAACCTCCGTCCTCTAAAAAGTCACACCTCATAATCACTTGGTGCTATTTTCTCTCCGTACGTATCACTGTGCGCGGCCGCCAGGTGACAGCCGCGCCTGGTTCACTTTAACTGCTCAGAATGTTCGCCTCTTCTCTCTCTGCCTGGTCTCACATTAGTATATTCGGGTTCAAAAAGATCTCCCATTGGCTCTGTGCTAAAATCAGTTTCTTCATCATCGGTGTCACAGTCAGACATGTTGTCGTTAACATTATGAGCAGTTAACAAAGTGAAACAGGCGCAGTGATACGAACGGAGAGAAAATAGCACCAAGTGATTATGAGGTCTGACTTTTTAGAGGACGGAGGTTTTGTGGTGCAAATGTGTCACTCTTTTGAACACATATTGTTTTGAGAAGAAAAACACTTTATTATTCTGTCCCCAGACAACTTGCTGAACTACTTTCCTCAGCACCAAAACCGACCAGGATCTGGACTCACCGGACGCTGTCGGAGGTAAAGTCAGTGTAGATGCACCAAACTGCTGACGGGGACGACACACAGACTCATGTCAAACCTGAACTATCCTTTAAGGTTTTTCACTGGTCTCGTGGTTTGGAGAGTTTCTGCTAAAAACAACAACTCCCTGAATCAAAACACAACAGACTCCAGGCAACTCCAAAAAAATAGAAAAATCACACAAGGAAAACTATAGTTAAAAGGCTTTTATTTGAATGGCCAAAGTTGACGTGTTTCGACCTTAACTGGTTTAATCAAGAGTCTTTACTATTGACTGATGTGTTTTATTTGAAGGCCACGCCCAGGTTCTGTTTTAATTAGGCTCTGATAAAGACCAGTTAAAGTCGAAACACGTCGACTTTGGTCATTCAAATAAAAGCCTTTTAACTATAGTTTTCCTTGTGCGATTTTTTACTTTTTCTAATTTTTTGGAGTTGCCTGGAATCCATCGTGTTTTAGTTTTGATCCTTTTTCCAGTCAGATCACACCAATCAGAACATCTGCAGCAAACAGACACATTTTTGTTCTAACTCCCAGAATCAGTGAAACGGTCGAGTTTGGGGATTGTTCCTCCTCAGAGACGCTGGACTCAGGACAGTCAGAGTTTTAGAAAAGACGTGAAACATCCAATAAACTCAGAGTTTCAGTTTCTTCTCTCTGGTCTGAGGCTTTTAGTCCCAACATCTAGAATGAATCATTTTAAAAGGAGCTTCGTTCCAGTCACTCTTGTACTTTTGAATAAATTGTAATCTATTTATTTATCAATTTTAGTACATTTGTCTTGGATTCTTTAATATTGATTGTGATTTTATCCAAGTGTGATGATGAATTGAACTAATTGTTTATGGAACAAAGTCGTTCTGGAACACTTTTGTCCTTGTGTTTTTTGTTGATCATGTGCTGCCCCCTCGACCCGACCCCGGATGAACAGAAGAAAATGGACGGACGGATGTGGACGAGTGAAATGTGAAATGTGGGACGAGCTTCAAATCTGTGAAACAAATTGACCCACAGGTACGAATAAAACAACCGAACCAAAACCTTCACGACCCAAGTCCACAGACGTTGTTGGTAAATCACAAAATAAAGTTGGACTGAAGATTCATGAGGAGGTTTTGTTGTTGACTGATCGAGTCTCTGAACATTTAGTTTTACTCAAGTTTGAATCAGTGAAAAACCCTGAAGCAGCAGTGAAAAGATCCACGAGTCACAGTGAACATCTCAGACTCACATTCAGATCGAGACGAGACCCAAAAAAAACCCTGTCGTGACCTGAGGGTCTCGACTCAGAGTTTGAGAAACACTGTGGTAAAGTCACAGTGTGGAACTTTATCCAAACAAACTCACACAAAATCAGGTCGTGATTATTTTCAGTTTGGTTGTTTTACTGCAATGAAAAACACACGTCCTCCTCTCCACAGACCTGACTCTGACTGTCACTGTGGCTCTGACTGTGGCTCTGACTGTGGCTCTGACTGTGACTCTGACTGTGACTCTGACTGTGACTCTGACTGTGACTGCTCTGACTGTGGCTCTGACTCTGGCTCTGACTCTGGCTCTGACTCTGGCTCTGACTCTGGCTCTGGTGGCTCTGACTCTGGCTCTGCTCTGACTGACTGTGGCTCTGCTCTGACTGTGGCTCTGGCTGTGGCTCTGACTGTGACTCTGACTGTGACTCTGACTGTGACTCTGACTGTGGCTCTGACTGGCTCTGACTCTGGCTCTGACTCTGGCTCTGGCTGTGGCTCTGGCTGTGACTCTGGCTCTGGCTCTGACTCTGGCTCTGACTGGCTCTGACTCTGACTGTGGCTCTGACTGTGGCTCTGACTCTGGCTCTGGCTCTGGCTCTGGCTGTGGCTCTGGCTCTGGCTCTGGCTCTGGCTCTGGCTGACTGCTCTGCTCTGGCTCTGACTCTGGCTCTGACTCTGGCTGTGGCTCTGGCTCTGGCTCTGGCTCTGCTCTGTGCTCTGACTGTGGCTCTGACTGTGGCTCTGTGGCTCTGACTGTGGCTCTGACTCTGGCTCTGACTCTGGCTCTGACTCTGGCTCTGACTCTGACTCTGGCTCTGGCTCTGGCTCTGGCTCTGCTCTGGCTCTGACTCTGGCTCTGGCTCTGGCTCTGTGGCTCTGACTGTGGCTCTGACTGTGGCTCTGACTGTGGCTCTGGCTGTGGCTCTGACTCTGGCTCTGGCTCTGGCTCTGACTCTGGCTCTGGACTCTGGCTCTGGCTCTGACTCTGACTCTGGCTGTGGCTGTGGCTCTCTGGCTCTGGCTGTGGCTCTGGCTGTGGCTCTGACTGTGGCTCTGGCTGTGGCTCTGGCTCTGGCTCTTCTGCTCTGACTCTGACTCTGGCTGTGGCTCTGGCTCTGTGGCTCTCTGGCTCTGACTGTGGCTCTGACTCTGGCTCTGGCTCTGGCTCAGGTCTGAGACGAAACACGGGGCCAGAACTTTCAAAGCTTCAAAACAAACAATCAAATCTTAAAATCAGCTTTAAAAGGAACTGTCCAACAGTGACGCTGAAATCAGGTCAAGTTCTCACGATTTTTGGTTCCAGTTCAAAGAGCAGAATTTTGAGACTGAATCAAGACTAGGCCAAGAAATCAGGACTAAACCAGGTTTTAAACTGGACTAAACCGGGACCAGATCTGGGTTTAAGTGGCTCTAAACTTAATTAAGCAATGGCACATGAAGCAGGTCTGAGAAGGACTAAACCAGGACTACACCAAGTCTTCATCGGGACTAAACCGGGACTTAAACCAGACCCAAACCAGGTCTGAGCCAATCCAGCTTCATACTAGATCCAAACCAGACCATAAAAAGGACTAAACCAGGTCTGTCCAGTCCCTGTGAACAGTTTTGTCTGATGTTTTTGTGTATTTGTGGAGAATTGTCGTGTGGGAGCATCAGGGACGTAGATTTGTGGGCGGAGCCTCGTACAGATTCGTACTGCTCACTGTAAGCCAAAGTGAGATCGCTAGATTACTCAAACCTACATGGATGAGTCTAAAACCTCGTGAGACTTCAGACAGGTTTGTGACGAGGAACAACGTCAGAACACGAGAGAACGAGACAAAAAACACGGAGGTCTGCAGACAGAACCTTCTACTGCACGGTGGATTCTCTGAGATCTGGAGGAGCTTTGGAGACTCTGGAGGAACGAGCTCAGACTCTGATCCAAACTCTGGATCATTTATGTTCAGAAAAACACAAAAGTCCAAGTTTATGTTTTTACACAAAGTTAAAGAGTCAAAGCAAAAACAGAGAATGTTCAAAATGTTCAAAATGCACGAGAAGAGACCAGACCAGGACCAGACCAGGACCAGACCAGAGACCAGACCAGAGACCAGACCAGACCAGACCAGACCAGACCAGACCAGACCAGACCAGACCAGACCAGACCAGACCAGGACCAGACCAGGACCAGACCAGACCAGACCAGACCAGACCAGACCAGACCAGACCAGACCAGACCAGACCAGGACCAGACCAGGACCAGACCAGGACCAGACCAGGACCAGACCAGACCAGACCAGACCAGACCAGGACCAGGACCAGGACCAGACCAGGACTCAGGACCAGACCAGGACCAGACCAGGACCAGGACCAGACCAGACCAGACCAGGACCAGGACCAGGACCAGGACCAGGACCAGGACCAGGACCAGGACCAGACCAGGACCAGGACCAGACCAGGACTCAGGACCAGACCAGGACCAGACCAGGACCAGGACCAGGACCAGGACCAGGACCAGGACCAGACCAGGACTGACCAGACCAGGGACCAGGACCAGACCAGGACTCAGACCAGGACCAGGACCAGGACCAGACCAGGACCAGGACCAGGACCAGGACCAGACCAGGACTCAACCAGGACCAGACCAGGACTCAGGACCAGGACCAGACTCAGGACCAGGACCAGACCAGGACCAGACCAGGACCAGGACCAGGACCAGGACCAGGACTCAGGACCAGGACCAGACCAGGACCAGACCAGGACCAGACCAGGACCAGACCAGGACCAGACCAGGACCAGACCAGGACCAGGCCAGGACTCAACCAGGACCAGACCAGGACTCAACCAGGACTAAACCAGGACTCAACCAGGACTAAAGCAGGGTTTTGATTCAAACCTTGAGGATCTGGGACAGTTCCAAGTCCGGGTCCAGACTCTTGAGGGTCTCAGCGGATCCTTTCCTCCAGAACACACTGCCGTGCTGCTGCAGGAGCAAAACACACAGACTCAGACCAGGACTGAACCAGGACTAAACCAGGACTAAACCTGGACTAAACAGGACTAAACCAGGACTAAAAGGACTAAACAGGACTAAACCAGGACTAAACCAGGACTAAACAGGACTAAACCAGGACTAAACAGGACTAAACCTGGACTAAACCAGGACTAAACTGGACTAAACCAGGACTAAACAGGACTAAAGCAGGACTAAGGACTAAACAGGACTAAACCAGGACTAAACAGGACTAAACAGGACTAAAGCAGGACTAACCAGGACTAAACAGGACTAAACAGGACTAAACCAGGACTAACTAAACCAGGACTAAACCTGGACTAAACCAGGACTAAAGGACTAAAGCAGGACTAAACCAGGACTAAACCAGGACTAAACCAGGACTAAAGCAGGACTAAAGCAGGACTAAAGCAGGACTGAACCAGGACTAAACCTGGACTAAACCAGGACTAAACCAGGACTAAACCTGGACTAAACCAGGACTGAATCAGCACTAAACCAGGACAGGACTAGAGCAGGACTAGAGCAGGACTAGAGCAGGTCTAGAGCAGGTCTAGAGCAGGACTAGAGCAGGACTAGAGCAGGACTAGAGCAGGACTAGAGCAGGACTAGAGCAGGACTAGAGCAGGACTAGAGCAGGACTAGAGCAGGACTAGAGCAGGACTAGAGCAGGACTAGAGCAGGACTAGAGCAGGACTAGAGCAGGACTAGAGCAGGACTAGAGCAGGACTAGAGCAGGTCTAGAGCAGGACTAGAGCAGGACTAGAGCAGGACTAGAGCAGGACTAGAGCAGACTAGAGCAGGACTAGAGCAGGACTAGAGCAGGTCTAGAGCAGGACTAGAGCAGGTAGGACTAGAGCAGGTCTAGAGCAGGTCTAGAGCAGGTCTAGAGAGCAGGACTAGAGCAGGACTAGAGCAGGACTAGAGCAGGACTAGAGAGCAGGACTAGAGCAGAGACTAGAGCAGGTCTAGAGCAGGTCTAGAGCAGGACTAGAGCAGGTCTAGAGCAGGACTAGAGCAGGACTAGAGCAGGACTAGAGCAGACTAGAGCAGGTCTAGAGCAGGACTAGAGCAGGACTAGAGCAGGTCTAGAGCAGGTCTAGAGCAGGACTAGAGCAGGACTAGAGCAGGTCTAGAGCAGGTCTAGAGCAGGACTAGAGCAGGACTAGAGCAGGACTAGAGACTAGAGCAGGTACCTGTCCGCTGCCTGACAGAGCTCTCACTCTGGAAAAGTCAAATCCCGAAGATTTCATTTTGTTCAACAGTTTGTCCAGAGCCTGAAACAGAAACAGACGGAGAGAAAAAGGAGAGAAAGAAAGAGAGAAAGAGAGAGAGAGAGAGAGAGAGAGAGGGAGAGAGGGAGAGAGAGGAGAAGAAAAGAGAGAAAGAGAGATGGAGGGATGAAGAGGAAGAGTGTTTCTGAGTCTCGTACAGTAAAAGTTCAAACCTGAGACATTAAAAATAAAAATGTACAGTTTGTTTTTGTTTTTAATGTGTTTGTTTGTGTGTGTGTTTGTGTGTTTGTTTGTTTGTTTGTGTTGTTTTGTGTTTTTGTTTGTGTGTTTTTGTTTGTTTTGTGTGTTTGTTTGTTTGTTGTTTGTTTGTTTTTGTTTGTTTGTTTGTGTGTTTGTTGTGTGTGTGTTTGTTTGTGTGTTTTTGTGTGTTTGTGTCTGACCTGGACCCACATCAGGACCGGGGAGGTGACTGTGAGTCGATCTTCGTGCAGGTGGACGCCGCCCTGAGTCCTGACCACAAAACAACACTGTGACAACTCTGTGTTAAACTCAGACCTGCTCACCTGTCCATGTCCAGGTGCCCACCTGGGTGACCTCCAGGTCCAGGTGAGTCAGATTGTGTTAAAATAAAAGTAGATTCAAGTGTGAGAGTCACAGAGGTTCAGACAGAGCAGTGACGTCACAATGTGAACTCACACTGTTTTTATTTCATGTTTTTATTTCATGTTTTTATTTAATGTCATGTCATTTTATAAATTAAAAATCGCGGTGTTTTTATTTTGAGATGAACAGATGTAATTCCAGTTTTGTCCGGCAGATGGCAGCACGCGCGCGCGGAGACGGTTTGGCTCTGGTTTCTGTTTCCGGTTAATCTGCAGAAACAAAAACTAATGTTTCTGTTTTATTTTGTTTATTTCAGGTCAGAATTGTCCCACCAACTAAAACACTGACTCACATCAAGTCATAAAAGTATAAATGTTGTTGTAACAGTCGCGAGTTAAAGACATTTACTGTTTTAATATTTCAATTAAAAAGTTTGATTAGCGCGCTAGGCTAACTCCCATTAGCCTTTAGTTTAGACTTTGATATTTTGCCTCAATTCAGCCAAACTTTGTGTTTATTGTTATTTTCATTACACCGTTTTATTATTTTCTGAAAATGTAAAGTTTTGATACAGTTAAAAATAAAAGGTAAAGTTATAAAAGTCACCAGTTATGTTTTCCTGATGGATTTAAATCATTTTATGTCATATTTTTGAATTTAGAATAAACAGTAAATTTGATGCAATAAACATTATTCATTAATAATTACGGTTTTATTAACCAAGAACGATGGAAACTTAAACTGTTATTACAGAGTGGAAAGAACAGAAAAGAATATTGTACTTAAGTGTAATTTCTGTTTTTATGTTCATGGACAATTAAAGTTAATCTGCAGTAACAGAAAACCAAAGCAACACGAACATTTATATTGTTTATTTCAGTTCCGACCTCCTCACACTAATATTATAAACTGCGGTGATTGTTCCGGACTAAACCTGCTGCTGTTCATCTCGCTCCCACAGAACGCGGACAACAGCGGCGAGGAGTTGATATTTGTCAAGGAAATAAACAAATAAAACTCGTTTTTTCTTTTATCTGGATTTAATTTGACAGTGAAGTTCTCTGTGTTTGATTGACAGCAGCACGGGCCAATCACAGCGCAGTATTCCCCCAGGCCCCGCCCCCTTACAGGTGAGACTCACCTGAACTCAGGAAGGTCCGAGTCGAACTGGACATGATCCTCAAGAAGAACCTGCAGCTTCGAGTCCAGGGCCAGAACCTTCAACTGAGACCAGGGCCAGGATCAGACGAGGACTACACGAGGACTAGACCAGGACTAGACCAGGTCTAGACCAGGATCAGACCAGGACTAGATCAGGACTTATGTAGAATTTAACTATAATAAGACCTGGACTAAAGCAGAAATTGACCTGAGTTAAAAGGACTACACAAGGACTAAACCAGGACCAGGTCTAAAGGAGGACTAGACCAGAACTAAAGTGGAACTAAACCTGGACCAGGACTAAAGAGGGACTAAATCAGAACTGAACCGGGACTAAACCAGAACTAAACCAGGACTGAACCAGGACTAAAGTAAAGTTGAATATTTCGTTCCCACTTTTATCGTATTTTTTATTTTTATTTTTTTTCGTTGCTTTTGACTCTTTTCTTGTTTATTTTCCGTTTTCTTCGGTTTTAAACTCAAACTTGTCACAGTTGTTTGTTTTTTTTCTGGTCTAAAAGTCCAAAGTCCGGACTTGACTCGGAGCTGTGACTTTTATTCTCGCGCTGCACAATCTGAGCGCGTGCTCCGCGTGCGCAGAGGCTCAGCGCGCAGCTCGTGCGTAAACGCGCGTGTGGAGCGGAGCACCTGACGCACAGGTGAGTGGCAGGTGAGTGGCAGGTGAGTTTACCTGCTGCGTGCTGAAGTCAAAGCCCAAAAACACGTCCTGGTCCCGCGCGGCCGCCATAGCTCCGAGCGCGAGGAGGAGGAGGAGGAGGAGGAGGGGGGGGCGTCTTAAAGAGACACGAGCCCAAAAAAACCCGGAGGAGAAGGTGAAGGTTCAACTCCCGATGAGTCCACACCGGGACTAGACCAGGACTAAACCAGGACTAAACCAGGACTAATCCAGGATTAAACCAGAACTAAACCAGGGCTAAACCAGGACTAAACCAGGATTTAACTGATGCTTTAGAAACTCAGTCTAAACCAATTTGTCACCAAATCTTGGTCTCGGGGGCATCAGTCTAAACAGGGACTCCCAGACTTCCTTCACCCCAGACACTTCCTCCAGCTCCTCCAGGGGGACCTCGAGGTGTTCCCAGACCAGCCTCCTCCCGGTGGAAACCAGGATCAAACCAGAACTAAACCAGGACTACACCAGAACTAAACCAGGACTACACCAGAACTAAACCAGGACTACACCAGAACTAAACCAGGACTAAACCAGGACTACACCAGAACTAAACCAGGACTAAACCAGGACTACACCAGAACTAAACCAGGACTAAACCAGGACTACACCAGAACTAAACCAGAACTAAACCAGGACTAAACCAGGACTAAACCAGGACTACACCAGAACTAAACCAGAACTAAACCAGGACTAAACCAGGACTACACCAGAAGTAAACCAGGACTAAACCAGGACTCAGATAAACCTCACAGACGTTTTCGGTGGTCAAACAGGTTTTATTTAAACACAGAAGTGAAGATTAAGTAGAAACAAAACACGACCCTCCACAGGGCGCACGTGACAGGTGAGCGCGCACGTGACAGGTGAGCGCGCACGTGACAGGTGAGCGCGCACGTGACAGGTGAGCGCGCACGTGACAGGTGAGCGCGTGACGTGACAGTGCACGTGACAGGTGACATCACACGTGACAGGTATGTGACCGGTCAGACTGTTTCGCCAAAAACTCATTTTACCAGATTTTCTCTCGTTTTTGGTTTTGGTGGTGAAGTTTGTGATGTCACTTCCTGTTGGATGCAGGTGCGCACAGGTGATGTCATCACTGTTACCGAGCAACCGGGAGGTAAACAAGGACCGAACCTCAACGACACAAAAGCTCTGATCAGACTAAAAAAAAAAGACCACAGCTTTATTATTTAGGTAAAGCTGCACTGTGTAACTTTTTGATTCATGGTCCGTCAGCTTCTTGTTTCTATGGAGACGTCGTTGCTCTGCCTGGAATGTTCCACAGTGTGACTTTAAACAGCTCGACTTTACATTTATTCAATTACAGGTGATTTTAGAGCTCAAAAATATCTCGAAAAACAAACAGACATTGTGACTGTGAGCGAGGTCGCCTCTCCACAGATCTGACCTGGACCCGCGTTAGAAAGGTTTAATTCTATACTGTGGAACATTCTAGACATCTCCATGGAGAAAAAAAAAAAAAAGCATTTGACGGAGCCTCCACCAGAAAAGTTACACAGTGCAGCTTTAAGCGTCAGAAAAGTGTCAGGGATTCGGTTTTCCAGCTCTCACACTTTCTGGATTTTTTGTACTTTTCTTTTCAGTTTTTGTCCACAAACATTTCTGAACTGAAGTAAAACGGTGATAAATCTTCACCACGAGGACGATCGCCAAACAAAAAAACATAAAACCTGCCACCTGAGCGTTCACGAGCGTCTCAGAGGGTCCAGAACAGAAGAAAACTCACAGCAGATTCAAACTAAACACAGTGAAGAAAAAGCCCGGGTGTGACCAGCAGAGGGCGCTGTACGTCCACACCTCGGCGCTGGACTTCAGTCACAGGAAGGTTAAATTTGGAAAAAGGATGCGGTTTTCAGCTAAAGATCTCGACATTCAGGGAGTTTCATCAGGGAGAATCTAGAAAAATTAGACTTTCTCGTTATAAAATTGTGACATATTAAACGATGGATTAATTATTTGATGAGTTTGTGTTTGTTTCGTTCTCTCGTGTTTTTTTTTTTAACCAAATCTCCACAAATGTTTTTTTCTGATCATTTCTGTTTTTGCATGAATCAGCTTCTTACAACAGGCCGCATTTTGACATTTTGAGACTTTTCCCCCATCAACAATTTACAATATTTGTTTTAAATTGTTAGTTGCTATAGTAACTGTCCAAATGGCCCGTCGTTCTGAAATCCTCCGTCTGGATTTGAAGGATTTTGTGAGGAGCTTCCCCTGTTCAAAAGATTTAATACTCTGATTTATCTGACACACGGGGAGGAGGGGAGGGCATCTGACACACGGGGAGGAGGGGGGGGGGCGGCGGCGTGTGCGTGGTCCCTCAGTGGGCGGGGTGCACGTAGTTGGCGGGGAGCATGCCGGACTGGCCGGTTCTCTGGACGGTTCCGTACATCCAGCCCTCGTCGATGTGCTGCGCGTTCACGATCACGTCGCCGTCCTTAAACGAAACCTCGTCGTGGTCCTGAGCGGCGTAATCGTACAGCGCCCGGTACACGCGCTGCCACGGCGACCACGGGAGACGCAGATGACGCGACAGGGAGACACCCGCCGCCAACGACAGGGAGACACCCGCCGCCAACGACAGGGAGACACCCAGAAGAAAAACAGAACAGAATAAACATAATAAAATACAAAATAAACTGTCAGTCACTGTCAGTGCTGATCCAGTCCTGTTTTAGTCCTGGTCCAGTCCTGTTTTAGTCCTGGTCCAGTCCTGTTTTAGTCCTGGTCCAGTCCTGTTTTAGTCCTGGTCCAGTCCTGTTTTAGTTCTGGTCCAGTCCTGTTTCAGTTCTGTTTTGAGGTCTAGTCATATTTCATGAGAACATAAGAAGGTTCTTTTTGTTCTTGAGGTGATAAGAACAAGAACAAAGTCAGTTTGGGCTCTGACATTTAATACTTCAAGATGTTCTGCTGCAGAACTGCCCCGCCCCCTCGCTCTGCCCCGCCCCCTCGCTCTGCCCCGCCCCCTCGCTCCGGTGCTGTTATCACAAACATTTAAGATATTCACCAACTGATGATCTTGTTTATTGTAACGTCCTGTTCATTCACACACGTCTCACTTTGGCCTATTAGATCAGTATGAATCTCTTCCTTCTGTTTGACGCGTTGCTTTTTTTTTGTGACCTGCCTTTTGTTTTTCTCAGCCTTGTTTTGGACATTACTCTAGACTTTTCTAAACTGATTTTAGTTTGAGTCTAAAATGTCGTCGATCTCCCTCCATGAATTTCTTCCGTTTGTCTCTTTGTCGTCATTGAGCGTCGTGTCGTTCACATGTTTGTATTTTCTCATCGTTTCCTCCAGTAGATAAACCACAAACACATAAACAACCAATCAGAGCCAAGATGTGGGACAAAGTTCTGCTCAGATGAGTCAAGAACAAACCACAAGAACTGAACAACAGGAGCTGGACCAACAACATGACGTCATTCTGTTTGGCTCTGGGTGCAAGAACAAAGTTCGTATGTTTTACTGAAGAATGAATAGGCCTTTAGTCCCGGTCCAGTCCCGGTCCAGGTCCAGTCCCGGTCCAGTCCCGGTCCAGTCCCGGTTCAGTCCTGGTTCCGTACCGTGCTGGGGGTGTGTGGGGGGGAGGTGACAGATCTCACTGAGGACAGACTCGTCTGGTGCATGTATCCGTACTGCTGCTGCTGCTGCGCCACCTGCTGGTAAGCCCCAGGCAGGACGGGAGCTGAAACAGAAACAGGCGGTGAACAGAGGAACTGCAGGGGGCGCTGTGGGCTACAACAGTGACACTCTCTGTGCTCCTTCAGTCCTGTGGGGAGTCACTCAAAACGTGGGTGAAACGTGTCCAAAGGTTAGTTAAAGATGCACTATGGTTTATTACTTATTTCATTATGGAGCTTTTGTGACTGAAGTCTCCACCACCTGCTTGTTTCAATGACATGTTCCACAGTACGACTTGACATCTCACATTTCATTCATTAAAGATGTTTTCAGTTCTCAAAAACAGTTAAATAAAACATGCATTCTTACTCGGGCTGTTGAAAATCTGATACTAATCAATATTTAAACGAGAATCAAAACTAGATCCTCATTTTTCGCAGGAATCAATAATAAAAAACACAATATCCCACTGACAGAACAGAGCAGAACCTTTCCTCAGAGTGTTTAGAACCATCTGGAACTGAATCAGAACGAGACACAGAGACTAGAACACACATGGACCTGGTTTAGACCTGGTTTAGACCTGGTTTAGACCTGGTTTAGACCTGGACCACTGAGGGGTTCCACAGATATAAAGACACATGGTGTTTGCTCTGGTCCCTCAGCTCAAAGGAGGTGTGGTTAGTACAGGACAGGTGTGACAGGTGTGACAGGTGTATAGAGGTTCACTCTGGTGTTTCACTCTGGTGTTTTCACTCTGGTGTTTTCACTCTGGTGTTTTCACTCTGGTGTTTTCACTCTGGTGTTTTCACTCTGGTGTTTTCACTCTGTGGTGTTTTCACTCTCGGTGTTTCACTCTGGTGTTTTCACTCTGGTGTTTCACTCTGGTGTTTTCACTCTGTGGTGTTTTCACTCTCGGTGTTTCACTCTGGTGTTTTCACTCTGTGGTGTTTTCACTCTGTGGTGTTTTCACTCTCGGTGTTTCACTCTGGTGTTTTCACTCTGGTGTTTTCACTCTGTGGTGTTTTCACTCTCGGTGTTTCACTCTCGTGTTTTCACTCTGGTGTTTTCACTCTGTGGTGTTTTCACTCTGTTTTCACTCTCGGTGTTTCACTCTGGTGTTTTCACTTTGGTGTTTTCACTCTGGTGTTTTCACTCTGTGGTGTTTTCACTCTCGGTGTTTCACTCTGGTGTTTCACTCTGGTGTTTCACTCTGGTGTTTCACTCTCTGGTGTTTCACTCTCTGGTGTTTCACTCTGGTGTTTTCACTCTGGTGTTTCACTCTCGTGTTTTCACTCTCGTGTTTTCACTCTGGTGTTTCACTCTGGTGTTTCACTCTGGTGTTTTGTACCGGTGTCGGCGCTGCTCTGGTCCCACAGTTCAGACGACACCGACTGAGCTCGACTCTGAGGCAAAGAACGAGTCTGTCTGCGCTCCACATGATCTGACACACAAACCGGGATTTAGACCAAGTCCTGGAGCAGTCCTGGTTCAGTCCTAGTTTAGTCTTGGTTTAATCCTGGTTTAGTCCTGGTTTAGTCCTGGTCTAGTCCTGGTCTAGTGCTGGTTTAGTCCTGGTCTAGTCCTGGTCTAGTCCTGGTCTAGTCCTGGTTTAGTCCTGGTCTAGTCCTGGTCTAGTCCTGGTACCGGAGATGCGTCGCAGACTCTTGGACTGGATGTTGTCCTCCATTGGGTCAAAGTCAAAGATGGATCCTGGATCTGCTCTCCAAACCTTCAGGTCTTCAGGTCCAGAGACAAAAGACTCAGTGTTTAAAGAAAAACAAAACTCTGCTGCCACTTCACCATTTCATCACCACATCACCACATCACCTCATCACCTCATCACCATCATCACCTCATCACTTCATCACCTTCATCACTCATCACCTCATCACTTCATCACCTCATCACTTCATCACCTCATCACTTCATCATCATCACTTCATCACTTCATCACTTCATCACCACATCACCACATCACCACATCACTTCATCATGTCACAAACATTCATCTGGAGATGTTCTGATGAGGACTGTTTGGTTTGTACATTGAACCGAGTTGCAGGATAAAGTTTTTCTGTACTGATATTTTGTGCTGGGGGAGTGCTACATGGATGTGTACGGCAGGATGTTGAGCGGTTACCGTGGAGACACAATGCTCCACTTAACCGTGATGATTAAACTCTGGTCCTGACTCAGCTCTAACCTCTGGTCCTGACTCAGCTCTAGACTCCGGTCCTGACCGGCCTCTAGACTCTGGTACTGACCCACGATGATGCCGCCGGGTCTTCGGTCCATGTCGGCGCTCTGGGGGTGTGTCCCTCGGCTAAACCCCGCCTCCCCGATCATCTGATTGGCTCGGTGGTAGCGTTCCATCCCCGGCTCGTCCAATCCCAGCGCAGAGCCTCGTCCACGGGACCGGTCGAAGTCCTCGTGGTACTTCGCCTTCAGGAGCAGAGAAAGAGAGAAAGAAACCGGGTCAGACCAGAACCAGAACCAGAACCAGAACCAGGACAGAGACAAACAGCAATATTAACAGTCACACACACACACACACACACACACACACACACACTCTGAGTGTCACACAGGTGCATTTAGT